CACCGTCACCCGCGACCACTGTTGCACGTAATCACGTTGAAAAGGAGAGACAATGACAACTTTTGAGTCAATTTCCTCCTTTTGAGTCATTGTTCTGCAACTTTTGGGCTAACTCTCACTCAGGTTTACCTCTGATGGCTTTGCGGTAGCGCTTCATGGTTCTAGAAGACTAGGATTCATCCTCACACTCATAGCCGAAACACTCACTCACACAATCACTCAAGGTAGCACTCCAACTCACACTCACATCGACACTCCAAGGTACTGAAAATCGTCACTTTTTCATATATGAAACAAGTCCTCACACATGACTCTCCAAACTTGCTTGAGAGCTGATACTCTAGCTCTCTATTTATACTACTTGAGAAGTTATCATAGTAACATGCGGTAATTTCTCCTAACTTACTTTACCTAGGTAAGTTTGACTAACCCACTATACGTGGCAACATGTCATGGGCCTAGCTAAACCTTCTAGAAGTCTTCGGAATCCAAGGTTGAGGTGGCGACATGCCATTGGAAACTTTTAAACTTCTACAAGCTTCTTAGCCACTAAGTCAACCTTAGACTTAGTCTAGTCAATCATCTTTCATATATTGAATCACACCAATCAAATCCAAGGTTCTAGTCAAATATCTAATCCCTTGGAATCTAGAACTTTGTAAAAGACAAAATAGAAGTGCTCACTTCTTTCTAGAAGACAAAATAGGAGTGCTCACTCCACTCTTCTAGAACTCCGCTAATTCTTCCGCCAACTATAGATATTGTAGCTAAACTTAGTCATAACTAACTAGTTTAGTCATAACTAGCTAGAGTTAGCTATGCCTTGGCTAATTATCCCTAATCACTTGACCACTTCTAAGACTTAGTACATATGTGCAACACCCGATCTTACAGTTCAACTCCTGAAAAATGTCTATATGCACTATTTGTGTCGAAAGCTTTCTAGCGATATCCAATTTGACTACATTTTGACAAAAAATATTTGTAAAAAATATTTATGACAAAATATTCCTTCATCGTTATTTCGACTATCATCGTTGATCTCCGCCATCACCGTCACCATCACTATAGGTAGACCGTCAACCGCTTTTCCCTCTTGACCATGGTTGGCCCAACGACTACATTAGATCCTTGATCACAAATGCAACCATGTTCACTACAACCGCGATCGCGACTTCAATCACATAAAACTTGACAACGGTTGACTCTAACCACGTTGACAACTACTATGTTCGATCATCAATCATAGTTCATCCTCTGACCATGTTTAACTTGTGGTAGGTGGGTTAAACGAGATTAGTCCGCAATTAGTCCGGTTGATCACAATCGCTCTGGGCAACTACGCTCCACCATGACCATATTTGCCGTTTGACCACCACGCCGACTTGAGGGGAGCCTCTCCAGCCTGCCGCACCACAATCATGTTTGCCGCTTGGTCATCACGCAAGCCGACACGAGGGGAGCCTCTCTAGTCTACCACACCGATGGAGAGAAGTGGGACAGTTGGCTTTGCTGCTCGGCTCCGTCACGTGCTGCTGCCCGACCACGACCTAGGAAGGGAAACCGCATCAATTGTGCGCCTCTCCGGATGATGCCACACGTGGCTTGGTCGTGATCCAACTTGGGCGGGTCATGACGTAAAGCATGTGACTGCCTGTGTACAACCTCGTCCTTCGTTTCTCAGATCTGCATCGTTGCTTTGTACACTAGGTGTTGCACACCAACACTAATATTCATCACTGTCCACGATGACAAGTCAAAAGTCATGCTGGAGGACAAAAGTAGCAGCTGGAGCCTGTTGAACAATTTTGCACTATACTATCAAACTATAGCTTGATCGTTCGCTAAAATAAAATCTTTAAAATACAAATGTAGATTCTTCTACTTCTCAACTGCTGCACTGGGTGTGAGGAGATTTTAGTTTCTCGGAATTGTCCGTATCTCTGTCCATCAGAGTCTTGGATGATAGTGGAAGTGTAATAACTTTGCTATGATACATCTAAACATATGTGGTAATTACATCCCCTCGATTACTCATATATACACGGTTTGATAGCAGAAACCGTCTCATTATCAGTGCATGGGATCCTACCCATATTCTTACTTCCTCCTAACGTAATAAAATCAACCCTTGTGTCCATGGATACTTGAGTCGGCCCCCCTTGATGAATAGAGATGCGAGTCCATGCGTGCTTCAATAAATAGTATAGATGGACAACGAGTGTCTATATGGGTTTGATATGGGTTTGATCTATTGTCTATAGCAGATGACGTAAAGGTTTGTTTTGTCGGAGCAAAATCTCGTGAACTTGCGCACAAGTGCAGCAATATCTAACTCCGGTCTGGCTAGCAAGAGTTTGAGACACACATGACAACACATGTAGATTCATGTCCATCTCAACCTCTCGGATGGTCAAATCGAGCACAATGGCGAACACTCACTCTTCGTACTTCTTGTACTCGACAATCGAAACCATCGTGGTTATTGAGCCACATGTCATAAGCGAGAACATGGTCTTCTCCTCCTCTGTCGTAGCATTTGTCCGATGTGTTGTGAATCCACTCCACCGCTTTGTTCTCAAATTGTAGCTCATGAACACGAGATCAGCGTAGTGCTCATCACCGTCATTCTCCTGATCATACTCTCCGAGTAGAACAGAGCAGAGCAAATTCTCCACACATGGACCGACCGCTTCCACTTTGTAGCAAGCAATATGTGACAATGGAGGATCATCATGCGACTAGAGATATGTGATCAATGAATACAGATTAAATTACAAAATGCTTTGAGCTAGACATTCGATCGTCAATGTGCTTTGATAGGAGTCTGTATTCATCAGGGAAGATTTGCAGATTGTTGGTCGGTAGATAGAGGTTGCGCTTATGGTTGTAGAGCTATGGAGGGAGTCAAAATGTTTGAAGTAGTCAAAAAACAGGAGCACCGGCCTTGGTAGCTGGTTTATCATCCACCGTCACCTTTCCTTGCAAAATCCATGATCTTCTCAAACTCGTCACCGTCAGAATTTTATCACGTTATTCTCTTACTCGTAAGAAAATCAAGTTTGTTGTCTCCCAAATACATAAAACCTGTCATACATGCTTTGAACCAATAACCGGCTCTGCTATCGATTATGAACGCTAAAATCAAGAATACATTGAACAATCATGAGAGACAAATGTAATGTTATTCACCCTTGGGGAGGAGGGCTACGTCTACCTAGAACTCGAGAACATTTACTCTAGGTCTTGTCATAAAGACTCAATGTACAAGATGAACCCCGAGATATTTATGCCCAGTCCAGACGACAATCCTAGCTATAAATAGCTAGGATACAAGATTAATCCTTAATTAAAGTTAACCTCAAATATATATATGCACTGAAATTACTTATATATATATTGAATATTAAATATAAAAAATATTTATATATTGAATATTAGAGATATATATACATTTTTATATAAATAGATATGTATATAGATATGTATTTATATCTATATACATATCATTTTATTTGATTTTGTATTGGGGGGAGAGCTTTGTTACATGATCGATGTCACAAATTATGTATATTTTGTGCGATCATCAAGATCAAGATCAAGATGTCTCAGTGATGGAGATCATCATGTCAGAGTCGTGATTGTTTTAAACGTCAAATATGTTGAAACACATGATATTCTCCATATTGTGATTGTTGCAAACATTTGATTGTTTGAGACATCAAATATGTCAAAACATGTGATATTTTTCAAATCGTGAAGGGTATATCGATTCTTGGGAATGATCCGGCTTCACCCATCGCATGTGAGTCTCGAATGATTCCGATCATTCACAAAAAAATATTAAAGAAAGAACGGGAGTGGGATAATTATCATCCACCGTATGCGTATATAGGTTTGGGTTGGGTGAATGTTTGTTTAACCACTCTGTTTTTGTGCTAGTAAGATGACATATATATATGACAATTGCGAGTGTATATATATATATATATATAAATATAAATCTCTCTATCACTTCCCTTATGGTTTTAATACGGAGAAAACTTTCCAAGTGTAGTTCCCTCGTAACGAGTATGAGCCAAAAATATAAATTATTTTATATTTTTTCAAAAAATAATTCATATTCACTCATTTATTTATATTTAACATACACATATTTAATATAAATATCATTTTATTTGATTTTGTATTATTTGGAGAGAAGAGTTTGTTTTTATGATAAGTTTGACATACAACAAGTTATACAAAGTTCTGTAAATGATAGCAGCTCCGCTTTGGATGCGAATATAAATTTGAACTTGAAGATTATTTTATGAACAAGGATGAGTATGGTGGTAGGTTTGATGAGTTTCATCCCATTGACATTCCGTTGATGTTGAAGCCATTCATGATGAGGATATTTTCAAGGGTAAGGAGGAAGTGATGAACAAGGGTAAATTTTTTTTTTAGTTAGGTGGAGCTCTGAGCTTTTTTTAATACATCTGGTATTATACTTTATCATTATGCAAAAGCCAATCATACAGATCCATATTTGCAACTCGAGATTAAAAAATGAAAGTTTAAATATAATCTTGCGGCGATAAAAACATATTGCCATGTAATTCTCGAAGCAAATTCTTGCCATTAAATTTTACCCAACACAAAATTAAATCAAGAGAGAAAAAAATAATCATCAACTACATTCAATTGCAAGCTAATTCAGTAATAAGAGTAATACTAATATAAACTAACACGAAACACATAACGACTGGAACACACGAAAGGACGAACACAAAGCATAATAAATCACAAAGGAGAGAAAGTAATTGCCAACGCCCGTAGCGTCCCCACGGCCGGTCCGCATGGCCCAATCCCGGCGAACGGCATCCGTCGTCCCGCCGGGCGCCGGCGTTGGTCCGAAGTCCGTACGTTCGTCCGTCCATCCCACCGTCGAGCTCGACCCCGGAGGGAAGAGCCGACGGCGGTGAGCGGACAGAAGGAAGGCTGAGGGTCCGCGGCGGGGGGACGGGGAGCAGAGCACGTAGGGCTCGAGGGCGCTGTGCAGAAGAAGGTCGACGGTGCAGGGCGCAGAACAAATTGCGAGGCTCCGAGTCTAGAGCCCTTTCCGATCCAATGAGTTCTCGCGGCTAGGCAGCCGAGCTCGCTTTCGCTCGTTGCATTGCATGGCTGCTTGCGGCCTCCCTCCGTCGTCTTCTTCGTCGTCGTCGTGTCTCGAACTCGGCTCCTCGTCGAGGGGTCAGCAGGAATCTCCCAGATACTGCCATCCATGCCTGAGCGTGATCGACACTCCCCTGCCGAGCATCTCTGCGGCCCGAGATTCTGGAGTGGCTCTGCGCTGCGCTGTGCTGTGCGAGAGAGCGAGCGGTAGCCGACGCGCGGGACTCTGAGAATCGGGATTGCGATTTGAGTGTGAGCGGGACGCGAATTTTGAGTGAGCGAGGATGGGAGTGCAGGGGTTATGGGAGCTGTTGACTCCAATCGGTCGCCGGGTTTCGGTGGATTCTCTCGGGAACAGAAAGCTGGCCATCGGTGAGATTCTCTCATGGCTCGATCACTGCACTGGATTTCAGCTTCGCAGGAGCGAACGCTCGGTCCGGTGGAGTGCGACGAATTTTTTCAGAAGCGCTCTTTTAGCTGCAACTCACTGGAACAATTTGGAGGAGACCTTGTGGTTGAGCTGGTCCTCTGAAGTGGAGAAGGCTTCGGGCGATTCGCTTCCGCTCTCGTATCTGCAATTTTTTCTCACGCCTTCGGAGATTTTAGAGAACCCGGCATCTGAAGGCTGTGATGAATTTTCCCACTGGTTTCTGTTTATTTGGTCGGGATGTCAAGCTGCTCATGAGAATTAATGGTCATCGAATGAACTTTGCGTGCACCAATTTTGCAGATGCAAGCATATGGATTATCCAATTTATGAAGGCAATGCGCGACGAGAACGGAGACATGGTCAGAAATGCCCACCTCCTCGGGTTCTTCCGGAGAATTTGCAAGCTTCTCTTCCTGCGCATAAAGCCGGTCTTTGTGTTTGATGGGGGAACACCACTTCTGAAACGAAGGACCGTGATTGCCAGACGCAAGCAGCGGGAAAGTGCGCAATTCAAAATTCGTAAGACTGCTGAGAAGCTGCTTCTAAACCATGTGAGCTTGGCACTATTGCCAGCCCTCTTTTCACAATCGGGGCTTGCCGCTGAATAAGCATTGATGGTCTATGTGTTCTCGAAGAATTGATGTTAGAGCTCACCGATGGTCACTCTTTGTGAATATAGCATCAAAGTACAGATATGTGAGCATTTTCCACAGCCTCTCATTCTGGAGAGAAGGAGATCGGTTGTGCACCGTTGGAGTCATGCCTCGCTGTGTATCGGCTGTCTTATTCGAGATTCTTGTAGTGTTTATTCTCTTGATTTCCAAGAATTAATTATACGAGGTTCGGAGTTTTTTCTTTCTATGTACAAGGTTGAAGTTTGATCCGATCACATGAATTCATGGCATGTACCAAGCTGGATCAGTGTGACCTGCTTCTGCCTCTAGCAGCAGTTCTTACCGGCTTGCTGACAAATTTTGCGCGTAGATCCGGTCACGTAAATTGGAGGAGTTAGCTTCTGAAATCAACTCTGGTCCACGAAAGCCTCCAACCCAAGTTCCAAGCCAAGTATCAAGTCAGGTCGTTGAAACAGATGTCAAGCCAGTCTCAGCGGACGCATTTCAAACATCACCTGGGTCGGAACATCAGTTAGATGCACGGGGCTTGTCTTTCAGAGAACGAGCTGATCAGGAAGCTGCAGATGCTCTGTAAGTGCCGTTGGTTTCATTTGTTAAGAAGTTCACTTTTATTATTTTCGAATTACGGAGAAGATGATTGAATCCCCGTATGCAATACTGAAGACAGCAACTAGTTAGACGTACTATTCGAACAACTTTGCAAATGGTCCTTCAAGCATTCCAGTCCTCGGCTAGGTAACTGATCAATATTGTACATCCAATCATGTAGACACACTAGAGACTCGAGATTGCTACTACGAAGAGTATGCTGTCCAAATTTTGCTCTAAACTTCGTACTCCTTGTAATTTTACTCACTGTTCTTCTCCCACCCACCAGGCTTGCAGCATCATTAGCAGCAGAAGACAGTCAGTCTGCGCAGGCTGACAGAGATCCAGCTGAAGAAATTATTGAAGCGAGCGATGGGGATGATGATGTGGAGGAGCTTGTTCTGCCTGTAGGTTTAATTTTTATTCTTGATTGACTTTTTTCTTCAAGTATGTTGTGATTTCTGTTACTTATATACAACTGGCAGCTAGCACAATGCTACCATTCCAATTCAAAGTGCAAGCTGACTCACCAGTACGATTTTGTCTTCCGTCGTGTGGAGGGAGCTTATATGCATTATATACGGAACACTTTCTGATGTGTAAGCAACTAACTGCTGTTTTGCCTTTGTGTCCTCAGTCCACTGTGAAGGGACTCGATCCTGCCGTCTTGGCGTCTCTACCCGCTTCGATGCAGTTGGAGCTACTAGTCCAGGTCTCTACCTTTGGTTCTTGGTTTCATCATATGAATTTGTAGTTTAATTGCTGCCTTTCACCCTCGTTCATGAGTTCATGACGCATTAGTTTCCTGTTCATTGTGCAGATGAGGGAACAACTTGTTGCTGAAAATAGGCAAAAGTTTCAAAAAGTATCCAAGGTAGGAAACTCCTTGAATCTGCTGGGTTTCTGTATCCAATTATGAAGTTGCATAAATTTGCGTCTAGTTTGTTGTATTTTATTTTCTAGAAATTGCAGACATAGCTATACTTTACAGGATCATAACAATAGTTGTCTAGCTTCTAAAACTTGTCGTACAGCTTCAGCTTTTTTCTGATTATTAAGAAGTATTAACTGTTCTTTGTTTTTATCACTGGATCAGGTGCCCGCGTCATTTTCTCAGCTACAAATTCAAGCTTACTTGAAAACTGTAGCATTTAGAAGGGAGATAACTGAAGTTCAGCGAGCTTCGGGTGGTGTGGGAGTAGGAGGTGTTCCCACAACTCGAATTGCATCCACCTCTGACCGGGAGTTCATTTTTTCGAATTCCTTTCAAGGCGAGAAACCGTAAGTCTCTGCCCGGAGTCTTTTATAATGATTCCAACCTCGATTTGTTCATCACTATGTTCATAATTTTACACCTTATGAATGCAGAGCACCGAGCACTGTTGAAAAACAGAGACGTGGAAGAAGCGGAGTAGCAAAGGAGATTCCTGGTTCATTTCTGGGATCAAAGTCAACTTTGTTTTCCTCTATGACAGAGACTCAGAAGAGTCCTCTAGAGGTGATTCCCGAAGAAGGTGTGGTCTCATTGGTCTCTACACAATTGAGTGAAGAACCTGACACAAATTCCAATAGTTCCGTTCATACTTATGTTGATGATAGGGGGCATGTTCGTGTAAGCAGAGTGAGGGGTATGGGAGTGCGCATGACAAGAGACCTTCAGTGGAATTTGTACCTGATGAAGGATACAGAGGCAAGAAAAACTTCAGATAATGGACTTTCATCCGAACCACCAATCATCCCCTCAAACTTTGTAGCAGATTCACCTACATCAACAGTAAATAATGTTATGGACTGTTCGGCTAGTCAACAGGGGCTACAAATTTCCTTTGTCGATGACGGAAATTCTGATTTCAGCAAAGATGGAGATCTTTTTGAAGAACTGGTCATGTTGAATGGAAAAGGTGAACATGTGACCAATTTACAAGGTTCCAGTTTTCCAGCAACTAATAAACAAACGATGGCTACAATCACTGAAGAGGACGAGGACTATGAGTGGGAAGAAGGTGGCGTGGAGAAAAGCTTGGACTGCTGTGTTGTGGAGGAAAAGGCTGAAGTTCATCAAGTTTTAGAAGGCTCAACGCTGGCCTCTACTCGCGAGAATGAGAGTAGCGGACACGTTGTGAGGGACCACACAACGTGTCCTCACCCTCTTCATATCCCTTGTGTGGTCCCACACAAGGAATATGAAGAGGGGCAAGATGAGCAGTGGGATGATGGTGGACTGGATAAGGGTGTTGATTACAGTGTAGACTACAGTGTTGTTGAGGACAAAGACTTGGCTGAAGCAATGAAATTAAGTCTGATGATGCAGGACGAACATGTGAATACTGAAGAGCCTAATGATCATATCATCATAGAAGATGGACCAAGCAGTGATGAGAGTGAAGTGGAATGGGAAGATGGTACAGGAGCTGTTACTGTAACAGGTTTTGACGCAGTCAGTGGAAATACTGATACGAACACGATCGAGTTAGGTCCTTCAGAAGAAGCTCAAATACAAGAGGCCATCCGTCGAAGTTTGGAGGACTTCTGTCCTCCAGCGAAAATGTCAGCCCGGCTTGTGATCAAAGAGCCTTCTGAGGACTATTCAAGTTTCACTTGTCATCTACCTAAGGAGGCTGGGATTGTCTCTCCGTTGCAACGAGCGGAAGAGGAGTCAGAGGAAGTATACCTTGCCCGTGAACGAACGAGAAAAGGAAAGGCACTTTTAGGAGAGGAGGAAAACGTATCACGGCTTTATGCATCTAACATACCGAAAGTTATATCGGAAGAATTGGAACACCATCCTGATGCAACCATCTTCAAGGCTTGTAACGAGGATGCACTCCAAACGGTAGCCAGAGTTATTGAGAAAAACTCGAACCACCATGAGAACCAAGTGGGAGAAATTAGACCGGCGCCTTCCATTGCTGTCAAGGCCGAACCGATTGAAGAGGAACATGCATTCGTTTGTAATCCAGTCTGCGAACAGGTTGTAATCAACCATGGGGCATCTGCTCAAGCTATTTCAGAAAGTGTCTTACCTGGTGCAGGAGGCTGGAAAGTTTCGCCCGTCTCAACTGCTGACACCACCGTTCCGAATCCTTCAAACAAGAACACGCTTGTTGAGCAAAGTTCAGCGGCGGAGGTTTCCTATCATCCAAGTGATGTCGCCGCTGAGGTGACGTCCATGGACACAGAAGATTCCAAGACAGGAATTCTTAGCCATTTCGCCGGAACGTCTACCAAAGCTCCAGTTTATCCTTCTGAGTCTTTGCCCACTAGTGAGGCCGAACTGTTGAGGGATGCTGAAGAGATGGACATTGCGAAGGAGAGAGAAGAATTACGACTTAAAGAAGCCCAGCTCCACATAGAGAGAGAACAGTTGGCCAGGGAGGAAGAAGAGCTGCAAGCGGAACTTCAAGCCGAGAGAGAAGAGATTCTTGCTGGGTTGGACAGAGAAAGGGAGCTTCTTGAGCGCGAGGAGATGGAACTGCGTGCTACTAAAAAGAAGAACGAAAGGAACGCAGAATCTGTGACGAGTGAGATGTTTACAGACGTTCAGGTAATACTGTGGGACTACCTACTTTGCAATCAATAACCCCATGGAAGGACCTCATGTCGGATACAAACGTCATTGATTCTACTCAAATCAAGACCTTCTGGCGATGTAGTTTCCACCTATCCGTTACCCGTACAGAATAATGTTCAATCCACATGAGATCTGCAATCACGTGCCGTGTTTAATTAGTTCTTGTTGGTTTGTGTACATGACTGAAAAAATTATCTGCATTACAGAGGTCAGTGAAGCACTGCGTTTGTTGATTCATACTATCTTGAGCAATAAGTGATTAAGGTCGTCTGACATATGAAGTTGATACTTTGTGGGGGATTAATGCAAAAGGTCATGTGTAGGATTTGAAGTCTGATTCAATCTAGTTCATGCTGTCTTCATGTTGCCAGGAACTTCTGCAGTTGTTTGGTTTACCCTACGTGGTCGCCCCTATGGAGGCAGAGGCACAGTGTGCTTTCCTAGATACCATCAACCTTGTTGATGGTGTTGTAACTGAAGATTCAGATGTATTTTTATTTGGTGGCCGAAATGTCTACAAGAATCTCTTTGATGATAGAAAATATGTGGAAACGTACTACATGAAGGTATGTTCCTGACTAAGTTTGGATCAGTTCTACATGAGACTTCATCCAACTCTACGGTTTCCAGTTGATTGATCATTTGTCTTCGATTCTTAATCAAATAGAGTGACAATGAAACTAATGTGCATGTGTCTCCAGTCTTGTGATTTTCCAATTTCTTTCGAGTACAACTCGTTGTTTGAAGCAAGTGTTCGCATTAGCATAAGTACTGGAAGGATTCCTACATCATGATTATCCACGAAGGTCCATGTCATTGTATTCATGGTCAATGAAGATAAAGCAACATTGTGATTGCAGGTTTTCCATTCAGTCACCTGTTTTCAACTCATGATAGTCTTTTTATCGCAGCATAAAGAAACAGAACCTTTTTCTTGATCGCAGGATCTGGAATCTGAAATGGGTATGACTAGGGAGAAGTTGATAAGAATGGCATTGTTGTTGGGAAGTGACTATACAGAGGGAATCAGGTACGAATTTTCATACATTACTGTTGTTCATCTTTTAATATTGTTGTTTATCATGTCTTCAGTCGATTTAAAATTTTTCAGGTTATTGAAACTCGAGTATAGGCAGTATCTTTCATTACTTCTGTGACCGTCTTTTCTATTATTCGTAGTTTCGTCACATGAATCGACAAATAGACTCGTCGAAGAAGAGTAAAGAACTCAAAGAATTGAGAGGGCTTGAATTGTCTGATGGCTGAAAATGTCCTTTCTATGCAGTGGGATCGGTATCGTCAATGCGATTGAGGTGGTGAATGCTTTCGAAGAAGAGGATGGCCTTCAGAGGTTTAAGGCGTGGCTGGACTCCCCAGACATGTCTCTTTTTAACCAAGTTTATGTGCAGACTAAGGTTAAAGGCGACGGTAAAGTAGGACGAGCTAAGGGCAAGGCCTTGGAAGGTGAAGGTGAGCATATTGAAGAGGATGAAGTCTGTGAAGGTGGTGATCTGGATGAGACGGAAGACTCCAAGTTCACTCCTCGGCAGCGTATCTTCATAAGCAAGCATGTTAGTAACGTTTTCAAGATGCTGGATAACTGCTCTTTGCTGTCTTGAAAGCTCCTATCACCTCAAAAACGTTACCCCTATTAAGTTTGGTGTTTCAGTCCTCGATAGCAGTCCTCATGTTGCGTACGCGTTCAACCCGTCATCTCTGATCCCCCTTCCATCAGGTTGATGTCCCCGGTCATTACCATCACAAGTTGGTGCTATACTCTTTTTAAAGCACGAAGTTAAACTAGCCATGTGACCAAGTGATCTGTACCATTTACCTGGCAATTCCTTGTGTTTTCAGAGAGTTGTCAGCAAAAATTGGCACATACCTGATTCGTTTCCAAGTGAAGCTGTCGTATCGGCTTACATCAGTCCTATGGTCGACAAGTCAAAGGAAACCTTCTCTTTTGGAAGACCAGATCTTGAAGCCCTGCGCAGGTACACTAGTAAACACTGCTGTGAGAGACCAGTAGTTTCCATTTCTGACGAGTTTGGTCATTGAAGCGTTTCATATTATACATGGGTTTTGAAGAAGCTTTTGTTTGTGGTAAGGACCTCTCGAAGTAATGCAAATATTCTTAACTTTGTCAAAGCTGTTGTTTTGCACGAGTTGTGATGACATGCATGCTGACGAGTGAACCTCCATAATAGGTTTTGTTACGAGAAATTTTCTTGGGGGAAAGACAAAGCAGATGAACTGCTCTTGCCTGTTTTGAAGGAACATGATCGTCGTGAGGTAAGAAATTTCTTCGACCCAGGAATGCGCTGTCTGTTTTTTTTTTTAAAAAATATAGAAACTCGCTCGTTTCTACGTGCATTATCAAACGTTTCTCAAAGGAGTGTCAAACGGTCATCTGATACAACTGCTGTTTACAGACTCAAACCCGAATGGATTCCTACTACCACTTCAGTCAACGATTTGCAAAAATTCGAAGTCGCAGAATACAGAAAGCTGTAACGGGAATCACCGGCCGTCGTTCTGATGAGTTGATGGATCTGCCACCTCATCTAGTCGTGCAGAAGAAGAGCACGAAAAAGAGAAGTAATATTACCAAAACGAGTGAGCTTGATGATGAAATCAACAGATTATCAGAAATCAATCAAATGTCTCCTCTGCTTGATGAAGAACCAGCTACTACAGAGGATGGAGCTGTGGCTGGGGTGGCAAGAGTTGGGAGAGGTCGAAGAGGTAGAGGTCGTGGTCGGGGTCAACATCTGTCGACTGCGGGAGAAGTCGAAGACGAGGGAAATGATGGAGAAGATGTACCAAGCATCACGAATCGGAAATCTCGTGGTAGAGGTAGGGGTAGGGCAAGAGAAACCGGAAAGAGTAGTACGAGTGGTAGGAGCAAACCCACGGGTAGGGGCAGAGGCAGGGGTAAGGGGAAGGCCAGGGAGAACGTCAGTGAGGCTGATGCGAGTGCAAGTGACGAAGTAACAGAAGACTTGATGGGAGAAGTCGAATCATTGAAGAGAAAAGCCAGTCAGACATCCCAAGCACTCCGAAGAGTAAGTTTTGTCTATATTTTGGATTCTGCAATCTGGTCGAATAACGTTTGGTCTGAAAGTAAGATATCTTGTCTGGAATTTCTGATCAGGTCGTTCTGGATGTATTTTAATTTGAGATGTGTACTGCGTATATGATGGGTGGGACTTTTAGTGAACATCATTTCATAAAAAACTTGATTGCATGCATGTGTGCAGTCCACAAGACCACGCTCCGAAGTAAATTACATGCTGGAAAATTCTGATGAAGAAGCATGTGGTGCCTGTTCTGATGGAGAAGAACTCCAAGCATCAAAGCAACATGAAAATGCGACAATGCGTGAGATTAGAGATATTCCGTATGTTCAAGGTGCACACGCCTCTTCATCTGGACCTCCTAAGGGAGTGTCCCACATGGATCTCGACAGACCTGTTAGTGATGGACCTTCTAAAGAGTATGAAGTTGGTGGAGGATTTTGTCGGGAAGACGGTGAAGGTTGTGAAGAAGCCGGACAGCTACATTTTGAGATGGAAGAGCCTGCCTATTTAGCGAGTGGGGGTGGTTTTTGCATGGATGAAGAAGAGGAAACTCCGAAAGATTTTGATGGTTTATTGGCAGGAGACAAAATCCAAGAACAGCAGCAAGGTTTTACTCTGGAGGATGGATTTTGCCTGGCAGAGGATGAAGAGGAGGCTTTAGCTAGGGCAAGTGAGATTGCCGAAGAGAATTATCTAAATCAGCTGAGAAGGATGGAAAGTCAAGAACAAAGCAGGACCCTAGATCCAGAAGTTCCTAGTGTATGTAGTCAAGTTACTGATGATGTCTCACCACCAGTTAAACAGCTTGATGAAAATGGTGAAGCCTTAGAGTTGGGGTTGAGGGCAATGCCTTTGATGAGAAGAAAAAAACGCAAGAGTGGATAATAATCACCTCCACAGAGGAGTACTATTATCATGTCAAATATGTACAAATCTCGAAATAATGTGAATTTGAGAGATCCGATGGACAGAGGAACTTTTAACGAATCAACAAGCTTTTGTGATAATCTTCTCATCGCACCTCTGAAGTCTTAGGCAGGAAGGTCGAGCTGCCATCGTTAGTTGTGGTGAAGATGAGGTCGTCTCGACCAAAAGATGATGGTTTTGCAAGCACGTACGCATTCATTGACAGCAAACCGTGGAGCATATACACTGGGGGAAAGAAGTGAAAGTTACTGATCTAACATTGTATTGTATGTAACACCATTATTGTCGAATCAAACATTCGACATTCGACATCAATAATATCTTAATGGTGCCTTGTACCAATACTTGACTTTAAAGTTAATTCTCACACTGACAATTGATCAACTGCATCGTGTAATTATAGTTATTTATTGTTTACTTCTTCGCAGGAACTAGAGGTATTGATGCCCACTGCGGAGAAAATAGATCCCCATGAGATCCGCATGCAGTATCATCGTGTGTGTTCGCCGTTGAATAATATTCAATATGAAATTTCAATGGTTTAGGCATGGGTCACATTCGAGACTCTGTTTTAGTTCTAAATTTGAGGCTGGCGGTGAACACTACTGAAAAGAAATGAACTAAAATAAGAAATTAACATTTATAGACTAAATTTCGGTTCATTTTTAACATTTTCATCATTCTCACCCAATGATATAAAAACTCAATCTTTTGTCTAATATGCAATTCCCATGTCTATCTTTCTTTTAGCATGCACATCATCCGTCACGTCCCGAGTTGTACAGTAAACTAGTCTAATGTGTATCTCCTACTCTTTCTTCTCAACAAAACTTTTACGAGTAAAAGTATGTGTAGTCCTAGGATGATGAATATGATTCCTTGATGAGTTTAGAGCTCCAATGTTGTCGCTATCGCATATGAGTATAGTTGCCACTTGTTGAGGAAATCCAAGCTTATTCAACTTTCCTCTGGACAGATGTTTTTGATAAATCGTGGGCGATTTATCAAAAACTTATCATTTGTCGTGACAACCGTCATCCCCAAATGTACCATCCTTCACAGAGATGAAGATGACTGCAGAAGACAATCTGAGCTGTTTTTCCCTCTGCTTATTTACGAGAATTTTCCTTTTGCCTTTGGGCCAGGGCTTGGGAGATGTGCATCGTCATGGCAAAAGAATGGGAGTGAAGCCCTCCCTTATTCGAGATCAATCGAGGAGGAAGCAGATTATGGTTGTTCTGGATGACATTGACTACGTCAGAGAAATTCAATTGCTCACCGTCCTTCCTTAAGTCGTTTCTGCTAAGATTCGTTTCATTTAACATCTCGGAACGGAGAGTTTCCCTCAGACCCTGAAGATAATTCTATGGCAAGAAAGGTTGTCTCGAGGCAGAGCTTAGGAGCAATGGAGAAAGCAGACCATGCTGCAATATTAGATGACAAATCGTGGTCGCAATTCAGGGTGAGCTACGATCCATGATACTTCCCTGAAGATTGCCGCTATACCTATTTAGAGCAAATAAAAGGAAACAAGGATTCTCGATTTATATCGCATTCTTCGCTATCCTGAGGCCCAGGTCTCTCACATGCTCAAGCATTTGACCTTCTGAATCTTCATCAATATCTAAACACCAAGGACCTGTCAGTGAACGTCTCCCAAAGAAGATTTGAATACTCATGGACTCTTCCAGACAGCTCTGGATTTGGATGATGTCTATTTCTAATCCCAGGAATAAAAAAGATTCAAAGCTTTCAGGAGGAAAATAATTGCCCCTTATCTCTACGAGAAGTAGATCGACATGACGGCCACTGATTGCTGATCATCAATGTAATTATGAGAATCTTCAAAGATGGGAATTGCGATCGCGTCAGTAATAGATAATGCCGAACAAGTTTAAGTATAATCGATAACTTACTCACATTCCATGAAGGCCTTCGAAGTTATGTGCTCATGATTCAAGTCCTTGGCGATTGATATGTATGGTCTGCAGAAAGGAAACAAGTTCCGACTGATGTGCGACGTTATGAAGAGCTGCAAATTTGTTCCCCTGATGAGGTCAAGTATTCCACTAAAACAGTAAAGGTTACGAAATTGGGAGTTGATGAATTGCCGGTTGCTCTGGAAAGACACCGTTCGGCTGCCAAATCAGGTCATCCTTAGAAGCAAAAGTGGTGTTCCCAGTGTTTTCTTTGCTTCTTCTCCACAGGTGATCGCTTTGTCGCGGCAGTAATTTTATAGCAAGCGACTTCCTGAACCCGTTTGCGAGCTCCTTCGGTAAGCATTTTGGCATGAGGGCGAGGAACTCAGCACATTTGCCTCATTCCTTACGTAGGCTCACACCACTGCAAAATCTGGAACGTTCCTTCTGTGAGAGTCTCGTCTCACTCCTTCGCTGACATGAAAGCGCTCCGAAAGCTACATATATGGCACTCTGGGCAGCTGAAAGTGCCTCAGGAAGTCTGGAGGTCGTTTCTAAAACTCGGAGATTTCGGATCTGGAGAAATGCAGAGGTTTGGCACGGTTGCCGAACAATCTTGGCGAGCTGAATGCTTATGAGCAATAACGTCTGGTTACGGGTAAGAAGTTGGAGGATGTACTCGATTTTTCCATTCTTCTGAAAAATTTGCAGAGCTTGGATCATGGAGACTGCAAGCAATTTGCAACGCAGCCAGTTCCTTTCGGTACATTGGAATCAATCTAAGAGTTGTACATGCAATTCTGCGAGATGTAGCCCTGTTTTCCAGAGTCTCTCCAGAAAACGTAGATCTTGCGGCATCGTACCACTCTTAGAGCTTTACCAAATTGTTCTCGTGAGGTTTAAAATTACAGTTAAAAGGTTGTCGAGAGTGAGAGAGTTGCACGTGTTTTTCACTAACATAAAATGATTACAATCTTTGGAGCTTGAAGGATGTGATGTGAATTGTTTGAGGTAGAGTACACCCATTTATGTAATTTACATAAAAAAAATCTTATTAACGAAAATATTGAAGAGCTGCTTGTTCATACATACTTTGAATCGAATTTTAGTGAGTGTAGGTAATTTTATTTCGTCTGTTTCTCTAAATTATCATGAATCGCTTTTCCATTAGATATTTCGTAACAAATCACATCCATTGGATCATGCAGACCTAAGTCTTCATGTCGATAGTATGAACACCTAAGTTTTCATGCTGTATGAAAATTTTATTATTCAATAGAAATCAGGTATACTGCAAAAGATGATTGGGAATAAAGATTGAAAAATAAACTTTCGATCAAAAATATCGTTGCTTTTAGAAAATCGTATATATAATCACATGAGTCCATGATCTCTCACAGTTTCTTTTCAAAAGATCACAAAACTCTGTAATTCTATTTCAAATTCACGTGCTTGGAATATATTTAACAAACAAATGCATATATATGGTATACAAGACATATACAACTTGAAATCTATCAAATGAAAGTTGAAAACTTGTATTCATTTATCAAATGAAAGTTGAAAAAAACACATGAATTTCTACTATCATATATATTTATTTAAAATATTTAAAATCTTATATTTGACAATATGTATCCTCAATCATATGTTTACTTGAACTTACAATTCTCACTGCGTTGTATTGAACCTAAATTCACTAAGCTGTCAATTTAGTTCAACTTGGATTGTTGTATGCGAGTAATTTTATCATCAAAATGCTTTTTCGCCCTCAACTGATTTTTTTTTATATCTATTTCCATATATCAAATATTAAATCCAATTGAATTTCGATCTAGTTATTTTCTGATTTCAGAACATGCTATGGAGAATATTAACTATTACATCTTTCAATCTCTGAGATTGAAAGATGTATTTGTAATTTTTGTTATGGCAAATTTTAGCTAATAGCTTAAATATAACCGGAGTCGAGAATCGGTTGAAGCAGGTATTCTAAAACAATATATCGCCCGAGTAAAAGACAGGTTCTACTTTACAGTTAAAATGGTTGACGTGGTATTAATGCTTAGTAGTCCGCTAGATAGTCCAAGGCAGTTCAAAATATATATTTATATTAAAATTGAAAAAGACTTTTATATCGTATTTTTTAAGATTCTGACGTTATTTAATGAATATCTTATACTGAAATATTTATTTAAGAATTGATCGTATTAAGAACGGATAGATGTGCTCAATCAAACGATACTCGGACATGTCTTTGGATAAAAATTTAGAACAGAACAATATGGTTTTAATATCAAAAATATTATCTTAGCCGAGGATGTCTAATCTAATTTTTGTCAACGGTTGAAACAAAATAATATATCTCTATATGATCTTGGAGAATAGCTATGTATTACCTGCTTGATGTGTTACATTTTTATGGGAAAGCAGTTACATTTTCATGAGCATTAAGACAAAATCATTTCCAGACTTATTATTCTCCAGGTTAGCTATAAATCTCAACCTGGAGCAACGAAAATATCGATATACGAAGAGAGTTGAAAAACAAAACCAAGTCGTTCAAGCGACGAATGGTCCTCAAGACTGAGGTCCCTCCCTCAGTTCCTGGAAAACGCGGATCTGAGTACTCGCTGTTCATATTGTGACGTCAATTACTCATTAGAATACGAGATGGAGCTTCGTCGATCATAATCTGAGTTTGAAAGTGATGGAGATTACGGTACTGAGAGCTTCGCTTACAACTGTCCTGGCCAATGGCGAGTCGTCGTAACTTATTGATACTCGGAGAGTTATTGCGACAGTGGTAGTGAACACTGCATGACCATGGGAAGGCCTCTACCTCCAATAAACCTGCTGGACCTGAATGTGCTCAGTGTGGACTAGTTATGAACTCTGTTAATCACCTCTGCAACACTTGCCAGTCATCATTGGCATCATTCATTCGTCCACAACATCTAAAACTTGATTAATCTCGTGCCGACCCCAGATTTGCCCTCATAGAAAGAATATATTGCATGCACGAGTGTTGAAGAGCTTCTAGAAATTGCCCGCAGCACATTATTACGGTGTGATAATAAATTATCATTCAGCATGAGCATGAACTTAACCGGAGTCCCTGGAAAAATATAATAGAGAATCATCGGGCATTTAGCTCGTCAGAAAAGCGGTGATGGCCTGAAGGGTATAAGTTTTGCATTTCGCAGATGGTTCACGATCGATTTTTTGGTTTATAACTCTCGCTTTAAGTTTCACAGATCTGTGATACCGGGCTGGCCAGCCTCAAGGACCCTGACATCCTTAAAGAAACAATTACGAACTCACCAAATCATCATTTCCGAATATACGAGATTGAAAGAAACAGACTTCTATTGGATGACTCCGCAATGCAAATGTCAAATTTGTAGTAGTTTATTACAAAGCTCCTTTGCAGCTTTTCGATCTCCATAAAGCAGAAGTAGCAGAACTCATCCACCAGGAATTACGAGAGACTTAGCCCGGTGGTACGGCACGCACTATAAAAAGAGAACATATTCTCACCATCACATCGTTTGAACAGGGAGGCAGCAGATCTCGAGAACTTATATTGATATGGTGACAGCTCGAAGAACTTTTTTCTCAGCTGGACTAAAGTTCATGCGGACCAGTGCAAACGGAGATTTATTACAGTACTTGATGTTCTCCGTGCAGGTTGAACTCCTGCTCATTTGACCCCAACCAGACCTCAGATCTCAAAAGACTCTTACTACGTAGGGGTCAAAGATAGCAGGAAATCTACTACAGCTTATCCATTTTTGATCAACGGCAATTGTGTGAACTGGAAGTCATAGTTACAACCTGTTGTGACTTTATCCACAGCAGAGGCAGAGTATATTGTTGCCACTGAGGCAGTGAAAGAAGGCATATGGATTCAAGGTCAGCTGAAGGAGTTACATGTGTTTCAAGGTACAGCAACACTCTTCTCCGATAGTCAAAGCGTAACCATTTGTGCAAAAATCTAGTGTTTCACGTTAGAACAAAGCATGTTGACATCAAGTACCATTCCATGAGAGAAAAGATCACTGATGGCAATATCAACATTGCAAAAATCAGCACTGATGACAACCCGGCAGATTGCGGCAATAAAGTGGTAACTTTGGGAAAGTTTCGATTGTGTCTGAAACCTCTCGGAGTTGATGCTTTGTGACTGAGCAAAAATCCAACGATGAATCAGTGAAGGACGAAGATCTAGTTCGAATATAGGTGACCAAGATCAAAACTGAAGACTGAGGTGGAGATTGTGAGATATCAGCTTCAGTTGCATGTCATTTTCTCTTTTAGAGTCTTTGTCGTTATTATTATTTAGTAATAGCTCGCTGATGAGTCAATATCATGTGGGATGTGTAGGAATTGACGTCTTTGATTCATTCTGATTTTTTACTGTTATAAGTCAAGATGATATAAAGTCAATCAGAGAATTAAGGCATTGCATTACAATGATAAGGATTTCAAGAATGGTTGAGAGGGAGAACAGGGAGACACATAGAGAGTGGAAATCATCTGTGAGTAAGTGTTAGTCTTGCTTGAGAAACAAGAGTGATTTTTCGTGTGTGTGGTTCTCACTAGACTGAAACCTTGTAATAACGGTAGGAAAGTCAAGTCTGACGAAACTGCTCTTGGATACATACATACTCAAACTGCCTTCATTGAGGAGTTAGCGGGGACTAGGCTTTCAAGTTGAACCTCGTCAAAAAATGCTTGTGTTTGTATGGTGTCTGGACTGTGATTTTCTGTAGGTTATGGAAATTCAGATCCCTACAAGATGAACACTTCGATCTTTCCTTGCCCTGCAGTCTCATCTGTGTCCCTTTGCTCAGCGCTGCAGGATTCACAAAGCGCTCAGTAGCATGTTGCGAAACTGGACCTTACAACGGTGATGTGGTGGATGTGGGGCACTTGATGCCAACGGAGCTCCCGTCTACAATCTGTGCTCAAAATAGTCGCTTGGCCAGTACTTGTATTGGGATTATGCCCACTTCACAAAGAAGGTCAACAAGCTTCAGACAGGATTCTAATATATATGGGCGTATATGGGCGTCAGTATGTCAAGCCTTTTAACGTCAGCACCTTGGCCCCATCCTAACCCATATGATTCAGCAGTCTTTCCGATTTGCAACTCAGAAATTTGAGGACTGTAGATTTATCAATGTGGTAACGCAGTTTTTGTTTTTTGTCGGAATTAAAATATTTTTGAAAAGCAAGTACCGCGGTAGCAGCTGTAAATAGTAATCGGTACGCGAAAATAGAGTAAAAAGGGAATCTTGGGGTCTAGGGGAATCGAGGGCAGTCTAGGGGCTTTGGGCTTAGGCCACGGTTGGGCGCCTTAAACGGAACGGACGGTTCATGCTGCAAGATCCACTTCAACCGCCTTCGGCAATAGCGCCTTTGCTGAGGAGCCTTCGGCGCAAGTAGAAGGAAGTCCCTTCGGCTCAAGCTCCTTGGCGGAGGTTCTATCGCTGAAGACGTATGAAGCATGTATCACGTGCAAGCATGTAGCAACTCCTTCGTCTGTGGGTTCGACCTCGTTACTAGACTTCGCCTTCGGCTGTAGACTCCTTCGGCCAAAGCTCTTTTGGCATTATCGCCTTCGTTGCTAGCGCCGTCTTTGTCGAAAAGACTTGACTTCGGCGGAAACGCCTTCAGCGGAAGAAGAAAAGAAAAAGAAAAGGGTGGAAGCGAGTGCCTTCGGCGGTACGCGGACGGAGAGCTGCGTCAGCGGAAATCGGCGGGATTAAATTGAATGTACATGTGTGGGGGTTCGCGCAACGGCGGAGCGTGAATTCGCGCGTGCGAATGTAATAACCCACCAAAGGCTAAAACTGCAGTATAGCAGCAAAAGGTCAAACCCACAGGGACAAAGGCAACACACAGAGTATTAAATGTCACGTTTTAACAGACTATTGAGGAGTTTGAATTCTCAGGCTACCGTCACTTCTAGAAATACTGCAAGTGCTCATCTTAGAGGTCACTCGGAGGTCGCACAGTGCAGCGTAGTTTACCCCAACACACACCTGAAACTGGAAAAGCACAACTCAGAGGTCGGTTAGGACCTCTACTTAAGATTCAGGGGGAAAGTTTTCCAAGAGTACACTCAAAGGATCTGCAGGTAGTGACCCCAACTCCGAATTTACAACCCTTCCACTAGTTAGTGCTAGTGCAGGACATCCGGGTTGGACTTCCTACTTCGGATGCGGTACCTTTGTCAAACCGAAGTCACTCTTACACGGTGAACAACACACTCAACTCACAAAACGCGCAGAGAATAGAGGAACCGAACTGAGAAACTCAATGGAGAAAACATCCAGTGTCGCCACTTAACAGTCTATTGACGAATTTGAATTCTCAAGCACTAGTCATTCTCAGAAATATTGCGGAGGCTACCCCCGGAGGCGCTTCAAGCAGCGTAACACACACACAACCTGAATTTACAACCAAGGCTTACTCCAAAGTTTATCAAAACTTCACTTTGGCATTCAGGGGGAAAGATCCCGAAAGAATAAAAACAGGGAAGATCGTTCGAAGGTGTAAGTCCGAATTTCAGATCCTGACTAGACTATTTGCTAGCTCAGAACACTCAGACAAAGACCTTTGGCTGTAGGCTGCGGTAACTTCGATAATTCTACAACTTCTCTTGCGCAGTGACAGAAACAAAATACACAAAAGCGCATAGGAAACGACTTCCTGAACTGAACTTCCGAAACTGAAAAATCCCCAAGTCAAAACGCCTTGAAGTACTTTATACACTCTAAGATCCTAGCTAACTAACACTCTATTCTACGTCTCATCTGCTATGCCTCCTATGCGAAGGCCGACTGCGCACTAACTTTCTACCTGACCAGTCTTCGGCTCTACTGCGCAATCCCAGCCGCCGCAACACCGCGGTCACCTCTGCCTCAAGGTTCGCAATGGCGTCTCGCAACCTCGCCAGAAAGGCATCCAACCGCTTTGCAACTCGCCGCCGACTCCGACTGTCACCCGACATCAAGGCCGCCGCACGAATCTCCAATTCACGCAAGGTGACTTTCCCTTGCGCTGCAATCTCCCAGCGAGTATAACCTCTCAGACACCGATTCACTCGCGCTACCAACTCCTCTCGCGTGCCATTTGTTGCGCGCCGGTTGTCGCCTTCAAACTCCACTATTTGCAGCTCCGCTTCCGCACGCTGCGCTCATAATTCGTCGCACTGCGATTGCAGGCGACGCAGTAACTCCTCATCTGCCTTGTGTGCGATCTGACACTGCTCCAGCAACCGAGTATGCCGCACGAGCTCCTCTGTCAAGATGCAATTCTGAGCTCGCTCAGAATGAAGCTCCGCCTCGAGCTTCGCACGCTGCTTCTCAAATTCGCGCTGGGCCTCGGCCGCTGCGTCATCGCACAGCTGAAGTGCTGTCTTGTGCAGCCTCCGCGAGAGTGTAACATGTCCATGCAGAACACTGTTCTTCTTCTCCAACTCTCGGTACTTCTGGTATAGGGAAATCAGCTCGGGATTTGTCGCTGCCTTGATCCGCCTCCGATTCTTGACCAATTCGACGTAGGATCTCCGATGGCGGGGATCCGCATACCTCGCTGCCTTGCGATCAAGGTACTGTAGTAGCGGTACCACCTGCTTGCAAAGCACTCCCGTCGGCGTGCCTTGCACCAACTCCACTTCCTCCTCCTTTGAACGCGAATCGTCCTCTAAGTCGAGGATCTCTGTCGCCATAGAAATCCTCGGCGATTCCCTGGAACTGGGTCGCGCAACTTCTTTTGCCGCGACCGCCGCTCCACTCCCTGCCAACATCTCCAACGGCGTGGGAGATCTTGCTTCCGGCGGGCCCACTTCACCTGCCCGAGCTGCTACCGCCGAAGGCACACGTGTTTCCTCCTTCTTGCCTTTGTCCTCCGCAGGTTGCTCAAGTTGGGTCTGCGTCGAAGGCGCTTCACCCGAAGTCCTCTAAGCCGAAGGCTCTTGAGCTGAAGGCTTCTTCATACACTTCTCCTACAACGAAGGCTCCTGCGCCAAAGGCTCTTGACCCGAAGTCGAGTCATCAAAAGTTACTTGCTAAGAGGCCAAGCACCTGTCCGTCGCTGGCACACTAGTTGGTGTCCCATGCCGTGGCCTTGGCCCAAAGGCCTTCCGTGCCTTCGATGCAGGGAGGTCCGTTGTACTCCCAAGAACTCTCGCACTTGCATCCTCCCCCGAGAATGGCGAGTTTCTTCTCTCCGCGGCTCGTCCGGTCTCCGCGCTACTTGCCGGCAGATCAAGCTTGCGAGCTTTCTGCTTCGGCCGACCGGAGGGCTCGTGGGTCGCCCGACTTCGGGGGGGGGGGGGGGGGGGGGGGGGCAGCGGGCGCTTCTCGCTGACTCTTGTCCGTCTCTCCATCCCATTTCCGCTTCCGCGGCACTCGTACTGCCCGCGGTTCTTCCTCTGCTCGCGGTCGAGCTGGTGGTGTGCAAGCGGGCGTCTCGTCTGTGTCGGTGTCAACCTCGACATCCTTCACGTATCTGCCCGGATTGCTGCGTGACAGCAAGGGAAACTGCACTCGCTCCGACGCTGTCAAGCACCCCATTGACCGATAGAAATTAATCAAGAAGGGGGAGAGGTGATAAATCGATCCCCCTTCTCCTCCTACGCGTGCTGTTGCGTTGCCTTCCACAGAATCCGAGCCCAATAGATCGAAATTCCTATCAACGCCAGCTCCACAAACCCCACCTGCCAAGAAGTCATGTAGGTGATCCGATGCGGCTGTAAAATTTGGAGGAGTGTTACCGCGACATTCCTCCACATGCGACCCTTGTAGTCACAGGTCTTGTACCCGTTCTTGCTAGACTTGTTGTTCTTGAAAAGGGCACCGATCGAAATTTCTTCTTCCTTCGTGACCTGCACACTCTCGCATTCGAAGAGAAGGTCGCCTTCTTCTCCCGTGCACCTTCCCAAGACTTGTTCTCAATCGCTGACCTGCCATCTCTTCGGATGTGGTCAAAAACCGCGCGGAGGTTGGTTTCTCTCCCGCAACCATTCCCGGACCATCTCCGGGCACACCCAACTTCATCCCCATAGGAGGAAATCAAACTTCACCGCCGACAGCTCGCTCTGAAATGCGCGTAGATCAATCTGCGGCACTTTCAGGGGAACCATCCGCAGCTGAGTCGACCGGGCCATCAAACTTCTCGCAAGTTCCTGCACACTCAATTTCTCTACTGACACGAGCTTCTTGCAACTTCTCTGCACTCTACTGCGCGTCGGGAGCTGGGGTGAACTCGCTGCAATTTCTCTCTACACTTCTCGCCCACTCTCTATCAATCTTTCCGCGAGTGCTCAACGAATTCTCCACAAGACTCCAGCAAGATTCTACTTCTGCACACTCTACTGCTGCGCACTCCTGCAGTCTCAAAAATCCGCACACTCTCATCACGCTTAGAAATTTCTCCGCAAGATCACCGCGAATTACCCTGCTACGCGTCGCGAGCTCTGACGGATGCGAAATTGAAAATACGAGGATGAGTGAGAGTGAGTTCTTTCCTTCGGCGATCAAGATCGCCCAACGTTCGATACTTGGACTGGCCGCGGCCCGCTTGAATGCGATGTCGGCGCGGAGGCGTAACGGCCCAATTCGCACGCTCGAATTCACACTCCGCCGTTGTGCGGATTCCCACGCGTGTACGTTTAATCTTGATTCTGCCAATTTCAGCCGACGCTGTTCTCCGCTCGCGTACCGCCGAAGGCGCTCGCGGCGAAGGTACGGAACATGAACGAACGAGTGCATGAACGAGTGCATTTTTGTTACGGCCGTCCACAGAGGAAGACCTCCAGTTTGCAGGATGAGGAATAATATAAAAAGGCCAAGAAGAAAAGTTACTGATTTTGACCACAGTCGATAATCATTTCAATTGATTAAGCTTATGATAGTAACATCCAAATTGACGTTTTATCAGCATCTCAGATGTCAATTGACTTTAGGTCCACAACTGTTTTGTGACAGTCATAGTGATAAAGTCAACTGAGTTTCAGAGAATGACGGGCATATTCTAGATCTCCATACTCTGTAGGAGAGATTCTCTTCTACACCAAAGCTCCTACTTTGCGCGATGATTTGTCAAGATAACAATTCAACTATGCAGGAAAGCCCTCAAGGGAATCACTAAGAGTCTTAACGGCCGCTGGTCATTTCTCCATCTAATTTGCACTTGATCCACTCATCAATGATTAAATGCAACTACCATTCGATAGTGATTTCAGACATCTGGATATTGTTCCACTATCTTCTTCCAAGCTGGCCGAGAAGTGATAGTTTCGTACCAAGCATTGACATGTTTGCGGCTAGTAACCAGACTTTCCTTTCCCGAGCTGGCCACGAATCTGTGCAGCAAAGGAATGTGAGCCAGATCTGCCATGGAGTAGAAGTCTCCTGCCAAGTACTTGGTCTTGGCCAGCTGAGCGTCATAAATGTTCAGAAGCTTCTCAAACTTGCTGAGATTCTCTTCCACAACCGCTACGTCCGGTACTCTTCCTTCGAACTTAGGAAAAAAGTACAATTCCAAGACAATACTCCGAACCGGAGGGTCGAAGTTGCACCCTTGCACCTCAAACCACTGATCCACCATCGCCTTCTCCTTGGGAGTTGATCCGAGCAGATGCAGTCCCCCGTAGTTGGTCGCAACATATCTTAAAATTGCTCGACTTTCTGTAACAAACAGACATCAAAATTAAACTTCCCTGGTAGTAGCTTGTCGAGATATCCTCCTCTCATCAGCGAAAATGCAACAAACCAGTTCCACAGCTGAAACATATATTCTTAGCTATCTTAGCTGTTCTTTGAAAGCTAACATCTATTACTGACATTCGGGCTAAATCTACGATCATAGTACAAGAAAATTCTATCCTTTAGTAGAGAAAAAAATTTAGCTAAATAAAGATCTTCTAGTTTTTGAATATCTTCTGAACTACACATTTTCGCATATATGTGTAGTTCAGCTACCCTACTACTAAAGCATGGAACACGCAAGCAATTTCTGTTGCAGATGAATTGCTTCTAAAGAAATCTCTGCACTCAGTCACATCCCTTCCAGACTTCACTTCATTCAGTCCTCATTCAGCTCCGTCATCAGAAAAACACATCAATTGATGTACATTTTGCGAAGACAGGAACAATGAACAGACAGTAGATAGTCAATTTCTGACGAGGGCTGATCCTAAAACATGCCGTATAAAATAAAATCGTCGAACTCAACCGCTGGATGTTTTCCGAAGGGATTGACTTTTGCCAAGTACTCTGGACTATGCATGTCGTCCTCGATGATCTCACTCTCAACATTCATCTCGCTCATGGCTAGCATCGCAGTTCTCACGTAAAAAGACAATTGGCGTCCATGAATCTTGATCGCCATTGCTTACGCGACACTTGCTCTTGCCTTATCACCCTCCTCGCTGTTGACAAACTCACCAGTCCAAAGTCGGACTGCGAACAAGATTTGACGCTCTGATTGAGAGCTCTCTCCCTCCCTCTTTCTCACTCAATTGAATCTCAAGACTCTGCAGTGGCTCACACTGAAGAAGATTTATTTGCAGAGACATTTATAATGCCCAATTCTGAGAGTTGTAAGCAGCTCTGGTACAACGCGGAAGTCCAGGACAGAACTTCAGCAGTCGCTGCACAACTTCCGCTGCACGGGTCTCGAGTAGCGGGGTAACACGATGCATAGAGAGAAAGATCCTTAATATCGTCATCTCGCCTTCTAGAACTCTGTCACGCCCTAGATGGACCTGCGATCCGATCAGAGAAGGAAAACCTTGCAACGATTAACACATCGAGGCTCTTGCCTTGGCCGTCGTATCCGGAATACCCAGCAAAAGCAAATCGTACAAATCTCCAGACAGAGTTTCTGTACCTTGACATTCGTAGCCACAATTGATTTTCTAGCCGAATGACCATCACTTTTGACTATGTGGTCACGTTTCCGAATCTTGCCCGGATGAGTCGATCGCTGACGACAAAGTCCTCTCGTCCTGTCAACGGTCAAGACTCAAGACTGGAGACTGTGAATGTTGACTAGTTTCCCCGAGCTGCTTTGCGCGAAGCTTGCTATGGCCCTGCTTCCTCTTCCTCTTCCGAGCCCAGATTTGGCGTGAGGGCCAAGCGACCGGCTGCTGCAGAATGTTCCCTCGAATGTTGGGTGCCAGCCTAACCTCCAGAGACGTGTGGTAACACCAAACAGAGTTCACGAGTGTGGCCTTTCCCAAGACCACTAAAGATGGGCCATTATTCCTTCGATATCATCATCCTTTGTATGGGAATCAAAGGTCTTCTGATCTCTATCGATCGAGGAAATGTTGCTGAGTTCTAAGTTCCTAGACGTACCGAACTGAGCCCAATCAGATCTTCAATGCTCCTTTCGTTTTCTTCCATGTCTTTCAAGGCTATCGACCAGTAGTGGTATCATGTATACAGTATGAAGGATTCTGAAGTACACAGTATATCTCTCCCTGTCACGACTTACTATCATCCGTGACTCTCCCTTACCGTCACCCACAACTAACTGCACTAGTGACTGACCATCACCGTCGTAGGCGACGGTGATGTACTGCGCACGCAACTGATGGCGCAGTACGTCGTAGGCGACGTACTGCGCACGCAACTAAGTGTTGCCCACGATTTATCAAAAACGTTGTCCACAACTTATCATTTGTCGTGTCAACCGTCATCCGCAAATGTACCATCCATCAACCAACTTCACAATATCCTTTGAAAACAAGTGGGAGATCCACCTTCCTGTACTCCAAGTCAACGCCTTGAGTGCCCTTTGGTTACCTTAGCACCCTCTTGACACATCTCCAATGAACTGGACCTGGACACTTAGTATTGTATCTGTCCAAACCTTCGACTAAGTAACCTATGTCTGGTATGGTACAAATCATAGCAAGTATCAGTGAATCTACAGCACTCTGGTAAAGATACTGTAGATCCTCGGTTCTTCCGTGATGATTTCTTCCATGGCTTTTTTGAGTCTGAAACCTGTATTCAAATGTGTTGCAACAGGTTTTGCTTCCTCCATCCTATACCTTCGTAGAATGCTCTCCATGTACTTGGTCTGGTTGTGTCTAAACTATTCTTCCTTCCCTAGAAAAAACTACGCCGTGCCCAGTATAATCATATCTAATATATAGCAAAGACAAGAGATAGTGTTTTGTGCCTTAACTTCCTTCCCTATCAACGGCAAATCAATTTTATACACTACAATGTACAGTGTACCATCCTTGCTGTACGATTCAGATCTGAGTGTGCTCTCTTGAAGCCTTGTTTACTGAGCTAACCAGTTTGAAAAGTTAGATAACTATCTAACCTTTCATACCAGCTTGTAGATGCTTGCTTCAGCCCATGGAGCCCATAGCCCTCATAATCTCTTTTCAGAATAGCTGTCTTGGACATCCAGTTGCTTCAAACTTGCATTCCGAAAGAGCAGATTTTGAATGTCAGGGTTCGTATTAATGACTTCAAATCACCCTTTCTCTCATACTGATACAATTAATTTTCTAGTGGAGCAAAAGTTTCATGATAATCAATACTTGGTCTTTAATCAATACCGCAGCCATCAACCTGACCTTGTAATTAAGAATCTCTCTAATGACTACTCTTTTAACTTTGAAACCCCACACACATCAACTCTTTTTCTTTCATGAAAAATCTATGAGCTTCCATGGGTTCAAGATACACTTGTCTTCCTGCATAGCTTTTACCGCTTGCTTCAATCTGGTAAGTCTTTTCATGTTAATTAAATATTCCAGAAATTAGTAGATTAATGTTTTTAACAATATCCTTTTGTTTCCTCATTAAACCAAAATTTGCAAGTGCTCATGTTAATTGCAGTGTATTTTTTTATTGTTAAGACATATTTGTTGTATTCCACATCTTTCTTTTGAGTAGCTCTTAGTAATCAATTTGACTTTGAAGACATTCTTCTGTTAAATTATGATTCAACTTGTACATCCATTTGTTTGTCAATCTTAATTTGAAGTTTTGAAAGCTTCTAATCTTGTTCACAATAAGCAATTGCATATATAATATTATGATAGAAATATTGTTGTAAAGCAATATTTCACTAGTATCTATTAACAAAATGTTGATTTTTGTCTATAAGAAGAAGACATTTTTCATCAAGATCAATGCATTCTCCTCATCATTTTGAATATCAATATTATTATATTCAAGAATGTATGAATCAATTCATATTTTCAACTTTTTAATATTTGGACTAATATGATCTAATGATATTATGAATATCATGATGTTATGATTCAATTGATAATATTTTTTTGAGAAACTATTGAAGACTCATCAATAAGATGTGAGGATACTTCTTCTGAGGATGATTTTCTTTTCCACTAATATGTAGCTTTCAAGATTCTCCAATTTACACAAGCCTCTGTCTTTTTTGCAACAGTCCGCAACAGTCCTAGGCTTTTTGTGATTTTGAATGAAATCTGATTAATAGCGAGCTAGCTACTCTTTCTATTGTCTTAACACAATACCACCGAATTTGTTTCTGTGGAGCATGTTTTACTCCAAAGAGTTAAACTGAATGAATTTTTAAGTTTTATAATATATTTCGTAGTCCACTCTAGTTTGAACAAAGTGATTTTCTTGTCTTATGAGACAGATCAGACAATGTAATCTACGAGCCATGTAAGTTGGAGCCCTATCGAGGAGCCCAAAAATCACCTATCTTTTCTTTCAAAGTTACTTCCTCGAGTACCAATAAATCAGGAGACTCGATCAGCATTGTTTGATTCAGGTCATCTACTATTGGCTCGAGACGTGATGATAACAAAGCTCGCATTTGCTAATCCAGAAATGAAGGGCCATTGGAAAAATAGTTGATGAGTTATCCGAGGTTTTTTTACGTAAGTCTCCTCCTTTGTCTCGATTCTTCCCATCTTTATCTTTCTACTTGAAAGTATTCGAGTAGTCTGCATCGCTGCCCTCCTTGAACCGGTTGAACATGCAGAAAAAATCATCCATGTCCCAACATTTCAGTTCTAGTAAGACTGCAGGCTAGAACAACCCCGATCGTATGACTTTGGACTGACGGCATACGGTCACCGTCGTGACGGTCTCTCCTTTGTCACCGTCGCGTCAAGAAGCCGTCGAGCTCGCACCCTCTACTATTCAAATTCGACACATGTTTCAGTAGATGCGAGACACGTGTCAGAGACCACCACATTACCCCCATTCACACTACCCTCCAGTCAATCCGCGAGATCACCATCAATCGCACAGGCGCAGCAATTATCCGGCCCCCTGTAACGACCTCGGGCTCAGGCACACCCGAAGGCGAAAAGAATCCATGGTAGAGTGCAATTGCCCGTCTCTGCCCTCGCCTTGCCTGGCGCTCACCCCACCTCCCCTCAAATCAGTAATAATTTCTGAATCCGAAATTTTTCTCCAGCCGCTCCTCAAGATCGAGTTCGACTATTTGCAAATTCAAAGTTAAACGAGGCAGCAAGCAGCAACCTCTGAAACGATGCAGCTGCCGCTGCATCCTTCTGCTGGAATACATGGAAAACTTAAACTAGGTTCTTAACTTTTTTTTGAAGGAATAAACGAGGAACTTTGAAGCTCATTCAAGCAGATTATGGATCTCGAGACTGTGCAGCCAATTTCAAAATTGAACGAAAATTTCCCATGAATAGACTTTGCTTCATCTCTGAAGAGATAAAACACCACATCAATTACAGCAGTAGCAGATGATGTGTTACAGTATCCTTTGTCATAGTTGGTTTTCGACGTGCCACAACCCTTCTTCTAGCTATCATTTGGTGACTTCTTCCACCATGTACACTAACGGCAGTGATCTCCTCCGAAGCTCTATCGAAGGAAATATCTGATCGGCCAATTTAGCTTTACACTTGTGAGGGTCTGATAAGCAAACTTTCGACCTCGACAGAAGATCACACCCAACAGCTCAAACGCCGTCAAACTGAAATGCAGAAATGCGGCTATAGTGGATCCAACACTCCAAACGGGACTCAGATGTGACGCTCAGAACAAGCAGTACAGTCATCGAATAGAAACTACAATTTGGTCACAACACAGTACCATCATGCTGACACAACCAAATTTAGTGGCTAGAGGATATGAGGCCCAGTACAGGTGACAGGCGACGAGGATCTTGTTATGTTGACAGTGTGGACGAGTGAGTATAATTTGCTCATGATCTCCAGCGGTGTCGATTCACCAATTGAGCGGCTATAGTTACACGTATTCATGGACTCTTCCTCCTCCAGTTACTACGCGAAAGTGCTGCTTTAAAAACTATGCCCCTCAGACGGAATTGGTGTGGGACGGGGGATCTAGCTCATCAGGGGAAGTTTGATAAAGCCAACGAAGTGTACGCTTGTTTAGAATTTCTTATAGAGATTTTGAAACAACTGAGTCTCACCACACAATTCGGTGCAAATATTACGTGAAATAATCCACGCGAAAACCCCTGGGTGACGGTGACACATCAACTGTGTACCTATCCCGTCAGCCCGGAGAGCATACAGTCGGGGTTGATCTAGCCAAAAGCCTAGTAAGCCATGAAGCAGGTCACGGATGACTAGCTGAGGTATCTCCGTGAAAGACGCTGATAACATGCTTGTGCTGGCCGTGATCTCACCACAATGGTAACCGCCAGCACGCTCAGAACTGTGACGTGTATAAATGTGGGAGTTCGAAGCACGCATGCTTTTGCAGTTGGACTGCGTGTGTACTTCAGTTACAGACACTCTTGCAGCAATTTGACTTTAACTGACTTTGCTGAATTTGACTTTGCTGAATTTCCTCTGAAATGGGTGATCGCAACAATTTGTGAAACAATCCGAACAGTTTCTCTGTTTTTTTTTTTGAACTGCTGTCAGATGTTACAGAGTATCTGATTAAATAGCAGCGTGGTTGTCTGTTGTAAAGTTTGATGCGCAAGGGAGTTTATTAACAAAAGATTGATCTCGACGCTGCAGTAGAAGAAATTTATATGTTCTTGCATGTGCTAACGCTGAGATCAGTTACGGGAAAGTTTTGTCTAGAACACATTGTGAGACAATTTGCTCGTTGATTCTCGGAGACTCTTTAGAATCGGCGTGCTGGCAAGGTGGTGCAGATTTGCAGAAACAGCAGCAGATTTTGTCTCTGGTGGCAAGATTGATGTGGTGGTGAGGTTTGAACCGATGAATGGTCTGTAATCTAAGTCCCACGAACTAAACATGCTTTTTCTGCATGCAGGTTCATTCATTTTGGCTTTGCGATTTTAACAAAATCAAGAGCTCCGCCAATCACTCACAGACTGTCAAAACACGAAAATGTGTTGAAGATTCGAGAAAGGTTTGTAGTTTTCACTATAGCACTTCAAGGAAATCTCTTCTGCAGGACTTCCCACTTCAGTAAATTGCAGGAATTCACTTACTGCAGCAGTTCATCGATACTGATTTGACATATTTGTAGATCAGTGGTTCCTGTTTGAAAAAAAAATAAAAAATTGGCTAAGAGCATGGTAAGAGATGGGCCACCAACCTCAACTACCCAATAAAACCAAGTCCTCTGGACTTTCAAGGGCTTCCTCCACCGGCTTGAGCCGAAGGATCTTCAACGACACAGCGGAACGTTCACTCGGCGCTTAGAGAAATCAAGCAATTCTGGGGCGCCCAAAATTGGTTCCTTAAGTTCGCTATTAAGAAGGACTCCGACAATATAATTACAAAAGCTGTTCGGAACCTTCGGCGCTTCTCTCGTGAACGCAAAGAAGTCTCCGTTGGACCAAGGAGGACTCGACCAGCGGGAGAGCCCTAGGGACTTTTGTTGTCATTTTCTGCCTGTAAAGCAGATACTTCACGGTCTTCGGTCCGAGAGGTCAGAAATGGCTTTATGATTTTCGCACACGAACCCTTACGGGGAGAACTCAAGCCCACAGGCTCATGGATTTTGAAAAGGAAGAGTTGTGAGAGACACTTAAAGGAGTCAATCCAGCCACCCCAGCAACTATCTAGTCATGGTCATTTAATTAGGGACTTCTTAGGAACATTGTGTGGAGTCCCGGGTCCAAAGGAGACTTTTTTGCCTTTACGGGGCCTCTCCCTATAGTCGAGAGCTACGCATCTCTCCCCTCACCTATGGCATTTTTTTCGTAAAGGCAAAGAAGTTTGCGGAAATGGCTTACACCTCTCCCGCGCACCAGTGCTTTAGGGAGAGGTGCTACGCACTTTGTGGGTCCGAAGGACGCTTAATCTATCGGGTCGAGCACTACGTGCGTATCGGGTCTTGCGCCCCCGGGACCTGCCGGGAGAGGGCGCGCAACTATCTCGAACCGATAGAGAATTTGTTTTTTCGTCTCGGAGAGCCGTATGTGAGGAAATCTTGCACGTACGGTTCGGAGGGATGCCACCCAAGCATAAAAATATTATTTTTTCCCTACGCACCCCCTGCCCCTAGTCTTCGCACGACGTGCCTCTCGCTATGGGTCCGAAGGTGCGTAAGCACTTTCAGACCCATAGGGAGACTTCTTTGCCTTTGCCAAAGAAACGCCGAACGCCGAAATGTCTTGACGATTTCCGAGCACGAACACTAGAAGGAGAGAGCCGAAGGTCCCTAAGGTTCGGGTCTCGTGCCCTTTGGGCCCTGAAACTTCAAAGTTTATGCCCGCAGGCTCCTAGTGCTCGACAAAAGGGAGAAGGTCTCTGCTATCGGGCGGGTGGCCCACCCTCGTCACTAATGGCTCCTCAGAAAAGGGGGAACGCGAGCTCTGCCCGCCCGGGCCCTCATCCTGATGAAATCCCTTCACTTAAACGTTGGGTTTTCAGCCTTGAATTTTGATGCATATCCCAGAATGATTGTTCTGAATGATGAGGGTACAACAACTGTAGAATGGACAGGAATAAAGATCAGATTATGTTATTTTTATGCAGTTGGTAGCCTTGTTTAAACACGAGTGCAATTTTGAACACTGCATGTTCCAACCACATGCAGTGTTCAAGATGTGCTGGCGTCGGCTTTCCTCACCTGGCATTCGTAACACTCGATGTGCACTCTTCGAGCGGCAGGCTCTTGAAGAGAAGAATACGGCTGTGCAAACCTCGAGGGTCAAGTGATTGGCATGTGAATTAGAGAGACACCATAGTTTTACGTTGAGGATGTTGCCGAGTCTCTGAAAAAAAGGGTCAAGATGTAAAGATCCGAATGACTTCTTAGATACGTGACTGCAGTTAGGTAGCTTTGTCGCGCTCTATCTGTAATCTATGAAGAATTCTACTCTGAAGTGGTTGGTCGGAATAAGTCATGAGAAAATCGAAACATTTTATTTGCTTTTTTTCCAACTTTTGTCGGGAGTAATTCAATGGCAGCTTGGTTGTCTTCTGCAAATTCTCTGAGCAAGGCAGTTCATTGAGAAGGGATTGATCTCGAGGCTGTGGTAGAAGAAATACATAAGTTCTTAGATGTGGTAACGCTGAGATCAAAAACAGGAGAGTCTTCCACAGAACGTTATTTGGAACATTTTGCTCGCTGATCATGGAAATTCATGCAATGGGCGTGTCTTGCAACGTGGTGCAGATCTGCTTAAATATTGATGATGTGGTGTTTTCTGCAGTCAACTTGTTGCTCGAAAAGACGAAACCAGCGGCACATTCTCTGCCTGTCGTTAGAAAGACACTGCAGTTTGACGTTAAGAGATGGTGAAGAGTTTATGAGAAAAATGGCCAAGAAGTATGAATCCAAATGATTTCGTAGATATGTGACTGCTGCTAGCTAGATTTGTCGCGCCCAATCTGTCATCTATCCTGAATTTCCTCCAAACTGGGTGAATTTGTGAAACAATTATAATTATTTGTTTTTTAACTGCTGTCAGGAGTGACAGAATATGTGATGCAGCGTGGTTGTCTGCTGTAAAACTCCATGCGCAAGGAGTTTTTTAAAAAAGGATTGATCTTGAGGCTGCAGTAGAAGAATTCTATATGATATTACATGTGCTAACGCTGAGATCTTGAGACAATTTGCTCACATTTTGGGAGTTGCCGAAATTAACACATTTGGAGACAATTTGCTCGCTGATCCCCGGAATCGGCGTGTCTGGCAAGGTGTTGCAGATTTGCAGAAAGAGCAGCAGATTTTGTTTCTGGTGGCAAGATTGATGATGTGGTGAGGTTTGAACTGGTGAATAGACTGTAATCTAAGCTCCACGAACTCAACATGCTTTTTCTGTATTCAGGTTCATTCATTTTGGCTTTGCGATAAAAACAAAATCATACGGTCCGCATGGACTCCCAGGAAGTCGAAACACGAAAATGTGGTGAAAATTCCAGAAAAGTTTGTAGTTGCCACTATAGTACAGGGCTCCGATCGGGTTCGGGTAGAAGGCTGTACCCGACCCGAAAATTAATAAAGGATCAATTCAGATCCGCGTCAAAGTGCTGGCTGAGCCGACTGATATTCTTGGGAGCATTCGTATCACGCCTGCACTAATCACTACATCCTTTTCTAGGCTGGATCGATCGGGAACCTCAAAGCCCAGCAGTGCCTCTCGCCTTCTCATGGTAAGGCCGGGTTCCAACACAAAATGTTCAAATCATTTTTGTCAATGGTGAGAAGAATCTTGTAATCGTTCCCATAGTTTACGTTTGTTGGTTATATCTACATGTGGACGCTGCGTAGCTCTTGTGCATGCGCTATTGCCGGTAAGCTTCTAACCCGTTAACTCTGCAGCGCGTGTTCTGCAATATGAAGGACCAGACACTCTCTTTTGAATGATGGAAAAGACGTTAAGCAGAAGAGTATGAGTTCAACACTTTCCTCAACCACACGATATCCGCCATGGTTGGCAACTACGTCTGGTATCACTACCCGAATCGACCCGAACCCGACCCGGTTTTTCGTGTCGGGTTCGGGTTGAAGGTCAAGGCTTGAAATATATCGCAGCAGTATCGTCAGTGGGGATAATGATTCCAAGGCAAATAAGCATTCTCGATGGAATGCAAAATGGATCCGTACGTAGGATGTTCAAAAAGTATTCTGATTCTGGGATACTGATTGATCCTGCCTATCAATCTGGTGGCTTCCTGTGTAGTCTTCTTGCTGTGATGATATGCCATCAACACAGTTCAGACAGTACGCTTCCTAAATGCGAGACAAAACACTTCTCTTCTTGCAATTGTCGATTGCAGGCTCTCTAGTTTTCGGTATGCCTGAGTTTAATCACGTCACGACTGGTGTCTCTATTTGTATGTTCTCCTTCTATCAGTTCGTGAATTGCGATTTACGCTGAGATATAAACAAAGCCCTGATATCACACACTCTACGCTCAATGAACGTCATCCGCTTGCTCGACACCATCAATTGTAAATTTGGGGGTTCTTAAAACGAACATGTACTCAAGAGTTACAAAGCCAAATGAATGAAATGTGCTCTGATTGGTATGAAGCCCCAACGCACCAACAGTTTCCTGGACTATTTGGCCACAACAGGGATAGTACATGGAACCAACTTACACCGGTCATGACAATTCAAATCTGTGGCGATCATCTTCGCAAGGTTTAGGAAATTCCGATTTGAGAATGTCGAGTTCCTCAGACGTGTGCATGACTGGAGCTGCACATGAGTCACCACAACACTGAATACTAGTGCATGACGTGAATTCGGCTGCTGGATTGTGGCTCGTTCCTGATTCTTTTTCGTCGCCGGGCATCTCCGACCTCCATGTGACTTAAGGCGGTACCGTTAATTGCTCACTGAATACACTCAATGGAATCTCACAAACCAACAAGAACTGATCAAACACGGCACGTGATTACAGATCTCATGTGGATTGAACATTATTCTAGACGAATCTGATTATTAGCGAGCTAGCTACTCTTTCTAGTGTCTTAACACAATACCACCGAATTTTTCTCTGTGGAGCATGTTTTACTCCAAAGAGTTAAACTGAATGAATTATTAAGTTTTATAATATATTTCGTAGTCCACTCTAGTTTGAACAAAGTGATTTTCCTGTCTTGTGAGACAGATTAGACAATGTGATCTACTACCCATGTAAGTTGGACCCCTATCGAGGAGCCCAAAAATCACCTATCTTTTCTTTCAAAGTTACTTCCTCGAGTACCAATAAATCAGGAGATCAAAACTAAAGCACAAAAAAGAGACTATGCGCTTGCGGCTAGTCTCGTTCAGTACAGTCCAATGTTCTTCAACCAAAGGAATTCCACGACTGACAACAGAAGCAAGTTTTTCACGGCAAACACAGCTCCCGACCGCTGGCTCTTCTTCCTCGTCCGATTCTTCAGACTCCGCTCTGCAAATCCTTTAATTGTTTTAGAATCCGTTTCAAAGTTGAAGTTCTTGAGAGTTCATATTATTTGATGAGTGGAGATAATGCGTACATTTTTTAAAGCTACAAATACGTGAATATATCAAATAAATATTTATATTTACATTTTATGACGACTTAACAAAAATCCACATGGAATAAATATAAGTAAAAATCAATTATAACTCTACAAATTATAACCGAGTTTGAGAAATTTAATATATTATTCTTTAGAAAAATTCAAAATCAAAATTTGAACGTGACCGCATATTAAAGTTTATAATTAGTTGGAATAAGATCGTGAAATTTGTATTGGATATTGTATATAGGTTTCATATTTTGCTATATGATACAAGCACATGGTTGATAAATAATTCAAAAATATTGATAAGAAAAATTGAGAGTAAAATATCCCGAGAATATGGAAAAGACTAATTGCAGTATTTTTCTACTTTCGATCGAAGAATTCTCGAGCACGATTGTGAAGTAAGGGTTGAGAAAAATAATGTCTAAGAGTATGAGAAATATTAATTGCAACTTTTTGTGAAGTTAATAGCTGATATAAATTTGTGTTAAATGATTTTACTAAGAAAATAATGATAGAATGAAGTGAGAATTTGAACTAAGTGACTCAAACAAAGAGTCCAAGAGAGCACTCCATAACTAGACGCTCCAGCTTGTTAGACCATGTCTTTTCAACCATGACTTCTAATGCTCATTGCTATTAATGTGCGAGCTTTTTTAGACGATGTCCTTTCTCAACCAGGTCTTCTATTGCTATATGACTCGGTTCACTTTTATATAACCTCTATGATCTTCTTGCTTATGGAGCAAGATGAACAAGTTTCTTGCATGCTCAAATACGATACCGGGATACCTTATGTGGTCTACATTTACTGTAATGAAGAATTTAATGAAGAAACAAACAATGCAAAAGGTTTGGCGTCCGCTCCGGTTGTCTATATCACATTTTGTAGAAATTCGTGTTCCCAGTATTTGAGAGGTCCGGGGTCCAAGCCCAGTCCCTGCAGTTTGTCGGTCTCCTTCTGGTCTATTGAGCAATTATGTTGTTTTCACATTTTCGACATTCCGCCACTTTCCCATTCCTCGTTTCGTGCACGTCTTTAGGCCTCGTCCTCTATGTATGGCCATGACAGAGAGTGATACATCGAAATTGGTGATTTGTGAGTACAGACCGAACGACTTCCGTGCTTGGGGTCCATCCTAGTCAACAACTACTACCTCCCAAAATATCTTCCAGCGGTACTGGCTGGTTCTCGGCGTTTGATCACAAACGAAGCGAAGGAAAGCGAAGGAAAGCGAAGGCACGGGCCGATAACTATTGAGACCTTTCACAAACAGAAACTCAGCACCTACTTTCCCACCCAGTCCTCCTACGACAAATTCGCACCCTAAACAAAATCTGCCTTCCAACAGTGGAGAGTGGATCCGCGAACGGTGTTCCAGTTTCATGCGCTCAGAAATCCGCGCGAGTTTAGACCTAAAGCACTCTTTTGTCGTACATCTGTCTTCTCCGGCTCTCTCGGTCCGGACAAGGAAGATTCTGCATATCCAACGCAGCGTTCTGCGAATTCTACTGTGCAGTCCACGAGTTAGGCAGACGATCGGATGCCAGGCTCTGCTGTTGACTCTGCGGAGTGAACTTCTGTCCGACGATTTCTCCTCTGACGGTTGCAAATCCGGCACTGCAGAGGGAGGAACTCATGACGAGAAGGAGGAGTTCGGAAGATGCGCGAAGACCAAGCTCCTCCAGCAGGCGATGATACATACCCTACTCCTCGTCCGACCGAGGTCGAGAATGATCATCGCTGTCCCCTTGGTTGCATCGTTGCTTCGGTCGCGAGGACCACAGGCTCGCGATGGCTGGCGCAGCTTTAAAGGCAGCGCGAGTCACGTCATGGACCAACCACCGCGCGCACTTGAAGGCCGCGCAATCCATCTGTCACTGCTGCCCAGCTCACCGTCCAGCCCGACCCAATTATTGACTTTTGTCTCACTCGTGGGCGCGATGACGTACACCGCACGCTCTCCTCCGCACCCTCGACGGTCCCGGACGTTGGAGATACAGTACTGTTCCCGTTCCCCGACTCTGGCCATGGAACGCTATCAATGCTCCTCGCTCCACCCATGGCCGACATTTGAGAGTGAACGGAGCCATTTCGATAACCTAGAAGAAAAATAATGTCACATCAAGTCTCAAAATCATGGAACCGGATTTGTAACTCCCGTCAAAGGACTCTATATATAGGGCGAATTCTTTATGTTCGTATCTCGTCAAAATAATCAACATTTTCAAAACAAAATAAATAACACAGTTAACATGATATAAGTCTCATGTTTTTTTTAATTAACTTTGAATTTGACAACAGTGTAATATAACTTCAAGAGAAATGTGAGTTATATTGAATCTATGAATATATTTCTCCCATTGAGATATCATTTTCTACTGTTGCAATATTAGAAAATGGATAAGCTAATCTTCCTACAAATTCCATAAGTCGAGTACATCTATTCCTAATATTTGGAGTACTCCAAACTTCACAAAAATCAAACTACTCAGTCAACCTACTCAAAGCATTTCGAAGACGATGTTCTCTGTTTACAAAAACCAGAAGCTCCTTGTGTTCTTTTACTATTTTATCTATGTCCTCTTGTTCCCGAGAAACTTGAAGACGATCTTGATATTTAAGAACTAACTGAACAATTTCTCGTGTCTTCATAGCTACCAGTTCTTGAGGCAAGCAAGGTGGCAAAATACTAGAAGCTGCCTGGTTCAACTCATCACGTGTAGCTTCTACCTTGCTCAAATCACAAACTGCTTCTAAAAACAGGTTGCCAACTGCATGCAACACTTCACTTTTTTAGTCTTTGTCCATCTCTGCCCATGCTTGGGTAGCAAATAATCCTTGATCTTCGATTAACCCAATCAGATTGCCATGACTAACTTCCCATATGTCCAAGGTTACGATGTCAAATGCTGGGGATGAGTTTAATTCAATCCCAACTCGCTCTACACATTCAAAACGCTGTAAGTTAGTAAGCAGATCTTGAACAACCGACTTTTGTTGTTGCAAAGTAGTTCTTCTTCCTTGTAAACCTTCCACACACTTGCTTACATGCCCTGAAATCTCACTTACAACTGCAACCATAATCCACCAAGATAATGAAGTCATGTCACGAATTCTTTGAGAAACATCACTCTGTTCAAAAAAAGCCATGATTTCAGATCTTCTTTTGACCAAAAAACGAGATACACGTGACATAGAGGCCCAACGAGTAGTAGATAAATTTGGACAAATAGCTTGCATTTCATTTATCAAAATTTTTTGACGTCGTAAAACAGAAATCAGTGAGGTTAGAATCTTCTAAAATCCACAGCCATCATTTTTATATATCTTTTGTATCACAATATCTATCTGATGCAGCAAACACCATACACGAATGAAATTTGATCTAACTATTTCCTGAATACGTGTCACAACTCCAGATAAATGTCTCGTCATATTTTGTAGCATCATCAGTTGAACACCTTCGACCCCGTTAAACTACCATCAACCTTCCCAGAAAGCTAATGACCCTTCGGGCCTTAGGGTGGAAGAGACCGCACGGGATAGCCAGGCTTGGCTACACCCCCGTGGAGACTACGCTTCTAGTGAGAATAAATACATAGCACTTTTTTTTTTTGACAGGGCTGTTGATGCCTAAGGGCCGCTTCTCCTTTTTGCCGGGCTTTGTACGGGTAAGCCTGGCCAATCCCGTAGATTGGCAAAGACTCCACCATAGGAGACGTCGCAGCCCCACGGGCCCAAGGTTCGGGTCGAGCATACGTGCCTCTCTCTTTGGTCGAGAGCTAAAGCCCCAAAAATGACAGTAGATTTCCGGGCACGAAGACTATAATCCCCCCATTCAAAAATCCAACGCGTTTTTTTATTATAAATAATGAAAAGTCACTACTAAAATTATTTATTAGTAGTGACGTACTCAGGCACTAAGTATTCTCTTTGCTCCATTTTATTAAAACAGTGTTCTCTGGGTCTGTGTAAAGTTTACCTGTCTGACAATGCCCGGCCAGCGGTAAAATTTTGAATGAAATTACTAGTATATCCACTTTTCTTAGAACACCCAATTAGCTTGTCTTTCCATAAGGAACAAACTGCATCAAACAACTTGCAAAACATCTCAAACATAGCCAATCCTATATGTCCAACAGAAAAAGGAAGTGTGATAAGGTGCAGATTTTCAATAGAAGAATTTTGATAAAACCGAATTTGAACATCTATCCAAGAAACTCCCTGTAGGTCACAAGAGTCATCAAAGACTACAAAAAAAAGTCCAGGCCGAGTGCAGTATCTGAGCAATATTTTCAATAGATATGGCGCATGCGGTTCTAACATAAGAAGCAACCAGAGGTTCGCTATAAAATCTAAGTTTAGGAATATCACAAACCTCTTTTGCATCTTGAACTGCGTCAGCAGCCATTGAGAAGTACATTCCTCGTGCAACAAAACGAATTACCAGCTCAAACTGTTTTTTTTGGCTAATTTGAATACAGTAATTTCCATCATCAGTTAGTTTAAAGAGTGACATTGCATTTGTTTGAGATTGACCATACAAATCATTTTCATTCCAGAGCATGTCTCCTATAATCACATCGACAATTGAACATCTGATTATATAAGTACTCATGGCAGACTGATTTTCCATGAAATGACAAATAGTTTCAGCATGTTTAATAGAAACAGCAAAATCTTTGTACTTATCTTCTGTCGAAAGCTTCTGATACTCCCTCCACCTCACCTGATGATTGATGCAAAGATGCTGCATGTAGTTGTCTGTGCTGAAAAGAGGCCTCTCAAATGTACAAGATGTAGAGGATTTTTTAACAAGTTCTTTGCGTCCGAAACATACACAGACTCTACACCTTACTGCCACCACTTCAGAAGTTTTAGCATCACGACTTGCTATACAGAGACCATACTCTAATAGATGTTTTTGATGGAATGGAGTTTTGCGGAATCGCTTAGAAGCAAGTTCAATAAACTCCATCAAGATTGGGAAAAAAGTCCAAAACTACTTAGCAAAATACAAATCCAAAAATGAGAAGTTTAGAGTAGAACTTTAGTGCTCACATGTCGTGAAAGGGGCTGCCAAACCCTCACCAAGGACCTCCAGAAATGCATCTGCAAAAGAAAAGAGTAACATTTGCAAGTTCATTGCAAGTAACATTTCTTCAAGTTCTCTATATTTCTACATCTTTGTCTAAGAGTCCACTTCAAAAAATTTGAGCATGACCAAGGGCAGATTAACACAACTCGATTGTCATCACCCACAGTTTTACAGTAAGTAGGTCACATTACTTTCAGAATAATGTTAATGAAGAGAAATGGGAACTAAGACATAAAAACATGTTCTAGGCAAGGTTAGAGAGACCCAAAGCAAGCATTCAGTCAACCTTCCAATAAGAACACTCACAAATTTGTGGCATCAAAGTGTAACTTGCAGATATTCACGTGACTAGAAACCAGTGTCCGTTCAGGTAACAAGCATAAAGATTCAAAAAAGATTTGATCGCGCGAAGAGTAATTGTCAAGTCACTCAAGCAATTGAAAAAGAGATGTAACAGCATATTACATACAGATCCTTAGAATGTCCAGAGCGTGGTCTTGCTCTAAAAGACTATCGTATCAGTGACGTATCACATACAACCTTAGCTACTCCAATGAAAACAGAAACCAAAATCTTACTCAAGAGATAGTCCGCTTTGCTCTTCTTCCAATACGCCTATACGGATGACTTCGCCTGCCTGAGAAACTTGCTGCAGTAGCAACAATCGGCTCTCAAACCCGGAATGCCACAACATAACTTTTCTACGCCGCTCTCTACACCGGAATATGACGCTTGACTTTTGAACCACCGCACAAGAGACGTGGACGTTGTTATAAGCAGGGGAGAAGGATTCCCCTCTCGTTTTCCTGGCATGGAAAAACTCTGAGGCTATCGCGCGATCCCGGGTTCATCTTATCTCGCTCTGAATCGTCAAAGAAGCGATGCATTTGCTGGATCATTTGTAGCATCTACGCCACGACTCGGCCTAGCTTTGGTACCTTGCTTGAGACATCCATAGCGACCATCTGTAAAGAAACCTAAGCCTAAAAAGCAATTTATCTGTCATGCGCTATATTTGAACAAACCTTTTGAGTAAGTATCGTGTATAGCAAAACCTCAATTTTTTGAGAAGAATGGAAAAGCTTTTCATCGGATCGGACACTGCTTCATACGTGCTCGAATTTTCTCTCTCTCGACCTTTGGACACCTTGGACCTGCACAAAGAGATACACATTGGACCTGCACGAAGAGATGGATTAGAACTGATTTCGCGAAGAGTGTGTGTGGGAAGGTTCTTGAGGCAAATAATGTTTGAAACGGTACCCGCAGTTTAAGTTTGTTAGTAGATAATAGCGCCTCCAAAGTGAACGAAGTCATTTATGGTCCAAATACGGAATTTTAAGAAAACGAAATACGAAACTTTGACTCAAAAGTTCCATATGTGCCGTATATAGAGAGGCCTGCCCATGTATCATAATATTCTAAGTATTAATTAGATTTGATGGGAAGTCTGATCATGAAAAAAATTAGCATTATATCTAGATACTAGTAATATCATCTAAAATTATTTAGAAAAAACAAAAACATTATTTTCATTAAAATGATAGATATTTTAAATAAGTAAATATAATCGGTGTATTTTTATAATTAAGATTTCTTATTTTTCATTGGAAAATTTATATATAAGAAAAAAAAAACTCTTTCAAATACTCATCAAAATATAAAGTGAAACATAACAATTCAAAACAATATAATGTGAAAGCGACAAGAAGACTGATTCTCTGGTAATGTTTACATCTGGATAACTTTGCTATTGCTCACATGCCTAACTAATCACAAGAGTGTGATACATTGTGAAAGTCTATAACTTGTAAGATGAAAATGGACTGTATACACCGCTCGTATTTTAAATCTTGGTTGCGTCCATTTAAATAATATCATATTGTTGTGTACACTTGCAGTTTCCTCACAAAAATTTTTGCACATCATGATTAGATACAACGAAAAACCTATATACTCTTTTGTCAAGTTTGCAAAAGTTTAATCAATATTACAACGGTGGCTACTTAAAATAAAAGAGAAAAGTGACGACTAGGGTTACACCCGTTTTTGCTACGGCCACACCCGTTTTTGCTATGGCCAGGCCCGCCTAGTCATTTCTGGAGCCCGATGGTGGACGATGACGTCACCCCTTGTAACAGGAGGGGGACTTGAATATGGATAGCCGAGCTCTCATCCGAGGAAAGATTTCTCGGCCGATTTTGTATTCCCATGACCCTCTCGGTGTTCCATCTTCGTTTCCTGACACTAATGGCCCTAGCAAATAATGGTGTGCCCTAGTCCTCCCCAAAGAGAAAACACCTCCCTTTTTGCACACTTCCGGGTATCTTACGCGTATCCGAATTGTCGTGTGGAGAGGGTGTACTTACGAGAGTTCTTCCTTTAAACATGGCAGAAGAGCACCTCCCGCTCAATGATGACGGGTTTTGACTGTCGGCCTTTGGATACGCTACGTATGGGGCTCACGTATAACTCCTACACAATTTATATATGTACGTATCATAACTGGCACATATCGCAACTACGATGACGTTCTCGTAGACCTCTTCCCCACTGCCCTCCTCTGCCCTCACCTCCCCTCCAAGCTATCCCAGAAACCGACACGTCATCAACCCATCTGAGGTTCCACGCCGATAATAATAAATTCTCAGGCACACTGGAAGGAATGGACAAAACCTTCCCGAGAGCGATCTCCGGTTCGGAATAAGACAGAACCGATGCACATGACAGCGCTCCTCTGACCGTTCGGGATTCAAAGTTGTCGAGAAAAAGGACGAACAGGACGTTGCGCACTTGATACATGGGGAAGAAATCTGACGCCGTGCAGCGCGCACTTGATACATCGGGAAGAAATCTGACGCCGTGCAGCGCGACGGAGGGCGACGAAGGAAATCTGACGCCCTTCGTCGCGCCGCACGTCGTCGGGAAAAGCGCAGGCAGGCAGGGCACATGCCCGGCCTTCTGAAATGTTCGTATGATGCTCCCGCTTCCTTTCCTCCATCCCCGTCGGCCGACGACTGCCACTCGGTGACCGTCGGATTATAACATGCGCCGGACCTTCGACATGAATATTCGCCCGAATATGCTCGTCGCTTCTCTTGCAGAGAGCGGCCTTTGGTCAGTGTACTTCGAGATTACTCGCCGACATCGCAGAAGCCGATTCCGGCTTTACTCGATGTCAATTAAGGAAATTTCGTTTAAGCGACACTCACCGGACGTCGAAGGACCAGGCGGCTAGTTAGATTGGATTTGCCAATTTTCACATTCCCCGCTCAGCAAGATATATTTGGGAATTGCTGCAAATTCGGGAAAATTTACAAAGATTTTTCTTCCAATTCGGTTCCCTTTCGCGTACGATTCACGAGGGGGTGAGTGCATCGACAAGCTCAAAGATCGCGCATCGGGATGTTCAATCCGGCGTTCGTGAGGAAGGAAAAATTAGACGATATAGAAGGAGATGTAATCTCATCGTGACCTTCGTGTCAGCAAAACCCAGAATGCAAAACCATGAGATGCTTGCAAGGAAGGATAACTCAAAATTTGATTCCAGCGCGAATTGGGGAGAGCGCGGTGAAAAAAATGGACCAATATGACCTCCAATGTGGAGGCAAGATAACTATACAACTCAATTGCAAGAAACCAGCTGCCCTGCCGGCTCCGCCCCGCCCCGCCTTGCCTCGTTCCCATCTCTTGGCATCATCAGGAAGGGCAACGAGAATCTGCTTTCATTCCCAAAACATCTAAAGCGGGGATGTCCTCTCCTGCAAGATCAGAAACTTCTTCCCACTCGCTCCGTGGTGAAGTTCCACCTAGGACTACATACAGGACCCCTCTACTCTTCTTACAGATTATAATATGCTTACACTATCGGCCAATCCAACCGCCGACCTGCTACAGAGGGATGATGCGGCGGAGGTCCGGCAAACCGCTTCGATCCTCGATCCATCCTGGAGCCTTTCCCCTGCGTCATTTCACGGTCCCATACACAAACCGAAACAAGCTGCTGAGGTGAGAATTTTACTCTCAATGCCTCAAAAATCTGCTTCAAGGAGCCGCGCACTCGGTGAAGTTCGTGGCCAACATCGGGTATCTCGTAAAATCCGTGCAGTAGTCGTAGATCATGTAATTGGACCGTACCCACTCGAGCTTCCTGAGCTCCACTGCGTTCAGCTCATCGTGAGTGCTCCACCAAGTGTCGGAGTAGAAGGGCGAGACGCAGTCCGGGGATGGATCCACGCCGTTGTACACGCATCCGTTCATCTTGAAGTCCTTGTAGTGAGCCAGAAACGGAGCGTTGGTCCAGTTCACCTTGTCGAGTCCTCCTCTCGTGGCCCAATCGTCCCCGTTCCAGATGCTGGAGAATACGTACATGGGCCTCACTTTGGGGTAGAAGCTCTGAGATTGAGGAGTGTTCCTTAGAACCCTGATGGGTACGGAATCCACGTAAAATCTGCACATTGCATCGAATTCGGTTTCAGAACTCTTGAAAAAATGCCAAGGATCGTCCGTGCTAACAGACGAAATTGGCGTTCCCTTCTACCGAAAGAAAGAACGATCAGCTTTACCTGTGAAGAGGTCCTCCTATGGGGACCTGAAGAAGCTCCGTGTCGAGGGTAGGATTGAAGTACTTACACGACTTGGTTGTGGTTCCAGAGGACGGTGTAGGTGTGGAACTTCTCGGCCGGGTCGAACCAGAGGAAGATCCTCTCCTCGCGTCCGCCGTTCCCGTTGGCGTAAATGTTCGTCTGCAAGATGACCGGCTCCCCGGACTTGTTCCCGAGGAACTCGAAATCGAATTCGTCGTGGTTCTCAGTCATTGTGTGCAGCTGTCGGCACAGATACACAAGTTAGAATTGCAACATTATCCGTGTTTGCTCGAAAGCAGCAACCGACGGCGGTGGGGACGGCCATCATCGAGCGGGCGTATCTCGTGCCCTCGTGCCCGTGGGATGAGGCCCTTGACACGGCGGGCGATGGTGACAAGACGCTAGTTGCCGAATGGCACTCAGACTGGGAGACGCGAGGACAGGAAAACTCACATAGAAGCAAACGACGACTCCAGCAGCGTCACCGGGAACCAATTTCAATTTCATGCTCAGTTGCCCGAACAGGTAAGTGTCCTTCGACTGGAATCCCGAACCTGAAGGAGCCAACAGCGACAGTGAGGCATCTCCGGCGTCAAACAGGGGACAGCATGCAATCTCGCAAGCTGAAGGGAGGATCACCCGAGCATCGGGAAAAGGTCCTTCCACAGACAAGCAGCGTCACATGCCAAGGCTGATCCATTATAAAGCTGTTCCTAGAAACGCAATGTGCGCCACGTCCCGCAGCCTCGGAAGAGCGACGGACGATCTCCGAGACCCCGGACGAGAAGCGGACGGGGGGCTTCCATCGCCGCTGACAGTGGGGGGGCTGGCCTGAGAGTTACCTGTCAGTTCGGTCATGGACAGGCTCACGGCGCGACCGTCCATGGATCGCTCAATCTGATTATCAGCCCCGTACAGGACGTTGAACGATTGATCGAAGGTGCTGGTGTCGAGAGTGTTGGTGGACTGCGCGCGGGCAGAGGCCGTGAGAGCGGCCACCACCATCAGTACCAGAGTCCACATTGCGCTCGCGCTCGTCCGCTGCGAGCGAGCCATCGCTCTCGCCGTCGCTCCCTTCGCCGCTACTCCTTGGTCGCCCTCATGCACGACCTCCAGCACAGACCCTGAGACGAACACCGAACAAACCCCGTCTCTCGCTCTCTCGCTCGCTTCTGCTGCAGACTGTCACTCGTTCTTATCGGTCGTATGGTCTACCGAGCAATGTCTCGAACGCAGAGCAGAGCAGAGTGCAACAGCAAAGGAGGAGAAGATGATCGACACTGATGAGTGTGAGCTGCGGAGCTCAACCCAACCACGAACAATCGACCAGCTGGTTGCCCCTCGCCTCCCTCGGCAGTGGTGCCCGCCCACTACAGAGGGTGACCCGACGGTTCATGCAGTCCGGGGAAAAGGAGAAAATGACCGACCGCGACGTGATCTGCGAGCTGGACCACCTGCCAACGAACTTGCCACCCCTGATCCCCCGGTAATTGGCGACCGGGAACTGTGAATACCCCCTCGGCAGTTCATGCCCTGATCTAAACTCGACTCCGTCGCGGCCGCTCGACGAAGTAACGGGGGACGCGCGGTTCCCCATGTCGGTCGCTTACTGTACTCCGGTCCGCCGCCGAGACCACCACCACAGTCACCGGACGCGCAGCGGGCGTCCGACCGAACTCGATCGCTGGCTCCGTGTGAATGGCCGGGCCCAGACCGGATCCACCCACTGACCCACCTCAACCAGCCCGGGTCGCAGTCCGTTCACTGGTCGTTGTGCGCAAGTGCGTACTTTACTAAATGCCAACTTGCGGTAGGTTCGGTCTTTTAGTCGAGTGGGAAATGACAGTTCGGATGAAGTGTCGTTTTCCGCTGCCTACGTGGAAGGCGATGCCATGCCATGTGATGGTATGGGATGCGATGGGATGTGCGCGCGCCGGTGTCATCTACAGCGCATTATAACGCTTCAGCGTCGTGCTTACTGGATCCTCTCGATCTGCCGACGACGCCCGACTTTTCTGGTTATGTTCTGAACCGCATTCACACTGCATAGATTACGTTCATCATATACTCTTCTGTTGTCTCAGAGGCCAGGCAAATTCATGAATGGGGTTCAGATTTTATAATAATATTCCTGTCCACTGACGATCTTCTCATCCTCTTGCCCTTGAGACCCGCTGGCTCCTTTCGCTCTGCTGCCGCACTACTGCATGAGACAAACTAGAGTTACGGAAGAAACCCTAGGGTTGGGCATGGAGGGGCTCGATCTGAGCATCGGACCGCTTGCTTTTGGCAGTCCTGCACAGAAACCGCTACATTAAGCTCGACAGCGATAGTATTTGCTGCTCTGCAGCCGGTCATTAAACAGAAGCCGTGACGGATGGAAGCGGCCGCGCTGGCCAATCAGACGTGACCTGTGCGCACTGCTCGTTGGCCTGTGCCTGTGCCTGTACCTGCTGACTGGTCGTCGCTTCCGGTCAATCACTACCTCTCGGATCGCTTTAGACTACTCTAGCGGTATGATGGACCTGGCCGTCGGCCGCACTCATCCGTTAGACAAGATGATATCAATGGTAGGATGCCTACATCAATGCATGCCCAGCGAACGTTGGTTCTAACTTGTTCAGAAATTTGTGACAGATAAATTACCCTTACGAAAGTGGGGAACTGTAGTGCAATACGTGTTTGAATTCGAGATCATGATTTAACTCTAGTTTCCTCAACTCGATTCTCTCCAACTATGATTACAAGACAAAACTATACTTTTATGTCTTCTTTATGTCCATGCACAACAATAAACATCCTTAAATTGGGTTAATAATAGATGCTTAACCAAATCTTTTTTAAAATTTCAGTTTTTAAAATTCATAACTTTGTGTGTAAAATTTGAAAAAAAGCAATTTTTATTAATTAATTATAAATAAATCATATTATATTTAAATTAAGATATTAAAACCAAATGATACGATCTTATTCTTTCACCTTCAGAAACATTATTTTTTTAAGATATCTATGAAAACGCAATATTTTAATCTTTTAGATTATGCATGCTAATTTTAAGTTTATTTTTCAAATAATTAAAAAATCATTAATTTATAATATAATTTATCTGGATAATAATGAAAAATAATTTTTTATTATTATAAAGATAATCATCGATGATAAATTCAACGGAAAAAACTTAACCTAACACATGAGATACAACATATAAAGTGGTTCAACCTTTAGATCGCTACATGCAAAGAAAGAACGTACATGATTGAGTTCACTATAGTATGCAAAAATCCAATCAAATAGTATTGAACACTAGGGTATTTGACCCTGATGCTCCAGCTATAAATAACTAGAACTTGAAATTACTCATTGACTAAGTTAAATTCAACATACTGATTAGTAAATGTGATCTCCCTTTATTATTATTTTTCAAGCCAATAATCTCTATGTTTCGATTATACATGATATTTTGTAGATTTTATGACTCAAAGATTCAACAAATGTGCAATCTAATTTTGAAAGAGATATACTCATAAAAAAATAACGATGACATCAGGTGATAATTAGACATGGAATGAACATTTGACATAGCACATAAAAATCTTCGTTGGTTGTTTGTTTGCCAAGCTAATTACTTGAAACCGTTCTACATCAATCTCATTGTCTCCATAAGTTTTATTTCTTGTTGCATTTTATGATTTAAAGCAAAGAAGAAACAGGAAAAAAAGTAAGGTGAACAACATGTAATCAGGTAGAGCTAGACATGAATAAAATCATCACGATAATGATGTAGTACTTAAGCTAAGATATTTTAACTCTTAAGATCAATTGCTGTATATACCACACATGCATCACAAGAATTATCATCTCTAAGATAATAGTCATTTGTTAATGTCATCATATTATTTGTAAAGAAATGAATAGATGTGATAAAAATTGATGATGATTAAAGAGAATGATAAACATTTCACATTGTATGATAAGCTCTGCACGCTCTCACAAACATGTCAATGTTGATCTTTATAACTTTATAGAACTCTAATGCTGAGAGAACACAGGGATAACAACTCTACATAGTACAATATGTCAAGATTTTGGCTGATGCAGCTTGAGAATGGCTAGTCATCCCCGCGAAAACAGTATCACATAGGATTCATAACCTATTTGTAATAAAAGTACAAAAGTCATCTCGGATCAAGTATAGCTGTTTTAGGACTTGGACTGACTACCGTACAATGCATGTCAAGAAAAATTAACCACTGCAAACATTATATGCCTGATATGATCATGCGTACAATTTACTTTTCACTTGGAATGGACAAAAAGTTTTATGGATACATCAAGAGTGATACTACATTCAAATGTGATTCATGAAAAACAATTATGGAAGGTTTGACGAAGGCAAGGTGTAACCTCATCAATGTAGATCAGGTATGAAGACTGAGACTCATGGAATAAATAGATAGATGAACCAGGTTTGACAAGCACCAAACTTGAAAAAGAGACTGAAAGGAGTTACCAAAAGAAAGAAAAAAAGACTTAATTCTTGAAATAGCAACTCATTATTCCTTTAATTCTCATCTAAACACAAATTTTGAAGTTGGGAAATACAATACATAAAAAACGAACCAAAATTTTCTGATAAATTTCAGCATAAAATATTCTGAAGCACATCCTAGATAATGTGTTTTCATTGTTGCATACAAAACACTACTATATTTTATTTTCTACACAATAGTACAATTTTGTATATGTTATACGATTCACTTCTCATAGTGATATGTATCATGATCCATAGATTTCTATATCTTTATTTTTATCAATTTGCTCGCATGGATTCCTAACATCTTCTAAGCCATACTCGCGGTCCTTTTTGGCATGAGGCGAGAAAAATTGCAAGGTCACAATGGAGTAATTACAAAACCAGTTTATAGGGCTGCCTTGGCCCTGTACTGTTGACCTTCATAGCTTACCATCTTCAATGATAATAGTAAAATACAAGAAGAATAGGTGCAGCTTTCAAGTGAAGGCGAGTCAACATGCTGGTCTAACCAGCTTGCATTTCAAGTCCGCGGAATTCGATCTGTCACTGCTGCCCAGCTCACCATCGAGCCGAGATTGTTATTCATTTTTGTCGTCTTATTACTAGGGGAGTGCACGCCATCGTCAATAAATTTATACACGTCATCTCATTTTGCGATCTCCAATACCCAATGAATTATACTGCTCAGTATTATTGATTGGGATATATACATCGCACACTAGTCTTTAGAAAAGATTTATTACTTCTTTCTTTGTTTTTTTGTGTTTTTTTCAATTCTTAGGTACTAGGAGAAATCTACATGAAACAAGGAGTCAAAGAGTGCATCTACTTTGTTGAGGGATTAAATTTTAGAATTATAGTAGTAAAAAGGAGTTTATTATAGAATTATATTGTTCTGTATAGATGAAAATTTATTTATCTATAAAAAATTATTATTTCTTATTAGAGAATTGGATAATGCAAAATGAAACTAAGAATCGAAGATTGCATCTAATATATTTAGAATTATACTAGCAACAATAGGAATTAACTGCAGAATATTTCTACTCAGTAGATGTGCCAGTCTAGTCTTTGGACAAACCATTATATTGTATTTATTTTATTTTATTTGACTTAATCAGGTATATTTTTGACAAGATACCGTGATAGTTTGACAATTGACGAGAGACATTTTATGGTTCAGGATACTAACCGGCAGTCCTTCGTCGTCGAGTGTGTTCTCGAGTTCTGAGAGAATTCAAGCGGAAAACATTCCTCTGCTTTTCCCAAAGTCAGGTATACTGTACCTAAAATATGTGCGCTTCCTGGATCCCCAACTCATCTATACAATCTTATAAATATGATTCTTCGCTGTCGCAGGAACACAGTCTGTACTTTCACTTTTAGGATCTTCCGATGGTTGCGTCCCCCTGAGAAAAACGTCGCAGGCAGATGTAGCAGTTGAAGACTGGCGCAGCAACTTTCGACAGGAAACTTAATGCACGCTGTGAAAGCTTCATCTTCTTTTCTCGCATAATTTCATGCCAAGCGTGTCATGCGTCTCTCTCAAAGACAAATCTACGCTCATTTGTCAAGATTTCTTCACTTTCCAGTGAAACAGAATCCCGCGACCTCGTGTATACTACAGGTGTCATCGGAAGTATGTCCGTGTGGGTGTGTTTCAACGTACAACAACCCTTGCAGTAAAAGGTTGTTCCGACTAATGATGGTGGGTATGGACGATCCGACTTGAGGCGCCTGATTATATTTAAAAAATTGGTCAATTGCATATACGACACTTACATATGGGTGTGGATATTTTGAGCTCCGCCCAATGTGAGAATCTATCCTGATTCCCACTTTACGTTTGCTCTGTGCATTTTCAAGAGCGAGACTGTAAGGCTTTACTTTACCTTTCCACTCAGCACTTGGTTCACGGTCAGCTTCATACAGACTCATGGTCTCGAGAGATTGTACAATCATTAATCATCGATGTAGTCGTCACTACTTGGAAGATATAAAAATAAGAGCGCCAATCTCTTGAAGAACGAAATGACGTAGAGTGAAATTGAAGTAGATGGATTATGAGAGATGACATGTTGAAAATAAACCAACGTCAGTCTCTCGTGTGACTATGACGAAACTGTGAGTTGATTCTCCTTCCCCTCCTGACAGACCGACCAACCTTTCGAGATTCAAAGATTTCAAGCATGAGACAAACTCGATGGATGTTGCACCATAACTGCATCCGTAAGAAATGTGACCGATCAAGACTCGAGCTCACTCCCAGTCCCTCCTCTCGTGCTTCTCCCCGCGACACCAGAGACCTCGATGAGACTACACATTACAACAGCTTCAGCAAGAAGGCACATGCCTATCATCCAACTGTGGATCATGTGAGTGCGCACTCCCTTCCGGTGACGAGGGCCACGGCAAGATCGACTTCATACATTATTAAATCAGATGAGACGGCGAGTCCTCAGTAGTAACAATAAGTTCCACTAAAGTCAGTCAGTCACCCTGCAGAAATATAGCAGACTCCGAGAAAGTGGCTTACATAGATGCACAGAAAGAAAGAGATGAGAAAACTTCGTCCCTACACTCGATGTACAAGCAGGTCCAGAGACGTGAGTGAACTTCTTGCCAGAGGTGAACACCAGACCAAAAAACAGAGAATCCAGCTCTCGTCATACACGTCCTCCTCCAAGCTGGATGCTTGACGGGGTAGTTTTTACAGCAAGAGAAGGCCGGTTCCATAATCAGTCTTTCAGAAAACTCGCTACGGCACGATGACACAGCTGTAAAAAATTCGGCTGGACGAATAAGGCTAAAAGAGTCATAATCCACCATCACAGTATCACTTGATCATAAGCCCTTGACGTAAAAATCCCAATTCAATGAAATGTACATGGTTGCAAAAATCATTCGGATGAAACTTGTCATGGATATCGACTTCAGAGGGAATTGTGAAGAACGAGGTAGAATAATGGACCAACTCGACCTCCAATGTAGAGGCAGAAAGTTTACTATACAACTCAATTGCGAGACAACCAACAGACGACCCCGTTCGTGGCTTGCCATCAGGAAGCGCCAGGAGAATCTGCTCTCTTTTCCAAAACATCTAAAACGTGGGCCTCCTTTTGCGAAATCCAAATCCTTCTTCAGACTTGCTCGGTGGTGAGGTTCCGCCTGAGACTAAATGCCCCTTTCCTTCCTTCCTTCCTTCCTTCCTTGCCCCGCATCTATTTTTCTGAAAGACTATATATGCTTACACTATCGGTCAATCCAACCGCAGCTTCTCAATAATCGAAACAGCCTATAAATAAATCTGCACGGTCTATCCCTAGACTGCTGCAGAAGGATACAGCGCTCGTCCATTAAAACTGCTTATATCCTCTACGGATGAGTCTTTACCGCCATCCCCTGCATTATTTCAGTCCCAGAAAGAAACCAAGACAACGTGATGAGGTCACAATTCCAAACCCTCAAAAATTTGCTTCAAGGAGCCGCACACTCGGTGAAGTTCGTAGCCAACATCGGGTATCTCGTAAAATCTGTACAGTAGTCGTAGATCATGTAATTCGACCGCACCCACTCGAGCTTCCTGAGCTCCACTGCGTTCAGCTCATCGTGAGTGCTCCACCAAGTGGTGGAGTAGAAGGGGGAAACGCAGTCCGGGGCTGGATCCACGCCGTTGTACACGCATCCGTTCATCTTGAAGTCCTTGTAGTGAGCCAGAAACGGAGCGTTGGTCCAGTTCACCTTGTCGAGTCCTCCTCTCGTGGCCCAGTCGTCCCCGTTCCAGATGCTGGAGAATACGTACATGGGCCTCACTTTGGGGTAGAAGCTCTGAGATTGAGGAGTGTTCCTCAGAACCCTGATGGGCACAGAGTCGACGTAAAATCTGCAAGTTCCATTGCACTCACTTTCAGACACTATTGCCGCATCGCACATGTTCACGGACAGATGCCACAACATGGCCTGCGGCTATGTGATGTCTGGGGGTAGTAATGCAGTCGATCCATTTTGAAGCATCTGTACACCTCATGCCAGAATATCAATTGAGACCATGAGGGTCTCGAGAGGGAACAAATGTTCAAGGGTGGAGCACTTACACGACTTGGTTGTGGTTCCAGAGGACGGTGTAGGTGTGGAACTTCTCGGCCGGGTCGAACCAGAGGAAGATCCTCTCCTCGCGTCCGCCGTTCCCGTTGGCGTAAATGTTCGTCTGCAGGATGACCGGCTCCCCGGACTTGTTCCCGAGGAACTCGAAATCGAATTCGTCGTGGTTCTCAGTCATCGTGTGCAGCTGTTAGAGACACAGAGACAAGTTCAAGCTGCAGCATTGGCTACTTTTGCTGCTGAGCAGCGACCGAGACAAAGATCGACATCGCCATTTTCCTACAGAAAGGTATCTTCATCACCGTATGTGGATCCGTTTTACTAGACTCGCCAGACCCTAGATACAAAAACAGACTACGAATGCTTGAGCAGTCGAGCACAGAAAGGCACGCCTGAGGGAAGCTGAAGTTGAGGCATTCAAACGCGGGATATGAGCAAATGGGACAACTCACATAGAAGCAGACAACGACTCCTGCAGCGTCGCCGGGGACCAATTTCAATTTCATGCTAAGTTGTCCAAACAAGTAAGTGTCCTTCGACTGGAAACCAGAACCTGCAAGGGAACAGCCCCAGTGAGTCAGTGAGTCTGAGTCAGTTGGAGGCATATCCGCCGTGAAACAGGGGATGGCATGCCGACTCGTCAGCTGGGGGCCCGAAGACAACAGGATCGCCAAAGCATAAGACCACTAGCCGCCTTAGAACACATTCCACTTGTGAAAAGAGCCCGATAACACAGAAAGCAAATCCTTGACAAATTTCATTCTAGAGAAGGTAGGCCGTAGGAAGCAGAAGGCGATGAGAGAATGCACACTTCACCCATCCTAGAGAGAAGAGCAGTGCACGCCCTTCCCACGGCCTTCGCACAGCAAAGACTTGCACGTTTGTGATGATGATTTCCATCAAAAGCTCGGAAGCTAACGGCGGAGATGCCCAAATACACAACCCGAGAAGTACAAAAGTGTAGGATAAGTGAAATTTGTGACAACTACATCAAGAGAGAGTGAAGGTGCGAAGATGACCATTCCTGCTCCTCGGTTTGAGTGAACGTTACCTGTCAGTTCGGTCATGGACAGGCTCACAGCGCGGCCGTCCATCGATCGCTCTATCTGATTATCAGCCCCGTACAGGACATTGAAGGCCTCATCGAAGGTAGTGGTGTCGAGAGTGTTGGTGGACTGCGCGTAGGCAGAGGCTGTGAGAGCGGCGAACATCAGACCCAAAATCCACATAGCGCTCATCTGCTGCGGGCGAGCCATCGCTCCCAGCGTCCTTCCTCTACTACGGCAGCTCCGACGACACTCTCATGCACTTCCGACGGCGCCAAGAGAGAGATGACAGCCGAAGAATCGCCGTGCTCCACTCCACTCCACTCCACTTCAGGTCACTTCACTTCACTCCTCCCGCGGATCGTCACTCACATTTATCAGAAATGTGCGCTGAGCTACTCCTCGAAACAGCAGAGCTGAGGAGGTGGTCGACACCGGTGCTCCGTTCGCCTTTCGCTGATGGTGGAGTGGTGCCCACAGATTGCCCTCGCCTCGAGAGGGACACAGACGGACGGTTCATGCAATGGGGTGAAAATGTGAAAAATGACCGACCGCTAAGCAGTCCGCGAGCAGGGCGAGCTGGACGAGCTGCCAACAAACTTGCTACCCCTGATCCCTCGGACATTGGCGACCAGTAACTGTAAACACCCTCCACCCCTCGGCAATGCGCTGCCGAGCTCTAAACTCGACTCTAACCGGACCAGACGACGAACTATCCGGAGACGAGTTGCACCACTGGGCTCCGTGAGGAACCGGCCACCGGTCCGGGCCGGTACGCAGCGACCAGCACATTGACCTGGCCAGTCCGGCGTACAGAAATTGCGACACTCCTTGCCAGGGTGGCACCCTTGGGCCGGTGCTGCCGCTGACGTCAGACGAATATCGGGGCCCCGAACCTGCATGGCCTCCCTCCGAGCAACAAGACGTTGTCTCCAGAGCCATCATCATCGCCGACATGTCATTCCTTACGAGCGACCGCGCTCCCAACCGAGTCCCCGCAACCGGACGACCCCCGTCCTGCGTCAGCGTCAGCCCTTCAACGCCCACTGCGCCGAGAGCTTATCTCGGCGAGAAACTCGGCCAAATTCTCAAGCCTTTACCGCTAGTGGAGCCGCTCCGCCTCGGCCGAGAGGACTGGCAACCCCCCGACTAATTTAGCGGAACCGTGCCGCCAGGCCATCCCAGCACATGTCGTGGAAGTGGGTCACGGCCACTGAATCGGGGACCCTGAGTTTATGTTCTAAGGAGGGGACCTCAGCTTTTGTCGGACTGGTAGAGAATCTTCCTCTTGCGTCGACGGCCCAGACCAAAGGTTCAGCTACCCGAAGCCATAAGTGACGATCACTAGCCTTCGTAACGTTTGCCAGCGAGCCAGCCAAGGTCGACCGCGCCCACGACCACGGACGCCAACCGCCAACTCCGTCTAAACGAGGAAGGCGGGAACTGCGTAGAACCCTTGGGTCCCACAAATCACTTGCTTGCTCGCTCGCTTTTAAGCTTTCCGCGCACTCCATCCACAGCCGGTTCTTAAAGGTCTCCCTCGCACTTGAGGCTCGACAGCATCGGCAAATCAATGATCCATCTGTTGCCCCACCACAGCTTGCCCCTCTTGGTCTTGCAGGTCGATGAGCCGAGCGAGTACTATGGTCGCACTTATTGAGGCAGACCTCATAATTTGCTACTCGTTGCCTTTCGAGCCCACGGGCTTCGTGAACCCGTACCTTGCGTGTGATCGACACTGGATTTGCTGCGGGGCCAAAAGAGGACTGCGTAACAAACATTTAATGTGGTGGAAATCATTCGCGGCGACTGTGGCCAATGGAACTGATGATCCATCCTCCTCCTCCGCCTCCTCCATCATCCTGCCGGACGGAGTCAGCAGACGGAACATGGCAATCTCATCCACCTCGTCCGGTCATCGCGGTGGTTCTCGGCCCCTGTCGGTTTCCAGACCTCACGGACTACCGCCACCGAGACCTTCCCTTCCTCTGCTTGCTCCGTATCAGCTTCCAACGGAATAACATGGTCGATTATAGGGATTCCTCCCACCCTCTTATTTTGCCTTTATTTACTTTTATTTTACATAGAAAAAGGAAATTTTAACGACGATAATGTTAACTAGATAAAGGTTTCAAATAAATCTTCGGACTTCAGAATTGGCACATTTTGTAAACAGAAAGGATGGGATGAGGCTTACCCCGTTAGCTTCATCACATCAGAAAATATCTCATACACCACCTATACATATTTATAAATCAACCCTGTATAGAAACCATGAGCATACAACGACTTATGAGCAAAGTGATTGTTTTCATATTTGTTGCACCATAAATTGCTCCCCTGTGATTTACTTCTGAATTAAACTCTTCATAAACATTTTAGTATACAAAGAAACATTGCCGAAAGTGACTGCTATGCCATTTATCGCACCAGATAGTGCTCCAATCAGAGCACTGAAAATTTCTCCATTGCTCCTTAATTTTTCACTCATTCTAACTATCAGACATTAAATTCAATATATTGAAACACAATATATCTGCGGAGAAACTTTTTGAACGTAAATCTTCCAAGTAATCAACTGTCAGAAAAAATAGAAAGACAATGAAACCTTATCAAGTGTTACAGAGACGAAACCACGGGGCCAGCCCCGTGGAAATGTATTTAACAAAATATTTCCAAACCATCCAAATAAATCGCCTTCAAACAACATGAGCACACAACGAATCACCTCTATACGTCGTGGCATAGTTTATTATTCACCTTTGTGCAATCTCTCGGGAACATGTTGAAAAAAAATTTTCATGGTTCGGGCCAATGAAAGTGGCGCCACGTGGGGATCGTCGAGTGAACCTAAGGTACAGACCGCGTGAGAAGAAAGTAACAACGTTAGCCTTTGGGTGGAACGAGAAAAGTTTTCGTCGTGGACTGTGCATATCCTCGACCAGATTCCCGCGCGGGTCACGAAGAAAATTAAAGCGAAGCTCCGAGAATAAAATCACGGGGAGGGCTAAAAAATCGATTCCTCGGAGTGGAGCCATGCGGATAAGCGACGGCCATGAAAAGGGCGAGCCGTCGTCGTCGTCGGAGCTTTTACCACCCGCGATTCCTTCCGTCTTGCCGCTAGTCTGTACGTACTCTCGCTGCGAGAGAGAGGGAGAGTGAGAGAGAGGAGAGACCAGTAGCATGGCGCTGGAGTGGACAATGCAATTGCGAATTTGGAGGCGGCTTAATAACTCCCGCATGCAAAGTTTGGAGCCTTTCGCTTTAATTCTTCTTTTGCTCCATCATTTTCGGGATGTTACCAACCCAAAAGCACTTTGTCGTGTGAAGCGGCCAGAGAGTCACCGGACCCCTCTCGACCGTAGCTCGCCTACTGCCTAGATAGGCCGACCTCCGGTCCGAAATAAATCGTTAGTGGGAGCCCATGATCGGACGAGCGGAATGGAATGACCAGTTGCTGATCGGAATATCGAGAAGGATATTTCGGCTACAGCGGTCTTCGTGGAGATGTCGGAAGCACATGGAGAACTCAATCATGTTGGCATAGATTTCCGTCAATAATTGACGCTTTAACCATCGCAGCGGTTGGCCGGTTGGCCGGTTGTCCGGTAGGGCCTCAAAAATACTCCATGGGAAAGGAATGGAGATGCAATGTATAATTTAAAACGCATGTTCGGGGAAAATATTAATTCTCATGCAGAAGTGGCGAGTGGGGGCAGATAGATTTGTTCACCTCTTGACTCCATGCACATATCAGACGAAATAACAAGTTCAAAGGACTTCAAAAACTGGATATTTACAACCGTTGCCATGAAAGTGAAAATGAGCGATGACTAGCATGGTATTAGTGTCCACAGCTCTTAGAGTGAGAAAGCATAGATAATCTACTCATATATTTATAAGCAAAGGTCGTTTATTCCAACGAATATATAATCATACCTTAAAATATGATAGGTGCTCTAGAATATATTTTTTCACAAGGATTCTTACTAGAGTAAACATAAAGAATATGTTGCGCAATATAGGGGTTAGGGCCGTGCACCTGTATGAACCACGATGTACTATGACTTCTTGTGTTTGTCATTTTAAATTTATTATCTGATTGTAAATTGGCTGTGGCTATCTTGCGTGTCTCAGGCTAACATTGATTGCATTATATTATTATATATTTTTTCTAGCTCAAAATTTTGATTTTTAATAATATTTCTCTTAATTTGATGTCAATATAATTCGCATTATTATCAACCTTTTGGATTTTTGTAAAAACATTCACAAAAATAATTTATGATTTTCAAATTCAATTGCAAAATTAACATTTTCCCGATTTTTGTCTATTCAAATAAGCACTTCTGTAAATATAAAGGTAATTTTTTTGTTATATATTAATTTTCATCTTTTATTCATAAAAAAATCATTTTGTAAACTTTTTTTGCATGTAAAATTTGAATGCTTATTACTTTATAATGCTTATTTTTCTAGTGCTTACAAAAATTGCTAGTTTAATTCACGTCATAAATATCAAGCCGCTATCTACTATCTTTTCTAATAACATCAATTGAACATTAACTATTGAAATTTTGAATTATGTTAAAAATAATAATCAAAATATCTTTGAAATCACTTAAATAAAATCAATTAATATTCAACAATACAAAGATTAAAAACTGATCTTAAAAAATGTAAACTACTTTAAAGTCCTAAATTTTAGCCTTGTTAAGTAGATTCTGAATTCATTTGTTAAATTTAGTCATAGAATTTTATATCTTAAAATTTAATAATATAACATACTTCATATTCTTTTGGAATCATCCAAATCTTTTATTTTAAGTGCAAATTCTAGATGATTGTTAATTTTATCAACATGAATAATAGATTATGAGAGAATTTTTTTAATTTATATCAAATATAAACCATACACTGTAAAAGCCTATTAAATCGTATAAAATTATAAAAATTTTCCATATATATTTTTTTAACTGATTTAAATCAAACAGATATTCTAATAATTTTTCATTTTATTTTTTGGATTTTTCCAAAATTAACTAGTTATTCAACAAATAATTTTCGAAAAATGATTTATTTATTTTTTAAAAATAGAATATTTCAAAAAAATAAAAAAATATACATAATGGCATATTTTGCTAAAAAAATTTTTTATTTTTTTCACAAATTATCTTAATGTGAATATTTGGATAAAAAAATTTCATTTTGAAGATATTTTTCTCATCATACTCTGATCATTTATCAATGTATACAATCATATGGTTCTAATCAAAGATATAAATGTTTAAAATTAATTAATTTTATTAATAGAGTATCATTTCATGCTTCATAGTAATGTTTTTTTTATCAAAAAGAGTCAACATATTATTTTCATCACATTTAATTTGAAAAGCATGTTCTTAATATTGCGTTAAAAACACATGAACTCATAGACACACAAATTTGACACCGATATATAACATGATTTTGCCTTTGGCTATCTAGGGAAACAAAAATAGTTTACTCAAACTAAAAGTGATACAATGTTCATAGTACAAACTAGATTTTAGCAGCGAGACTAGCAAGATCTTGCCATCCTTAGTATTCAAAATCCAATTAAATTTTAATCCAATTTTCCTAAAAATCAAGCGATAGTGCACAAATATTATTCCTGTCAATACTCCCCTTAACACATGTTTAGTGGATATGACACTCCATAGATCATATATTAAATATATGATAAATCATGAAAGAAAACCATTAAGTTCATTCTTTAAACTAAAGCTATTTAGAACTAAGCCATATTCCAAACAAGCTAGAGTATAAATTGTTAGTAAATCATACTTCTGTTACTCATGTGAAATCTTCATGGTATTCCAATGTGTACTAAAAATTTTTTTAAAACAATTTTGATTAAAATATTAGTTTGATTGAAGTTACCATCAATCTTAATGAGCTCAATATCTTTATCAGAAATTGCATGTTAGATAAAGTGATGTCTGATGCGACATCATATTGAAAATATCTCTTAACAAACTACTTAAAAAAATTTTACAAATTATGCCATTATAAATCATAAATTTTTTTAAAATTTGAGATATCAAAAATGAGATTTTTCAAAATCTCATTAAATGAAATATTAAATTCTTTCACTTTTTTTTTTCAACTTCAGAGTCTTTACTTCACAAAATAATTAAAAATTTTAACATGATAAGTCATATAAATTTCAAAAAATTTGAATCATCAACAATATTATATTTTGAAATCATGAATGATTCCTATATTTTTTCCCAATATTTTTTTTCATCATCAAAATCCATTTTGGACAAAATGTTACATGTTTATGTTTTCATCATCACTTTTACTATTTTTCAAATCATTAAAAATTCCCTTTTAATAATTTAATGAGTTTATTTTGTTCATCTATTGTTGGTGATTGCTGTTGTAATTGAGTGCATAATGATTGATACTAATAAATGTCTTATCAAGTGTTACAAAACTTTCATTGTACATTACACAATGTAATTCAATCACATTTGTTTTGTTCATTAGTAGTCTAAATTTATTAATGAGATTTAACATTTTTCATTTAAGAGTTGTAATGAAATTTTTTTAAGCTCCAATATCAATTGTTTTGAAATATTTTAATGACAAGCATTCATGACAATATTAAAGTAAAATTTTTTGAGCTCATTGAAACAATAACTATAATAACAAAAAAATATTTTATTGAAACATTTATTGTGCCTCAAAACACTTTATTTTTTTATTTAATACATCGTAGGTATAATTTACTTAATGAATTTTAATCAAACTAGCTAGAGATAATAAAGACTTGAATCAAAATCCAACGACTTTTAGAATAAATATATATCATATAATTTTAAAATTATGAATCATATGAACAGGCATGTCATGTGAGATTTTTCTTATATTTTATCAAAATCTGTTACTTTGAATTTTGAAATAAATACAAAAAAATTTGAAGAAATAACACACATTAAGATTAATATATGCTTTTTTATCTTACCTTGCACTACATGTTTGATACACAAATATCAATATTTCGAAATATTTTTTTGAAGATAAGAAATTGCATGTTTAATATCAAATAATATGATTTTTCAATTCATGTAGATTGAATCTAATATCAAAGGAAAAATTGTACATTTGCAAAAGAAGTTAAATTGATATTAAATTTATCAAAATCATATAGCTTATTCACACGTAAAAAGTCATGATGTATGATCAGACAAAATATATAAATATGCAACCGAAGGAATTTCTCTCTACACTTCTGCAAGGCGAAGTGTAGAGAGAAAACTTGATAATACATAAAATTCATCTAATTCTTCGTAAATAGTAACAAACTTGTTCCAATTTTTAACTTGAAACCATTTGTCTTGTATAATCAATGTGCCAATTTTTTTTAAACAAACATATTACATATCAAAAGTTAAAATTTATGATAATTCAATAATGATATTTTATTATCTTATTTATCTACCCACCATATTTATGACATTTTTCATATTGCAAAAGATTTATAAATACCAGAATTTTATATTTTTTAAATGTTTGAAAACTATGTAAGTTTTGTGATTTTTGATAAAAATAAATCTATATAGTCACATAAAACTTTAATAGATGAATGTATTAAGCAGAATTATCCATCTTCGTTTCAATCTACATAATATTTTATGAATATTTCAATGTTTCATGATATCAACTCATAATTTCTAAATGTGATGAATAGATTAGATTTGAAGAAAAGCTTTTATCAAAACGTAGACACTTAAGGAAACCTTAATAAAAATAAAACTTTGATATCAATCTAGTCCAATAGTTTTGGTCTGATCTTGTCCTGTTCAACAAAAAACAATATACAAAAATGACAAGGTTATTGATTCTAGCTAATTCATGTCGCAATTTTTTCTCTTGCAACTTATACAGTCATATTTAAATATATTTCTCAAACATCGAAGACTTCATTCATTATAATACAAACTAATTTCATGTGAATATGATTCACAACATGATATATTTTAACTTCAACAAATTCAGTGAATTGACATATAGTTGAACTTGGAGTGGAAAATCTCAAACTCTTGCGCAATTCTACTATACCATCTGTATTTATCATCAATCATAATATTATTTCATTCAAGAATTCATGAGAAAAACCTTCGATCCTTATGCTAAAAATGGAATTCGAAAAAACTCTAGCTTGTGTTGGTCATAGTTTTCTTTTCTATGAATATATGTTGACCTTAACCATTCTTAAGGTAGTTGACGATAAGTGTTTATAATAATTTATAACCTTGTAATAAGTGATGATCTATTCTCATCATCTAGATATCAGAAATGTGATCTTGTTGATTGACCTTTGATTATAGTTTTAATGCATAAAATATTAAAATGAATTTTGGATAGCTTGTACTTAGATGTAGAAATTAAGTACACTAGAGAAAAAAATTAAATCATGTGAACTAATTGTAATCTATTTGACAGTCCTTACTGACACCATGTCCGTGATAGTGTAGACGCACGGCTGTGCTTGATCTCAATCTTCGTTTCCCAGAATAGACTACGGCCGATTGGAGGTTTACTGGTGTGCTGTCGGTAATTCAGGTTACTTAGAATCAATCTACGGTTTGTGCGAACCCATTCTCGGTACTCTTTCGCCATTTGCACTCGGGCATGTGTACTGAATCTGAATTTAACTGCATACCTGTCTGCTGCTGTGATTTTGTAGAGGACTCGAACTAAATGCTCTGGTATAGTAAGTGCTTAAGGTGTAAGAAGGCCTCCGCCAGCTGCACTGAGCCAGACGACTTGAGTGTTCATCCACTCAACAACCAACGTGCTCAAAACATGTCCATTTGCAAGGTGGCATTTAGGTTCCACTTTTACTTAGAGTGCGAGAAAGAAGTGCAAGGATACAATCTTCCCTACGGTGGTACCAATTTTCCGAACTCCGATAACGCTGCAAAGGCACAGCAATGTCCGCCTACTTCGAGTTGTCTGGATTGCTACATAAAGTTAATTCTCTTACTCGTCTGCTGCACAGCTCCCAACAGAAGGCTTTCTTGCTAAAGGAAGCAGATCAAAATTTTACATCTACAATTTACTCTACAGTACGCTTGAAAATTTAAAACTCGTTTACTGATTCTGTAAGGATACCGCAGCACTTTCTTTCGTCGATGTTGGTGAAAAGGCTCGTATCGAAGAGGCTCATTGAACATTGCTCAAGACATTCATACAATGAAAGGTCTTCTGGAGCAGACAAACTACTCATCTGCCATAGCAAGCTCTAGGGCAAAATCGTCTCTTTCCTGCACGCCAGGATGGCATTATGAATCATTAGAACAATTATCACCAAAACGATATCAACGAACATAAAGTTCACACTGTGTACATACTTGAAAAATTATCAGATTCCTTCCTGAGACAATGCAGTCAATGACACCTTTTAATGCAATCCATATTCCCATGATTGCTACTCTGTGTTCAGCCCAAGTTCAAACCAAGTGAAGCTAAATCAAGTCGATGCTCAAGTTTGATGCCCTTACCACTGGCCCTCGAGCGAAATATCGACCAAATTGCAGCCAGTAAACCTGTATCCCAACCAAATTCAGCAATAAGGATTGAGAAAGCACAGGAAAATGAACATATCCCGCTCTACAGAGACCTCAAAAATTCTTACCAGGCTCCAATGAGGCCCATCACACAAGACTATTTTTCTACGATAGAGCATAAAGCATACGATTTACCTCATCCTCATCCTGGGTTTCGACTTCAAGATCAGACAGGGCATACCCAACACAGAGTAGTCCATATCCCTGTGTCACAAAGTGCACACGGTCAAATCAGTCCGATACACCAACCTCCTCTTGAAAGAAAACTCTTTCATGACCCACCACCTCATTCCAACTCAAGGCTAGGAGAAAAATCATATGACAAATCAGATCTCGTTCTGATGTACCTGTTCCTTCAGCTCTGCAGATATACCCAGAGCTTCAGGCTGATAGAGCTGTCCTGATTTTACGCGGACTGCACATGCCGTGCAGCAACCTGAAATCATCACAATTATAAAATTACTTTAGGTCTTCCAACATATGAACTGAGACCCATTATGCGTCTTCCACACTATAGGAGAAGAAAGATTGGAAAATTGAAAAATCTAGAAGAAATATTGCGTATCACCTGAAGGCATACTCCTCATTTGCAAAAGTAAGAGACTGAACCTACTCTGAATCGTCGAACTCACCGTGCCTACAAGAGAAGGGCAAATCTATGTCTTGGTCTTCTCCTGTGTGAAGTATGTACTGATCCTGTCAATAACAACCAAATTTTCCGATTTAGGTGCTCTACACGTACGAAAACAATTCAGCATATTGTACGCGAGTGAAGCAAATCGATCCTCAATACTTGAAACCAATCCCCAAGGGAATAAGTCGAGATGGAGGCTTCGTAGTCACCTCCGGAACTTCAAATTTGTGGGTAACGCCTCGTTGCCTATCAACGACTGTGACGGAATGAAGCGCTGAACCACGAACGGGCTCTTCTCCCACTGCCACACGAGCTTGCGTGATTGCAGACGAGGTAGATGTGGTCGCCTCCGCCCTAACTAGCGTCCAGCAACTGGGCAGCGGTTTCGAAGCGTTGGAGAAATTGGCAGAAAATTTCCCTCTTGTGAGATTCCGACATTCGACTGAAAGATAGACGCCAAGTACAAAAGTTCACTTGTTCAGTAGGATTCTAGGCCATTTGGACTTGTCTTCGACCAGGAAGGCATTCGACGGGTTACTCATTTGACTCCACGCTGTCACGGACAATTCGCAGACTCCAGTTGCACAATGCTGAGGAAGGCCACGAATAAAGCCGGCCATTTCCACTTCCTACATCGCTTCCACTCCGAAGTGGAAGAGATACCCCACTCTAGCCTCGCCCAGTGAACACACTGCGCACGACTTCTAAGAGTAGTACTCGAAATTCCACAGAGGGCTCATTTCACCGACAGAATTCTCGTCCAAAGAAGAAAAACAGAGCCATAGGCACAGGCTTGGAACGAGAAGGAGTGACAACGGCAACGAGACACAAAAAGACGAAGAAGTCCGAATTGCAGCGAACGAGAGAAGGAAGGAAGGAAGGAAGAAAAAGCGGACTGACATGTGCCGGAGACGGTTGGGTGGTTCCACAGCGCTTGCAAGTTACTCGTCGCCATAGCACGTCTTCTTTCAGTCTGCGTATCTGTTTAAAGTTTCGTCCACCTGTCTGACACTACAAGCAGGGAAATCAGTCGAATTCAGCTCTCAGATATGCAAGAATCTCTCACAATTTTCCTCAGGGTGCTACACAATTGCGCATTCACGAGTACTCGACCACGACAGAATTCCTCTTCCTCTCAGCAAGCCATAGCCAGTGAGCAAATCGTCGGGTCTCATGTGGGATTCTCGTAACCAGTCAACTCAATTTCGCTGCCATTCACTCGTCATTTACCTGCGCGCGGTACAAAATCCAGGATGCTGGTCCGCTGTGCACGGTTCGGACGAGTGCTCATGAGCTGCGAGCAGACGACGAGGACCAGAATCAGCAGATTGCAGCAGGCGAGTGTAGACTGGATAGTGCTGCTGCCAATGAGGCATCTTCACGGCAACCACGATGGCGACCAGGTACGCGGCGTTGCGGGTGCGTGGTTGACGCAGTCCACGACTGCAGTACTCTCTACAGCACTGCACAGTTCACCATGTTTCGTATAGTGTCGTCGAGTGGAACAAGCTTCAAACAATCAAGGTTTGCATCCTACTCCGTTTCAAGATAACCCTGGAGTGAAATGAAAGTCTTTACTGTACTCCGTTGAGTTTAATTTATTACTCACGGTAATTATCGTTCGGCTTGTGTTTTAAAGGATAAATGTACACGATGATCAAGGATGTGTTTAAATATAGTGTGGATGGACCGAAATAACCGTGGGTGCACAAATTATATCCACCACTAACACACCATTATGATGTGGTTCCAGAAATGATCAAGCAGGCGTGTGTGATGCTCGGTGTGGACGATCTAAAATTATTGACGGGCTTCATAAACGATTGAAAAAGGCAGGGTGCCTGAATGTTCATACATTTTCCGACCATAATTTAAGCATGCTTCTGAGATTGGTATTTTAGAAAAAAAATGTAAAATATATTTGCGCATCTGGTAATTTATAAAGAAAGTGAAAAAGTGTAAAATATGTTTAAGCAAAATATCTATATTGACACACAATATTTACTCAACGACCCCTATAGCATTTCAGGAAAGAAACTATACAATTATTCTACATATTGGTCACACAGTATGTCAAAATTTTATTTTATCATATGTTTACCTGTGAAATTGACATGTACAAAAGTATCAAATTAGATGCCAACAAGAAGAATGTTAAATGTAAATATGGATAGTGGAAAAGAAGATCGGACCATCTATTTTTTAAAGATTACAAGACTTGGGCCGGATAACATATCCTCAGTATTCACATTGGATTATCATTGTACAGAGTGCAATAAGGAATGTGTGAATTGTGTATCTAGTGCAACCTTGTATAATAAATCATTTAACGGTTGGAGATTATTTTGAAGTTATTGATGATAATTTCGTTAAAAGATGTTTCTTATAACATGATATATACTCCTTCAACAGTTGAAAATATAAATTTAAGTAGATTTTGAAACTAATTGGAGACTAGAACGTTTCAAAGATTTCATTGTAAAATCTTAGAAAGGACACATTTTCGGAAGTGATGATGTTGGAATCAATGCATACAATCACAATAATCAAATTCACATAAATATATGATTACGTTCAAAACTCGATGTACAGTATTCTATTCTCCGGCCTATGTCCCTGTACAAACTAGACTCCTAAGAGTGGCATTTTCTTTGTCATGTGTCCAGTCGTCTATTTTAAACAATATATATTCAGGGGATGAGGTGGAGGTGCCAAGCTGGTCATTCCCAGAGCGAGCAACGGAGGCTACAGCAAATGCAATTGTCGTAATGTGACCCTCTAACCACGTACAGCGTTTACAGTGGCCCAGTGCCAGCGTGGATTTATAGTAAGAAATCTCGTGGGATGTTGCTGCGTTGACACGAAGAAGACCGAGAGAGGGGGGGACGAAGGGCGAGTTGGTGGGTCGAAGCCGGACCAGAGCAGACGAGACGAGACGCGACGAGACTGGACGAAACGGACCGAATCGCTCGATTAGCGACGCCGGGGAGCTGCGACGGAGGGAGGAGAAATCATCTCTGCACTGCTCTGCTCGTTGCGGCTCTGATCGATCACAATTGGAAGGAGCTGCCTCACCCTCTCGGAGATTCATCCAGCGATTCATCGGCCGATCAGTAGATTGTTCGATCGCTTCGGACTGTTGCTATGGCGACCAGTAGATTGCAGGCTCTGTGGAACCATCCAGCTGGCCCGAAAACAAGTGAGTTTTCCTGATTGTGCACTCAGGCCTACATCCTGTCCAGCTCTGGATTACCTTCTCCGTTGGGTGGTGGATTGGGAAACGGGCGTGGGGGGCTTGCATGCTTTCCCTGTTTGCCGCTCTGTCAGTCGAGATGCCAATATCTTGACCTCCTCAAGCCGTGGATCTGGACGTTTTCCTTTTTTTTTCCCAGTGTTGCATCTGATTAATCGAGAACGATTCAATGTAGTTTTCAAATTTTGAATCCCAGACACCGTCGCTGCTTGAAAACTTGGCGATGCAGTTGTGTTGGGGATGAGCTTTTATGTATTAGCACTTCTGTCTCATGAAGAATTTGCTATCTTTCTGTCATCTGCCTGCTTACCTCATTTGTGGTCGCTCTTTCGTTTTGCAGTTCATTTTTGGGCTCCTACATTCAAGTGGGGGATATCCATTGCCAACATCGCAGACTTTTCCAAACCCACCGACGTGATTTCGTATCCTCAGCAAGTAGGTATGTGGCAGTAGGTCTAGCCTTTCGTTTCCTGATCTTTCGCTTTCTCGGGGAGATTTTTCTGTTGTCCAATTTAGGAAGACCAGCCTTCTTTGAGAATTTTCATCGGCGTTATGCCGTGTGCTATGTTCTATGTCGATTGCTCGCAGGAAAGTTGACCTCTCGTCCTATATAGCCTCTAATCATGTGTTTCTGTTTTACTGTGGAGCAGCTGTGACTGCAACTGGACTTATTTGGTCTCGCTATAGCATGGTCATCAACCCGGTATGCTCGTTTTTTATCCCGCTTGACATGCCTTGTGAATCTCCTTCACTGAAGTCTCTACTTGGAACATGTCAATTGACTGCCGAAATGTGACAGATAGAGTTCCTTCTCTGTCACGTCCATGTGAAGGTTCTAAGCTGACAATTTTGTTGCATAACGAAGTTTGAGATTATCATCAATCATATTTTCTGTTAACAGCTTCTGCTTGTAGGCCACCATTTTAGTAGTCAGAGGAATTTCCTTTTGTAACCAGAAAAGCAGTGTTATTGACATTTCAAGTACTTTGGACCTGGCTGTGGTAGAAAAATTGGAACTTGTTCAGCGTGAACTGCCTGATGGCTACGACAGGAATGTATCAATTGTCTCGGAAACTTCAGTAAGTCATGCTCTTACCTTCACGGTTTTACAACAACACTGAGTCCAAGTTGGTTAGGTTGTAGATGGTTGAAGAATGTTCTGCGTTTTGAGATGTTTATAGGTATTTAGTATAGTTTGATAACTCATCATAGCTAATGGAGCCAGGATTGACATCAGTAAATTAGAAGTAAGGCTACCTTTCACAGACACCTAAAACTGCAATCTAAACTCAGATACGTTGCACAACAGCAAGCAAAAGTATCAACAGAACAAGCAACAGGCTAAGGAGATATGAGCTGATAATTTAAAGACGCAACTTCTGAATCCAGTATCTGCCGATAAGCAGATGTCTGATTACAGATACCAGTATCTCCTTGTTAATAGATTATCGTGCCAATATAGGGCGAGTTTTTTTATCTCCGTATACAAAGCTGCAATATGATCCACAGACGTTATATCAACTGGCAATATATTTCACTCTTAGTTGTCCATTATCCAGCTCTGTAGCAGGTATGCAAAAATCTAGATTTTGCAGTAGAACTTTCTACAACGTAAATACCCCCTTCGTGGATTGAATTGATTTATCGACGTGGAGATGGTAAGATACATGACTCGTCACAAATGTAGTCTGGATACGACCTAATACATGTCTTGTGATGCAGGAATGATTATGGAGGTGAAAAGGCAGCAATAGCAGAAGTGGTGGAGAAGAATGTAGGTTGAAGCTTCACTCTGCAGCTTATTGAGATTGCGTAAATCGGGACCTAAGTGAGGAAGTTTCCTCTCCTCATTTTGGTATATTCTTGCAAAGTGGAGGGGTTGTGCTACTCGATCCCCAATTTACTCCCTAGTATTCAACTGGGAGTTGATAGAGAAGAGCCTTTCTTACTCAATGTTTATCAGATACACCCAAAAATGCACATTTTGCCATCGAATAATGTCGAAACTGGAAGACGTTGCTCCCATACCTGTTGTAGATGGGAATCAACGCCAGCAAGTTTTTCTGCTGTTAGTGGTGATCATCATCACCATCAGGAGACGTGATTCTGACTTGTCAAATGTAAATGTAAAGCTGACTTGAGTTTGTTACATGGTTCCGCTCATGCGGAAGAAGTATGTCTGAGCAGAGTGGACTCGAAAAAATTATGACTGCATATATATACACTACAAACGAAAGGCAACTTGTGAATAAACCTTATCAACCATATCACTATTTTCAAGCTCTCAACATGCCAAATTTGACATCATAAGTTTGTTCATTTTTTTTCCACATGGTATTCAGCACTCAAAAGCAGTCGGTTTTTCAAGTCAGTGGACGGAGCATCTTATCTTCCATGATAGTGATGCGTTTATGCACTGATTGTTTCTTCACTGAAAGTGGCAACATCTGAATGAAATCATTCAAAGCAAGTTCAACTTTTTCGGATGTGGCCAAGGCGCCGCATCTGGCATCATCCTCATCGTAGCAAGAAGAGAATTCGTAGTTGATATTCCCAGAACTTGGAGGTAAGTTTGATTCCGATAAAACAACAAATGCATTAGGTCGCATCACGTTTTGCTATAAAGTACGATGTATTTTTATGGAGTACTCATGACGTACAGAGTACTCATCCCAGCACCCATTTGAGAAAAGATGAAATCAGGAGAAGTGTTGATATAATAGGAGGAATTTCAAGGATTACGGAGGAATACTTCCGAAGTGCACTTCTGGTTCTAGAGCTCATTCTTTGCCAACGGCATCTTGCAAGTTCTTCCAAGATCCCCTTGTGATTTTCTTCAGCTCTGGAAGATTTCAATGTACTTACTGTAGAATTCAAACAGGTAACAAGGTACATCTACTAATAAAATGACCTTGAACGAGATGTGCCATCCATCCTCCTTAAACTCATCCCGTTTGTCACAACATAAGAACAACTAAAAAAATAGTAATATTTGCTAGCGTAATAATAACAATCAGTGGTAGGATATAGTTTTCACTGAGTTGTGCAACTTCACCTAGTGATGTTTTCCAGATCTCTTTTCATGTTTTCGCTTAATCTTTGTTTTGCTCCTAATTTATATATCTAAAGCGTCTATAATATTTGTGGAAGTGACATGGGAGGGTTTATTACTCAACATACATGCACTGTGAATCCACATGACTCATAACACAGGTAATATATATTAACATATGATGACATTATGAAAGTGATAATTGTTAGAACACAAATATGCAAATTAGTTTTGGGTGACTCAAATTAAGAGATATGTACATTTGGTTCTGGGTCAACAGGTTGTTAATGCAAAAGTTGAGATCACATATCTTAGATGTTGTACTATTCGTAGAATATGATTATCAATAGCATTTTAAGAACGAAGAATATGATAATAAACAAGGTTTTCATATATAATGTAGATCTAAAGGTCAAATTTTTTTGTTAATGTAAGCGAACTAGGTATCATTATTTTCAGCATATTATATTGACAACTTTTTCCAATGTCTATTCATAATTTTATAAAATCATTATCGCAATTCAGAATACAACAATCTAGTTGTTTTAGTGTTTTTCCTTTATATACCAGTATATGTTAGACGATTTGGTAGATGTTTCCGACCCGGATGCAGTTAGGCCTATCACATGTTACCCACCCTGGATTCATCATGAAGGATTCGATGGGGTCATCCATAATTTTGCTGCGTTACACCTATTAAGTAATTGACCACACACTATGATATGATTCCACACATTTACAGATCTCTGATAATTTAGCATATAACTTTATACTTCAAATTGGGTTCTCAAAATGTTGATATATATGGGAAGATATCCATGGAATATTCTTTGTCAGCTACATATGATTGTACGTAATTACATGAAATAAATAATCTGGCTTTTGTGTTTTCCCTTAAAAGTACAGTAGGCCATTCATTACACAGGGTTTTTGCACAAGCTGAGAAGCCAGGTCTCCGTTATTAGTGAACAAATCGTTTGAAACTTTTAATGCTTTGCCAAAGTATTAGTACTATGTCGCCATCACGGCTTAAAGCAGCCTATGTGCAGTAGTACTCTTCTGTGGCGAGCGTATGACCATGTCTAAGTTATGATAATTTCACAAATTATGGAAGCGATCAGCTGGGCAGATTCATATAGAGCATCGTGAATCGCAGTATTTGCGTTTGAACACAATTCTTACGCAGTTAGTTCATTTCTGGAAGGACATTCCAAGAACAGCTTTGGCGTGGTTGTCTTTCTGACCTGCAGCTTAGAGCACGATGCTTTGTTTTCTTAAGAGCAACCAAGAGGGTTTACGAGATTTTGTGCCCAGAACAGAGTAGATGGATCCGAGGATGCATCTCCCAACACTGCTTTGTTCGTTCTGATTCCACCTGAATATTTATCGAAGAAATTGAGCTTCAATCATGGGACCCTGGCGGCACCTTGCCGGTCGTTTTGGAGGCATAACATTCTGGAGTGCATCGACGAAATTCAGCAAATGTTCGAGGGTAGCTTCAGCGGAGGGGAGCTCAAGTACGGTGTTTGTTCCAGAATATTAGATTTTGCGTCCATAGCTTACCGTGTAATTTCCTAGTGTCATGACTTGCAGAGTATTTGTGTGGCAACCGGATCGGTGTTAGATTTCAATTGAAGTGAGCTGACGATGTGATGAATGAGGTCTGTGGTTAGCTACCCAAATTGAAAGCTTTAGGAACATCATAGCGTCATAATCTGCGATCTAAGACATGCGCCTCCAACACCCATTCGCAGAAGCAAAATTACAAGACTTCACCGAACCTACTGGCATGCTCTAGTCTGCATTGATTTTTAACGTTGCGATCATCCTTGGTATGGAAAATTTGTTTTTGTGCTATCCTGCTTTGATTTTTGTTTTTTTTTGGATTCACCTGCAGGTTCTTGGAGCAGTGCTGCTAAACAATTAACCGTATTTGAACGTAGCAAGGATCAGGGTCATCAGAGAACATACTCACATGTACTTGGAGTACCTGGTAAATAGCCTGAGACAAGTGGACACGATCTTCATTTTCAGTTCATAATAATGTTTTAGAAATTGTGCTTAGATGCTTTTGTTTAAAGATGGAATTGCCCATCCTCGTTCTCTCCTCAGCTTTCCTTTCTCCTCCGGCAGGAATGTTGGTTCTCGGTTTAGGAGCAAACCAGATACTGGCCGAAGAGCTTCGCAACAAGACTTCTCCACCACGGGAAGGCTCTATCCTGAATGAAGGTCCCGTGCTTCACCTTTCTGATGAGGGTTTGATCGCATCCCAGCCTGGCGAGGCTCCCTCCAATTCTCACACAGCAAAATGGAGGATCTACACAGACATGGGTCGAGATTTGTTTTCTAAGGTATTAGTGATCCGAGAATGTCGATGATGAATCCGATGCTTAGTTTTTTGCGACCTGAATATTCTTTTAGAATTCTTTCCCTGTAAGTGATTCAAGTTCATACATCGCAGGGGCGACTTGACGAGGCAGAAAAGTACTTCATACATGCATTGGAGGAAGCCAAGAAAGGCTTTGGAGAAAATGATCCACATGTCGCTTCAAGCTGCAACAATTTGGTCAGCTTTGACTATTTTCCACCCACGTTCTCATATATTTACAAACTTCGCCAGTAAAGAGAAGTGGAGTCTCTCTGTTTACGATCATGAGAAGCGTATGACTGAAACAAATTGTTAGCTTCGGTCTTATTGAGCTGTTTCTCAATTTGTTTTCGTTATGAGTCAGATTTTGATAAACTATTATTTACTTTACTCATGTTCGGAGGGTTTGCAGGCAGAGCTGTATAGAATGAAGAAAGACTATGCCCGGGCAGAACCATTATTTTTGGAGGCTGTTAAGAGGCTTGAATCAGCATTCTCTTCGGAGAATCATGAGAGGTACTTGTTGAGATTTACCATATGTAGAAAGTATCAAATGGTGTCACGTGTTTTGGCTTACTATTTCTTGCTTTATGAATTGCTTGCACCGTAAACTTGCATTATGTATTGGAAAACGACCTCACTTCAGAAACACTTCCAAGTGATGAGTTTTGCATGCTCGGCGCACAGGGCGCCCCGAAAGTATTGAGATTGGCCGCAATACATAAGTTTTTCAATGAGGATTGGATGTGTAGTTTTTCCCCATTAATTCCTGGATACGTTTTTCGTACGAAAATGATGTACTTGGTATGTAGAAAATATGTCTACATATTATGAAGTGAAATTGTTTTATCTCCTGACACCTCTGTATCCTGATTTGTGGGAATGGAACAGTGTTGGGTTTGCTCTCCATAATCTTGCAGGCACTTATCTCCTGCAACGCAAGTTTGACGAAGCTCGCAAGTGTTATGAGGTTAGATGCTTTTAGTTTATGTGGTTTCAGTGTCAACCTATGTAAGTCTAAGGTTCTTTCAGTATGAACTGACATATGAAGCTGGCTCGTTCATAGGCCCCCACACAATTACAGGCCTAGGTTATGTTGTACATTTTTATGGAATCTTTAGTGGAGCTCTGTAGTGAGAAAATAAACTCTGCCCACTTGTCTTCTTGGAGATGTTCAGGGTATCACACTGTCCCATATTCTCACGATGTGCTAATCTAGTGAAATGCTGGTTTGGTGACTTCTCATTTCGGGATTTGGACACGACAGCGCTCACTGAAGGTACACTTTTTGCACTGTAAACTAGGATAATAAGCTGTAAAAGTTCTATGCCTTACATGGGTTGGATTTGCACTGTTTTTAGGATGTGGAGTGATGTCTTTCAACGAATTCGAATATAAGAAATCAATTTAGAAGAGTCAAGACTGATTAATGAACTTTCGATTTTCTGTATCATGTCTATTGACAGATCAAAGAGAGAAAGTTGGGCCAGAATCATCCTGAATATGCAAACACGTTGTTCCACCTCGGCGAGGTATGCCGTTTCGAGTGTTATCTTATGTGCTTGTGAAACCTACTTCCTATTGCACGGGTTACTGCAGAGAGCGTTAAGAACAAACTTCTAAAAGATGATTTGTGCACAGGTCAATAAAACGTTTTTTTTTTAAATTGATATGTCAATCAATATGAAAGGTTAAGTCATGCAGAGGAGAATGTCCTCACTAGCTAATGGAAGATGTCTGTTTCTGAAATTTCGTCTGTCAAAGTTGAACTTGATTAGAGTGTTGACCACTGAGTTTGAAATGATTTCGTAGGTGTTACGTCTGCAAGGCAACTACAAAGACGCCGAAGAACTTATTCGTGATTCCATTCGGATTTTAGAGGTTTGTTTATTCTCAAATCTTGTGATGCTGAAAGAGAGAGTAATGATACACACATGTTCTTGAAATGAGTACTAATTTGGATTTTTTCTAAACAATGGAAATCAAGCATGTTCTTGTTGCGAGAAAACTTTTTTTTAATGTGTTAGTCAAAGTTTGACTGTTCAAAGTGCATTTTTTGCATTGTTATCATTGACAATTCAACGAGATTATCAAGAAGGTTGGCCGAATCAGAAAGAGCTGGGAAGTGACTGTCCGCATGAGTGTATGAGTGGAGTTTGAACTTTGCAATTATAGAAACTTTCAACCCTGAAAAGATCCAGCGAAGTTTATCACAAAACATTATACGTTTCCACTTTTGAACCACTTCTACATGATGAACATCTTCTTTGGTCTTAAGAGGTCTCTAAGTGAACAGAACTTTTTGTGATTATTTGCAGGAAGGAGGAGTTGGGCACTCCCAAACTACGATCAGACGGATGGGCCGTCTTGTGGAGGTGCAGACAAGACCTAGATTTACATCAAAAGAACGTCTATGTAATTGCAATTGGAAGATGTACAGAAATATATCATGATGATAATCGATTCTCTATGTTGTGCAGATTTTGACGCTGACCGGTCAGATGCAGGAAGCTGAAAATTTACAGAGGAAAATATTGCATGTTTTGGAATTGTCTCAGGTTAGATGTCCATTTCATGTGCTGGCCCGTACAAACGTCTCAAGTTTCAAAAAATTTTTGAAATAATATGAGGAATTTTTATATTTTTGGCTGGATGTCTGTTGATTCGGCTTCTTTTGAGCTTAAAGACTTGAAATTTTATATGCGGGTTGGGTGGACGACACTGATAACATACTCACCAATTCAAGTTTGTGTAAACTGCCTGTTCCTTTTTGCAGGGGGTGGAGGCAACAAATACAACTATGGCTGCTGAAAATCTTGCTGGGACTTTGCAGGCCGTTGGTAAACTGAAAGACGCTGAGGAGCTTTTGCAAAGGTCATTGGACCAATTTATGATTGTCATTCGTGATGTAATTATTTTTTAAATGAAGGATTCTTAATCACCACCAGTTGTGTGGTACAGAGTTCTTTTTGACTTTATCTAACTTGTTCTGGAGCAAGTTCGATAACTTGCTTGTAACTTCATCAAGCTGGTGAACAGGTTCTCATCTTGATAGGATATCTATGTTAGAAGTTGTTGGTTTGTTGACTGCTTGTAATCGTTGAGCTTTTTGTTACATGACGGTATATCGAGAAGATAACTGATCCGGACCTCTTTAGAACTTTGTAGATCATATAGAGAATGTTGACGCCAGTGTTTCTCATTGTGCAGATGTTTCCAAGTTCGGCAGAAGATCCTTCCTCCAAACCATATTCAGGTCGTGCCATCAATTCAAATATCTTTTCTCATTGGTCATGTTCATCATCCTCAAGCATTATACTAATATATTAACTGCATCTTTCTACAGTTAGGTGTAACGATGTTCAAACTGGCATCAGTGATCATTCAACGTGGTGACATGATAGTCTCAGACAAAGGTGGATCTAACATATCAGAAGCAAAACTAGAGTATGAAACTGCCGAAGAATTACTTCAACGTGCAATCAGGTATTTGAACGGTTGATAAGTAAATACCAACTTGTGTTAGAAAAAGTGTATTAGCTGCATGAATTCCATTTGAGGAGTTGCACTTGTGTTTGGGCTCAAGTGATTTGATAGATGATGAACTTGTAAGCGGATATTTTGCATCAGTATCGAACCACCTATATAGTTCTTCACAAATCAAGTTATGATGTTTCTTTTGCAGAATCGCAGAGCGCTGCTGGAAAGAGTCGTCTGGTGCAAGGGGCCCAATATCACTTCGAGCCGGACCTCTAATTTCCCTGGTAGGACATAAATCTTCTGTCTTATCCTTATTATTATGTACCTTGTTCATATGTTTCATTTCTAACCGTGACTCTTGACGGTAAAACGATTGATATTTTCCATGTTAATCCACTTCTCATATGTTTTAATTTACAGCTTCGTTCCTTAGATGCCTTCGGTCGTTTGAAGATTCGTAAGCTGGAACTGGCAACTGCTCCTGAGGTATGTGTATAATCAACATTTGAAAGACTGGTACAGTATATCAGCTGAGTTTCCACCAACTACATGCATATCCATCGTCAACTAGTGTGTAAATTTTTGAAGTCTTACTCCAGTTCTACGTATCAGCACATATTTATATCTAAAAATGCACACTGCTAATCAAATTATGCTGGTAAAAAAATGTTTATTATGTAGCCACTGCGAAATTTCTCAATAGCATGGCTCTTTCTATGCATGTCATGAATATCATAGATTATTATGACTACCTAACTTCAATACAATGAATGGTAAATTTACTTTTTTTTTGGAAATCGCCATAGAATCTGAAGATCAAGATACATTCATTGCGCTGATATTTTATCTTATTTCTTAAATCCTCTCCCCTCGTATTAGTATACGATTTCGTGACTTCCATCACAATGTTGAAACTCATGAAATTTATTTTATTAAAATGTGACTTTATTTGATCTGTTGTGATTACATTCATGCATACCTATTTTGAAATCCCCTTCTGATCTCGTTAAATTGGCGGCAACCAGGAAATAATGGAGGGAACAAAAGAAGCAGAGAAAAGCTTTCTGCAATGCTTATACATACTTGATAAGGTTCGAGCTTTGACAGCCCTTTGTTGTTTTGGCTTTGAGTTATACGTTAAGTAGACTAACAGTCTTTGAGCTACTTTGACTGACTCAAAAATCTGTCTTGTGGATGTTTCAGTCTGACCTTCCACAAGAGTTGGCCTCCATTCCTGAGGTTCGACGTCAACACATTGCCTGCTTGCGACACCTTGCAGGACTCCTCAGCTCTTCTTCTTATGTCAATAAAAATCCCACTACGAAGCAACAAATTGATCAACTTTTATCTAGGTCAGAAAGCGTGGAGGCAGAGCTCCGAGACAGTACCAAGGTTCTAAAAAATTAGGTTTCTTACATGCAACGCAATGGCGGAAACTGCGCAGAGGTACTCATTTATCAGGCAAAAAAAAATAATGTTCTGTCTTATTGATTCTTCGTGGATATTCCTGCAACTCACTGAGGAATGCTAGACAATTTTGTCAGAAGTCAGGATGTTAGGATCCTTCAAATCAATCATAATTAAATCTATGGCTTACTTGGTCAACTTACCATACGTAATAAAACCCACCAAACTTTATCTTTCTGTTAAGATAGACTTTTCTCAGGTCCTTGCTGAATGTCAAGAAATTACAACACGAACTTCTTGTAAATATTTGCAAATGCTCTGGCATGGAGTTTGATTATGTACGAATATTTTATTTCTAGCACAACACCAGGGAGGTTGTGTGCAATTAACATTTTTAATCATGTATATTAAGGAGGTAAAGTAAATACTTTCAAAAAGACAAAATCATCCCGTGTTGTTGAAAGATACTAGTCGTATGAAACACATAGTGGTCCCAACAAACTTTACGAATTTTTCCATTTGGACACCTACTGTTTCTTCTCTCTTCGAAAACTAAAGGTCGATCAAAGGAGCTGCTTTTTACCACAGTACAACGGTTATGAATTACCACATACTTCAGTTTGCATTCTCAATTATTAATTGGCTTGACATCAACTCAAGGAATATTCGTGTTCATATTCACTCTATTTAAAACACAATTTGGACAAATATTATATTACGTTTGAATGGACTAGTGTGACGATTGTCAACATGTTACTAAGCACATTAGTTTTGTTAAAATATCACACTACAACGTATGAATGGACTAATGTGAAAGTTGTCAACATGTTACTAAACATATCAGTTTTTAAAATACATAGGAAGTGATATGAAAAATAAGAACAAAATACCCCATGAAGCCATAGTTTGATATCCAATTTCGGATACGCTTAAGCTAGATGACATACGTTAGAAGTTCTAAGTCCGTAATACACGACCACCACCTGAAAGATTATCTACTGATTTTTTTTTCTATTGGGAGAACTATAGACACACCCATTCGAACTAATGCCAAAAGAAATACATCTTGTATTCAAAGATGGTTGGGTTTTTTTTGCATTTTCCAAATGTTCTAAATATGTAATTTATGGTTTCTCGTGGTTCTGAAATTTGCATATTCTGAGATTTTGGTTTTATTTGTTTGAAGGATGGGTGATCAACGTTCCATTTTCAATATATTTTCATGTAGAATGTGTTAAATCGATGTCAGATATGATAATTTCAGTCTCCACAAACTAAGTCTAGGTATGTCTAAATAACATTGATTAACTGTGCAAACATACTAACAGTTATCCAAATGTATACATCCTTTTATGTTATAATGAATGTAATATCACATATCTTATCACGGTTAATGCTACTCGCGATCAGACACAATTTTAGTGATCTATGTTTTGTGTGGATCATGAGACCAATGTGATATACATGTATGTCACTAGTGAAAATATTTTTGACACGATGAAGCAAACATAGGTAGAACATTTGCAATCGAAAGAAGTTAGAATAATATTAGTTGTATGAAAATGAGTCACATCCACTAATAAGAAGTTTGTTTAAATTTTGGACTACTAAGCTATGTAGTATGACTGTAGTGTATTCGGTGGTTAAGGATTATTATGTTTCTATGTCTATTCTTGGAAATAAAATGCCTTAGTATGTGATTACAGTATAAATGAAAGTTTGAACCTCTTAGCCAAGCATCTTGCACAACTCTTAGTGATGTACTTGCAATCACAAATCCTTTGTAAAGCAAAAAGTGATAAGAATGACCAAATAGACAATCCATGCTATCTACGTTTTCACATCCATCTATAGTGAATCTCATATGATGTATGATTGGATGTTGACTATCCTGAAGTATAATGTACCAAACAAACATGACTAGTACTGTGAGTCAGAAGCAACCTTAAGCGGTCAAATATACAAACATACTAGTCAAATACTATGTAATGCGAAATATTCAACAACCTCAATGGTGATCTAAGAATTGAAGTTACAAGGAACATTTCATTGATCGTTTTCTGTAAATCTTAACATTGTGATAATCAATTTTAAGTTAGATGGTAAATTATCAGAGATTTTTATATTGTGGCGTATATGTTTTTATGATTCATCATATTTGTACAATGATTGAATAAAAAATATCCAATACATCAAAGGTATAAAACTTTCACAATATGATATATGCATTATAAAAACATGCAGAATGACATCATTCGGAAGGATGCTTACAACAATGGTTTACCTCAAGGAATAGTGATGTTACTTCCATCCAATCTAAGAACGGAAGTCATCCTTTATTTCATATATCAGTCTGTAGTATGAGAGAATATGATATTTTGAATCTTGAATTATGTGAGATCTCTAAAATGGCCAAAAGTGTCCAAAATCCAATAGAGCACAATGGGCCAACAATACATATCAAAATTTACTCTTGAAACACATCTGAATTGCCATTAAAGACTGAATGTAACAAAAACCAACACTACATAGACCTACAAACGACATTCCTCTTTCATCATTGGATTAATTACGTGGATCTACTTTTGGAGATACACCTGATTCATTCCCTAGATAGAGAACGTGGTATGACTGTCTGGTGTTCACGTGGCACCACATCCTTGAGGAGAAATTTGAGACATCAAGGAACTCAGGAATTACAGGCAAAGGGATCAAATGTGACCCAAAAAGAAACTGCGGGAAAATAGAGGTGCGCTCATGTAAAGGTTGAATGGAAGACTTTGTGATTGTCCTGTGTAAGTGCTGGAAAGGAAAAGATCGTAAACCTGAGATAGACGAAGAAAATATCATTTGTATAGTTTGTCGCCTAAACCAACCTTGTGAAATAAGGTTAAAGGGATGAGAAATTCTCTTACAATTATGTTTTATCTGAAGGAGAATTGACGTGGACAGACCTCAAATATCAGAAAGATAGGGTACAGAGCACGCAAAACATGACAATAGGCGAGAAAGAGAACATGGAGGCACTCTGCAATGAAACCCCATGGAGAAAGAAAGCGGAAATGCACGGATAAATCCAAACTATTGAACAACTCATTCTGTCAATGGGCGACCAAACAGGAAGAGAACGACAGCAAAGCTGACGCCATACAACTGCGTACGAGTCCTGAATCACGAGAGTCGTAGAGTCGGGAATCAATTCGTCGTCGATTCCAACCCACCGGCAGGTGAATCGACCTCCAAGTTTCGCAGGATGGGAGGAAGGGAGGGAGGAAGGAAGTACGACGAGGACGGGGAAAGCTCAACGTAGGTTGCAGGGTCGTGATGATCCCAACCCTAAAGACACGAAATCTGGGCGCAACTTATTCTTGACACATGCCGACAGAGTCGAGCGGGCCTAGCCTGGCTTGCCTGCAGTCTGCTGTACCCTCGTCGCAGCAAAAGACAACCAGCTGCCACTCGACACTTTGCAGCTACGCTGGCTATGGCAGCAGCAGCTCCAGCGACGCCAATTCCCCAACATCTCGATGCCTCAGAGCTCAGCTCTCTGCTTTCCCGCGTCGCTCGCCCTCTGTCGACTGGCAGCAGCCGGTCGTCCGAGCGGCCCTTCCGCCGCTCCTGCCACTCCGCTTCCACTTCCGGCCTTGAAATTCCCGCGAACGAAAAGTGGAGTCGCCACTAACAACAAGTAATTGCTTGTTAATGATAATTCGAATAATTTTGTTTATTAGCTTCTATGCCTGTTACAGGACAACGCGTACGCCGATAGGCATAGAGTTTCGAGATCGCATTTTCGGGCACTCTCGGGCTCACTGCGTCTATGGGGATTGGAGGATAATAAAATGAAGGCATGCCGTAATTTCTGCGGACCAGGAGGTACATTTTCCCCGCTGAAGTTAGAAGGACGATTAAAGAAAGGAGAGCTAATATTCACCTATTGGCGGGAGGGAGGACTTTGCTTGGCACGGGCAATTATTATTGGCGCCTAGGACTAGCAGGAAGGAATGGAAGAGGGTGGACCACTAGCGGGCAGGCGATTGGAGGCTGGTGGCGCCCGGTTATATAATGTGACTGCGAGCAGCCGGTGGTATGAGAGAGGCGTTTTTGTCCGAGAGGCCGAGAGAGCTCCGTCCGTGTGTCGTGCCTGCGAGGCCGAGACTCGAGCGCGCTGGCTCCAGGCTCACAACCTACTTGTGTCCGATTCGAGCTCCACATCTTCCAAGGCGCTCGCGCAGGAGCAGTTACGATGCAACGGATGATTGTTGCTTGTTGCGCCCCGTGATTCTTTTGCTTCTCTCTCCGCCGTGCAGGAGGCGCTTGTGGCGTCCGTGTCGCGAGCAACGCAATCGGAGTTTGGGGAGACGGTGAATCGCGCCGGGACGAGGCGGAGGGCGTGGATGAGTGGATTGGTTGGGTTGGGCCGGGGAGGGGCTGTGTGATCGTTGAAGGGATCAGTGGATTCGACCCGATTCTCACCAAGGGGCCAAAGAAAGGGTTTAGTTTAGGGCGAAGGATGGTGGTGCTGGCGTTGGCAGGGTAGGTCGACTAACGGGCACCACGACTGTGAGGAGGGGAGGGCAGGGGAGGGGACGGAGGGACGGACGAGGACGAAGACGAGGGACAGGTGAATGAAGAGGATTCTGCTGCAGGCGAGGATTGCGAGAGGAGGAGGAGGAGGAGGAGGAGGAGAAGCGTGTGAAAGCAGAAGCGTAACATTCTGCAAGTAGCCAGCCGGTTGTAGCGTGTTCGCGACCGGTGCTGAAGAGGGGGACCGGTGTGGCCGGGAGGGGAAGAGCGGAGAGTGAAGGAGAATTTCGCAGGAAAATCGACTCGAGTTCATAGGTCGCGATCAAATGAAACCTGCAGGTCGCGCTCGAAGCATTGAACTTTTTGGGCGATCATAATTTCCATGAGCCGGTGCTATGTTCTCAAGAACTTTGCCCAAGCCGTCTGCACTTGTGTGGTTGGTTATGGCAGTATTCTTCGGTGCGCTAGTCTTGATGTCCGATCTTGTGGTATAATCCGTGGTTGATCTCTTCATCCGTGTGCCAACATGGATTCTCCGTGGGGAGAAAACACTGCATCGAGTAGCACGTTTCAACTGAATGTGTCTAGTCTAGGAGCAATCAAGCTTAAGGATGCGGTCAAGGCCAAGCTTTCGGAGTTCATGGGCAGCTACACCGATGATGTGCTGGCGGTAAGTTGTGTGCTATTCTACTGTCCGTATGTGTTTCTACATTGTGGTCCGCTGGCCTATTGAAGGCAGACTACCTTGCCTCTGCAGGCCAGTTGTTCTGCCTGAGTAGTCGAAGAAGTGATAATCAGTTGGAAGTCCTGGATTTCTAAAATATGTACGAATATAGAACTTTGCCGAAGTAACGGCTTTCGTGAAACAGTTAAGAGTACAGTAGGAAAGATCCACAGAGTGGTCCTTCAGTCATGTTGGCAGTCTCGAGGGAGGGGCTAAGGGTGATCGAACTTTGTTATGTGTGTGTGTTGTAATTCTTGTTTGGTTATGGTCTTAGTTGATTTCCACGTGTTCGTTACATGGGGATCCTCAGTGCATGCGGCATCCTGCCCTGCACATATCGCCAGATTATCTATGTCTTCGTCAAGGAAAATGTCCCATGTAAAGCAGTTTTCGACTGATTGGAAAAATTTCTCGCGTTTATTTGTACATCAATGATTTACAAAGTAACACCACAAGTCACAATGTTTCATCATTGGTGAGCAAGAGTATTGCCCGATAGGAAGAATTTTCCTCTCTTGTGTTTGTGTTGTTCAGCTCTACGGCCGTGTTTTGTGTCTCGAAAGAATCCCTGTTACTTTTAGGTTACAGGATCCGGGGAACTTTGGAGGATGGCTGCTGTTTGTGTATAATTTCTCTACTCAAGCGTGGTGACCATGTTTTAGAGCCAGTTGACATTAGAAAATTAGGTACAGAGGTCCTTCCGATATGCGCACTTCTGTCGTATTTGCGGAGGTCTCATCAACGGGTCATGTTCGTAGTTCTGAGTCAAAGGCATCTGATCCTGGATAAATTCGTACTGCATTTTCTTCGGAGAGGTTTTCTTTAGTCTCTAACGTGCCAGGAGCCACCGGGTGACCCCGAGCTGTGTCAGTGGAGCATTTTGACTCTTTGTACATCGGAGTCGATGATTATTATAAGTGGGGCTCATGGGTAGAACTTAATATGGGTTTAGAAATTGTTAGTGTTTCCTTTTGTATTTATGTAGAAGAATGGCAGTCTTCGCAGTTGAAGTGGGTCGCAAGTGGATGGGTTATCCCAATAAATTGGGGCCTGATACATATGAACCATGGCCCTTGGAACACACTTATGGAAGTTCCCGTCACTGGTGATCAAGCAGCCCCTGTATCAGTGAAATTTCTTTGAGAATTGTCAAGAATTTTTTTTTGGTATTGGAGATCACTTGTTATATTCTGTTATTCAACGGGGACCTCAAGAATAGTGTATGCATTTCTAAGTTTGTTACAAGCAATTTTGCTGGAAGAAGTGAGAAACATTGGAAAGCTGGAGTAATTCACAAGCTGTAGTAGATTTTTTTGACATATCTTAAGCGAACCCGATTGTGATATTTAGGCTTTAGGGTTAAACCCTAAACCCTACACCCTACATGTCTATTTGAGGCAACTTCCAACAGATATGGTTAAAGAAAACACTCTGCACTGTACACTTTCCTTTTTGTGACAAACGAAACTAATTTTTGGCCAGGGTATGAACTTCAAACTTGTCCTCAATAATGATGTGGGTAACTATTGAAGATCAAGTGGATTGTACATAGGTTAGCGGATGTTGTTTTTTATATTTCTGTTATCTAAATAAAAGAAAAAACAAAACAATTACTCGACGGTATAATGCTGTTGCGTCATAGCTCTATGGACACTGTCTCTGAAGCCAACCTTATCTGCAGTACTTTTGGAGATCCGAAAAGTGCGTCTCGAAGTATCATCATGTCTTTAGTTTAACATTTTTGGCATTGTCAATTTTTTGTAACTTGCTTTGTAGGGTTTAGTGTGGGATTTTTTACTTCGCCTGAACGTTCGGAGATTAACAGCCGAATTTTGTTTTTTTTAACTTTTTGCAGGAGTACGTGGTTGTCTTAGTTGGACATGGCAAGCGTCAGTCACAAGCCATTGCAGACCTGGAAGCATTTCTTGGCGATCAGAGCGAGGCGTTTGTGTCCTGGTAACTTGACTGCTCACCACAGAAGGCTGCATTATCCTCCTAGCTTCCTCTCAATCTGGGGACGTTATTTGTAAATCAGTTTGAGCTGTTTATCTTTTCCTTCTGTTGTGGAAAGTTTATCATTGAAGGAACAGGAAGTAATCTCATTTTTCTCATGTCTTCACTTTTTACGTACTTGAAGTTCTCAATGTACGTATCTCCATCTTTCCATGAGGGCATCCTTCCTCTTTCCATCTATAGGATATAAGCAGTTTGGTGACAAGTATCCATAAAACCTAATGAGTGCAGTGTCTCACTCACAAAAATTGCTTTCCTCGTCTTCTTTGACTGTCATGTTGCTTCTGAAATTTCCATCTTGAATGTAACACAGGGGGTTAGTCCTCTATGTACTCTTAAGTATCTGTACTGGATGTTGCTATCTTCAAGAAAACTGCAAGTTAGGATTTGTTCCTTTAGAAGTCTTATCACACTTCCCGTTTAGCTTCTCGTTTCATCGCTTTTGCTTGTAAGCCCAGGTGAACGTGTGTCATATCATCTTTCATGGTCGTGGAATCTGTGATACTGAATGTGCTTTTTTTTCCGTGTATACTGATACCCTGTAGTATTAGTAGTCTTATCTACAAGAGTGGCCTCATTTCAGCTTCAAGTATCTGCAGTGTCTCCGACCATTTCACACATGTGTTCATTTTTGTTTGGGTACTACGTCACAACTTTGTTTGTTACCGCTCGACAATCTCACTTATTCTTATGTTTGGCAGGCTGTGGGAACATTTGTTTGCAAACCAGTCTTCATACGTTGACGAACCATCATTGCCTGCCGCTAAAATCACATTAGCAGAGAACGGGACGACTTCTTTCGACAACAAGTTTGCTTCGAGAGACGAACAAGCTTCTTCACAGGTTAGACTTTGTAACCATACCATATCATCACAACCATTCCCAACCTTGACTTGACGTTAAAAACTTTACACAACCTCCTGATTTGATTCTCTAACCTATATGCGAATCTAGTTCAAGTCATATTTCTAAGCCGGTTTGTTCGGAGTTCAATTGCAGCGGGGAGAATCGGGCAAAATGTTGGCGTCCGTCATTGAGACAATCAGTACGTCTGCCAATGAGATGCCCGTCAGGGATGGCAAGGATTCAGAGCAAGCAGCTCTATTGAAAGGTGGGAATGAGCCTCAAGTGCTGAACGGTTCATCTCGAAGGGCCAAGAAAGATACTCAGGGTTACCATAATGAAGATGATGCACTTGATGCACTTGATGATGACGAAGAGCAGATTCGGGACCACACACGAGCCTCGGATGTCAAACGAACGCGTTCTCCAGAGCCGTGGTCTCGGAGAGGGAGAGGGCGAGTTGAAGAGAGACAACTACACAAGGTTTGTCAAGATGGAGATCTTGAACAATTTTGCTTTCATGGTTCATATAAGCTTCCCGATCCCAGGGCTAGACGATTCTTGTACAAACTTGTTTGTTGATTGGTCTTATGATGTCACTTCCTTAGCATTAGCACCTTACCACTTTCATGATTTCGTCTCTCTTCATCTGTCCCATACACACTTAATTCCTGTTCTTCCTGTTCTAGTCACTTCTATATCCTCATATCACTGAGACACAGTCAGTTGTAATGTGAGGAAGTGGGCATTTTTCGACAATCTACAGTTTTGTTCAGTCTTGGTGAGCAAACAGAATATTGATGCTAGGCTTTTCTCATGACCTCTCCTTTCTTACTTCTTGATAGAAATCATCCCACATATTTAGTTCAGGTTAACGAAAAACATTCTCACAACTACATCATGTCGTGTTTGCCACCCGGGATTGACGGCGGAGCATATCTGTTCAGTTGTTTAAATCAGACTGATTCTTCTTCTGTGCTCTTCTCATGCGCAGAGAGACAGCTCACCTCCAAATGTCAAAGCACCGCGGCGATTGTTGGAATCCGCAGTGAGAGATGCAGTTGCCCCAGGGGGGGTGATAAACACTGGCAGTTCTTCCAGGAGAACTGAGTCAGGATACAAACGTTTGCGCTCTGTTGTCTCGGCAGATGTCGGTGAGTATCTCCAAGTATGGAGTTGTCGGTTGGAGGAATGAACGTTAGCTTTCTTGAAGATTCGCAGAATAATGTTGAAATTGCCATATCCTGCGTCTGCTCACCTACAGTTGTTGGTACAATGCCTCAGATACTGCAGAATTACTAGCTGAATCTAATGGGCGGCATCAGCAGATGAAGCCTCGTCTGGAGCTCGCTAAGAAAGGCTCCAAGGTCTCTCCAGCTGTAGCTGTAGCTATGAAAGCAGCTGCGGCGGCCGCTGAAGATGTCAATAACAATGTTGGAAAGACCAGCAGAGGAAGGCTTACTGCAAGTGTCTGGGAAAGATTGGGAAATAGGAGTAGTGAAAAATCTGGTGTGAGAGACGAAGATACTCAGGAGCCAGTGATGCTTGATGTAGATAATACAGAAGCTGTGGAGGATAGATGGATAGATGCAAAACATGGCGGCAGCGAGGAAACCCGCCTCGGCAAGAGGCCGAAGTGGAGGAAAATGTCAGAGAGATTGGGAAGAGGTCCAATAGATGCCGAGGATGGAAACAATTTTCCTTCTGATTTGGCTCCTGCTGCGACTGGCGGGTATTACAAAAATAAAAAGATCATTGAGAATCATTGGCCTGCTTCGACAGCTTCAAGCCTTGGTTTCTTTGAAGATAGAAGTGGAAGAGAGGACGATCTTGAAGATGCTGTAAACCACGAAGATGGAAGGCCTTTTAGATATGGATCCTCTAGAGGCGTCTCAGGACATGGCCTCCGTAGCTGTGAAGATGCTGGAAATGTTCATCTCAGACAGGGATACAATCATGAGGACAAGGCATTACACGTGTTACAGCAGAAGGGCATGTCTGGTTCCTCAAAAATTGTTAACCTGTCAGAAAAACTGTCAAATAACCTTTCAGATGTCAATATAGATAAGGAACAATCTGATGATGTAGATACCGCTCCTGACTTGCGTCAGGAGCTTCTCTCGAAACTCTCAAAGAGTTTGTCTGCGATAGAGAGAACAGCGCCTCCAAGCTCTGGTGTGGTAGACACCAATGTAAGATTCTTTATCTATTTTGATTCTACAACACCCCTTGCAAGTATGGAATATTATTTTGACTTCATGTCATCCGTTTCTGTTCAGATTGGAGGAGCAAGATTCTATGTTACAGGATGATTAATATTTGGCGTTTACTATTCCAGGATGTGACAGAAATGAAGAAGAGGATGCGGCAAGTGCAACTCGAGATGACGAAATTGCGTGCAAAGCAGGCGGAAGTATCCAAAGAGGTCCAAAAGGTGGTCAGTGCTCCAGGCTCAGGTATTATTTGACTTACTTTACATGATACTAAATCGTATTTTTTGCTTAGAATAGCTCTGCTTCCATTATTGACCTTGCAGAAGTTGTCTTGATAGTTTATGAACATGTTGTCCTAATTAATTGTTGATGCTACAGGTCTCAAAGTGGTGAGGTCACAAGAGGAGATCAACGCCCATTCTGTTTGTGTTTCCAACGTGAGTCGGGCTTGTTCGCTGACCTATGTTTGAAGTGTGTTTGAGATTGGATTGGATTGGTTTCGAATGGATATATGGATACAAAGAAGTTAGTACAGATAAAAGGAAGCAAATGACTACATGTTCATAAATGCGATTGGCTGGATGGAGCTGTTAGTCCAAAGAGTGGGGTAGAAGCAGTTTTTAGTAAACTATCACGCAAGGCTTTTGTGAGATTTTCTTCGGTAGACTGGCGCAAGCTTCCATAGGCACCAATTAATGTGTCCAATCTATACAAGATACGTGCAGGATAGTTGAAGTAAAGATCTGGGTTATCCTGCAGTAGTTTTAGTTCTATGTATATCAGATAGTTTGGATTTCTACCTGACTAATATATCGTTCTGGTGTATGCTATCAGATACATTTTGCTGCAACCAAGGAAGCCATCGCGGCCCACTTTAGTCCTTGTGGAGACATTGTGCGTGTAACAGTGCTAATGGATACTGCCACGGGAAAGCCAAAAGGGTGAGTCCTTTTTTCTTTCAATGCAAGTTTAGGATATGAGCCTGAACGCTTAGTAAAATAACTCCACACCTCTTGATATTCTCTGTTAATAACCCCTGTTATTTATGATGAGTTGACAGCTGGTTTTGGAGATTGTGAGGAAACACTGACTAATGAACAAGCCAATAGGGGAGAGATTTACAATGCGCAGAGCTATGTTCGCCATTTGTTTATGTTCATGGGGAGTGGGTTAATGATAAGTTTTTTTATGATGCAAATATTCTGATTTCTTCAAATCATTGATGAAGCAGGTCGGCATACGTGGAATTTGCCCAAAAAGAAGGCGTGGAGAAAGCCATGAATATGAATGATTCGTCTCTGCTTTCTAGAACTTTGAAGGTCAGTAAAATTGATGTTAACGAGCTGCACGAAATGAACAAAATGTATGTGTCATGTACAACCAGCGTGATGTTGAAGGAGAACTAAATATTGACTATTTTTCTTCCATTCTAATGTATTTTTTGAAGGTCAAAATTTTAGAACGGTCCATTTCAATGTCATGACAGATCGTCTCAAGTATCGGGCAACTGTGCATTTCTCCCTATTGAGCGAGTGTTCAGTCTCCTGGGGAAGGACATTACTGAGGAAGGACATTACTTTTCTGCGTAGAACCCCGCTACCTGTGCTCAAATCTAGGTTATGCGAAAGGGTCTAGAAAGTGTGTAGATAGACCCTTGAATGTGCTCTTACAAAAAAGTTTTGCCCTCTACTGTAGTGTAAAATTATGCTGAATGTAACCGATCAAGTTGTTAAAATATGTATTTCTTAGTCAAAATAATTGACAAGTAGTTGTGTCTTGGACTTCATTCCTCAATCATATGACAAGATTCTTTGTTGTGTGCAGGTCATGCGAAAGGATGCTGCCGACGCACTCTCTCCCGCAACGGCTGTTCGCCCTGCCCATGGTCCTCCTTTTGTATCTGTGAGGGCTCCTCCTATTGGAAATTTCTTGAGAGGACCCCCTCCTATAATGAGGAGACCTCCCAGCCTGTCAAGACCTTTTTCTGGAAGTGCACATTTGCAGTGGAAACGAGAAACGTCTGCGCCTAGTCCGGGAACAAATGGGGCTCCAAACTTTGGGCAGAGTACTGGGTCATCTGTCTCCACCCCTGGTCGGGTGGCACCTATTAGGAGCCCCAATTCTTCAGCGATGGGGGACAGATATGGTCACGGTCCAATTCGTATGACCAGATCCTTGTCCTATGTACGCCCAGCTCCATATACACCTCGAGACACCCCTCCCGCAGTACAAGAACAGAAGGTCGCAAATTAGATAATGTAATTTTTAAAAGGGTTACTTTCTTGCTTTTGACTGACTCTTCAGAGCACTGTATCTACTGATGATATTTCTGGGCTTCAGCTACATACAATTTTGCCAGATCAGCTCTCAACTTATGTTCACATAGTTTGGCACGGATGTGGTGAGCGAATCGGTCAGTGAAGCATCATTTGGTCAGCTTCTCACTCGCAGATCGTACGATTCAGTCGTTTGCTGAAGTTTGGCTCATCACAACATCCATTCGTTCTTGGCCTTCAACGTTGTTCTCACTCTGTTGGTGTATATGCAAAGCTCAGCCCGATGTGAATGACACTAGCGGGTGGACCATTCAATAAACATGAGGTTGCAGAGCATTCTTCAAGCACTGGTGAAAATTGTGTTGTCCATACAAATGTCGGCTTTTGTTTTTTTATGTAAAGCTGTGAAGGTTTTTCATTGACCTCTACTAGAACTGGCTGCATAGAATAATCATATGAACCATGTAACATGCCTAGGTTGTAGGGCCACTGTGGCTTCGTCTGATCTTCTGTGTAGAGCTTGTGGAGGTGTCATCAGGTCGCACTAGTTGCGTTTTGAATTAGAGATGGTTGTTTTTTTCCCCTTTGCGACCATTTCTCACTTGTTTAGGAAGAGATTGACGACACTGACATGTGATCATGCCCAAGAACAGAAATGACAACCTCCGTTGATTTGGTGTCGAATCTTGACAGAACTAGCCGCTATGTGCAGATGAATAAAAAATGTTTACAAAGTAAAAGCATGATGTATTGTCTCGAAACTGCGAATGCAGTTTGTCTTCGTTCTTTTTGAAGTTAGATGATGAGAAAGGGAGAAGAGGAAGCGGTGAACACTAGTTTACTAGTATAGATTGCAGCTTCACATCGACGGGATGTTGCAAAAGGTGTCATATTCTGCTTATTCTCATGTCTATCTTCTCCCAGCCGTGCTGTCCATTATCATTAATATCTGATACTTAGGGCACTTGGGTAAAGTTCACACAGAATTTGTTCCCTAGAATTTGTAAGCAAGTCTTTTGTAAGCCAATGAGTGCAGATTACATAAGTTAGTAGTTCTAGGCTTTTTGTCCAAGTTGAATTGGATATTGCCTTTCTGAGGATTTCATCAGCAGATTTTATCCTGTGCTTTGCAACAGTCCTAAATAGGAGGAGATCGTATCTGACTTCAAAAGCTCCGATAGAAAACTTCTTTAGTAAATCGCGCACATTAGTTCGGTTTAAATGACTCGATGTGTAAAAGCTCGTTAAAGCAAAATACAGTAAACATATAATGATGTCGCGTAACGAGCTCCATCCGTTCTCAATCCAGGTGGTAATTTCAGGTCACATTAATATTATCGGTTTTAATTTCATTCAGTCAGCATATCAGAAACGGCTCAATTGAGTATTTTGAACACTTTCATTCTCCGGATCACAATTTGACATTGAAACTCATTCAACTCTCATGCCAATCTCTTCCCAACGACGAAAGAATGTAATCTGGACTCATTCAACTCTCATGCCAATCTATTCCCAACGACGAAAGAATGTAATCTGGAGAGTGAAAGAATGTAATCTGGACTCATTCAACTCTCATGCCAATCTCTTCCCAACGACGAAAGAATTTAAGCTGGAGAGTGAAAGAATGTAATCTGGAGAAGACGATTGATATTGTTCACCAGATTGCATTTTTTCGCGACGGGAATACTTGTCATTCCCAGAAATACAATTATAGGGTTGCCCTGAAGGCGCGTACTGTAACGTAACCTAAATTACAACCAAGACTTATTCGAAATAACAAAACTTCACTTTGGCATTAGCGTAACCTGAATTACAACCAAGACTTACTCGAAATGACAAAACTTCACTTTGGCATTAAGTGGAAAAATCTCAAAGGAATACAATCAGAAACAACCAAACTTCACTTTGGTATTCAGGGGAAAAATCTCGAAAGAGTACAATCAGAAACAACCACTCGAAAGGGAACTGTTCAAGTATCTAACTAGTAACTAGCTTTGAATATCGGCAATCATCCGCAAGTGTAGATCCGAACTACTAAGTCTCTAACCAATACACTAGCTCTGAACATTCGGCCGAAGACCTTCAGCTACAAAATACAGATCGCCAAGCTGTAGCTACTCTTGCGCGGTTACAGAACTAAAGACACAAACACGTAAAGAAAATGCGTTACTGATCTGCACTTCCGAAACTGGAAGATTTCCAAGGCAAGACGCCTTGAAGCATAGTGATTTCACTCTCAGAGCTTAGCGACGATTGATTTCACTTTGCTCTCCAGATTACATTCTCTTTGAAGTTTAGTGATTTCACTCTCCAGAGATTAGCAACGATTGTTTTCACTCTTCAGATTAAATTCTTTGACGTTCAGCAATAACTGACTTCACTTTCCAGATTACATTCTCTGACGTTCAAACTAATCGATACTTTCAGGCTGAACTTCTCCCTCTCCTCATCCATCCCTCACTCATGGATTCTTTCTCTCCCCAACTGAGAAAATTCTCTACTTCCCTCGAAAATTCTCTAACTCCCTGCAAAATCACTTTCTTCTCACCTCGGAAATTTTCACCTCTTCAACCTGCGGGAATTACTCCCTTTCCCTAAGGGAATTCTCACTCCTCCATTTGGGATCACTCTCTCTTCCCACCTCGGGAATTCCCACATTCCCTGCGGAATCACTCTCTACCACCTGCCGTAATTTTTTCCTTTTCACCCCTTGCGAATTCAGACCACTCTTTACGGAATCACGCTCTCTTCCCACTTGCAAGAATTTTCTCTTTTCACCCTTTGGATTATAATCCGATTTAAAAACTGAAATTCATACAAGTACTTACTTACAGAATCACGTTCGCTTCATACCTTGAGAATTTTCTCTTTTCATCCCTTGAGAATTCTCACCCTTACGGGAGTCACTATCTCTTTTACTTCATCTCGAAAGACACCACTCTCTATAATCACTCTCATGCCGAACTCCTCCACTTTTTCCATCCACTCACCAAATCCCGCTCGGAATATTGAGACTCATCACTGATGAGTCTCAAATCAGTGATGGGGTGCATGGTCTTCGGTGATGAGTCATCACAGACGACCATGCACCCCATCTAACCCCTAGCAGAAAAAACCTCAGCAGGCTGAAATTCTAATCTCCACCATCGATCGCCAAAACTTGGCCGCCGCCAGGTGCTGTCAACAGCGGCCTGCCGCGCAACGACGTTGGCTCGGCTGTTCCGCCGCCTTCATGCAAGTACTCGGTGCACGTCGCACTCCCCTACACCTCGAGATTTCCCATCCCCTGCCACACCTATCCCCTTGTTAGCATTTTTTCATCCCCAACGGCCTGCGGCCGTAGGCCCGCTTCTGCTCGCCGTCCAATCGCTAATTTCTCTCCCTAACCCTGAACATCAACTGGAAAAGTCACCACCCTTTACTAAATACCAACTCTTTTGCGCATCATCTCTCGGATTTTTCCACTCCCAAGCTCTCTGCTTGCTCGCATCGCTGCGCATCCGCAGCTGCAACCGATCTTGATACTGATATGATACCTTGCCTGCAGACGTTCTACCCATGAATCCAAGAATCTGGTTCGACTTTTGAATTCTAGCATTTCGAATTTGGCACACGCCCGGCGATTCAATGGCTCAATTTCCCGTTATTTCTCGGTTCATGTCTTTTTTCCATGATGATTTCACTCTCTCATGACAGAGATAATCTTACCCCCAAATTAGTGCTTCTTATCCACAATTAGATGCCGTTAACTTCTACCTCCAATTTGTGATCATAGAGTTTCTTAGTAAGGATAGAATTTGATGAACTCAGATATTCAATTTTGGAATTAAGAATTCCAATCTCGCATGGTAAGAGTTTCAAACTATCTCTGTAAAAACTGCGTCTAACTTTCCTGTCCCATTCTTGACTTCAACTCATGTGAGAAACTTTTCTGTCCTTGTTGCAGCTACTCCGATAGATCAAAGTATTCTTGCATTGTCTTGATTATTTTTCAGTCTATACTTTTCCCACTCCCATCTCCAGCTAGGAGAATGATTATCTCTTTGATGATTTTCTCGTTTGTGCTTCAATGTGTGGTGTTCACAACTATCACGCTTGGATTTGTGCAATGAATCCTGGTGTGAATGAATCTGAATTTCAGATGATGATACCTTTCAAATTCAAATTTCAAAGGTCAAATTTGGTATAAATTTCAAAATCGACCTGAAATTTGAATTCAAGGTCTAATTTGGATCCAAAATTCTTGAGTTATCACTTCAGTGCAAGCTAAATGTTCCATTCTCTCGGCATTCCTCTCCCTCGATTCGATTTTGCAAACTGCTAATGATGTTGAATTCTCCGTCCAACTCCAAATTATCGTATGCAATTGAGAGACTATTGTCTTAAACATCTCCTTCTACGCCACATACCTGTCATTTTCTTTGACCCTTCCAAGAATGCGCTACTTTTCATTTCGTCCATAGCATCAGATGTTGCATGCAGCTCGGCTTTCACTTGCTTGTAAATCAAAGATGTTCATGAATACGAGAAGGTCATGATCCAATAACCGGCACTATGATCATACAATCAAAAGTTTGAGCTAGCCGCATGCTCTTCCTTTCGCTTGCGGTACGCTCCGAGAAGAAGCACGGTGACACTCATACTTTATTTGTCCATGGCAACACTCCATCCATCCACCGAATGTCAACGCTGTCTTGCGCCTTTGCTCTTTCACGTTTATGAGTTCAAACGGATGCCGCTGTTCTTTTATCCCCGCTTAGCAACTGTTGCTTCAATTCATTTGCCGAAATTGCCAAAAAAATTCAAAACATAAGTTCTAAAAAATTTCAATCAAAATTTTTAACTCGTTTACTGTTAAATGTACATGTGAGCACCAAATTGTGCTCACAAAAGACTTCACACAAGTGATCATCTAACTCGTCAGAAGTAAAAACAATTCAAAGTAAATATTACTTGCATTGTTATTTACAAGATCAAAAATTGTACATATTTTTCCATTTGGTTGTTGTAATTGTTACATTATCTGCTCGTTATTGCCAGCAAGTACTTCAGACGAATAGTATTAAAGATAAAATCTATGATAGTACATGTTAATCGATAATTGGTTACATTTTAGTCCTTACTAACATGTATGAAATCTTTCGAAATAAAAAATCTTTGATGATAAAATTAAGGATATCCTACACGTTATTAATAGACCTATCTTGGTTTTGAAATTTGTGAAATTTTGTATTTTCAGTGAAATGTTTCTCAGCCTGTTTGTTCAATTCCTAGTTTCTTCAATATTACGGGCAATAATCATACTGTGTAAGCCAGTGTAATATTTTGATATAAATATACTTTAATGATATAATAAAAACTTTAGTATTTCCTACATGTTACCAATAGACCTAGTATTTGTGTTTATATCTTCGTGTTGAAAATCCTGCAATTATGTATTATAAGTGAAATGTTTCTCAGCCTATATGTTCAATTCCTAGTTTCTTCAAAATTACAGCCAGTGACCTTTTTTGTCTATGATGACGAAGAGTTTAACATGATGACTGACATGAGTGGATAAGATTGTGGAAAAAAGTTCTACAGCGCTTAAGCTCTGAAACTGAGATGTTTCTAAAAAAAATGGCAGTGATTAGCTTGCAAGATGGTCATTATATGGTTAAGACACCCAATCAACTCTTCCAAAAAAGTCAATTACCGAAGCCCAAGTACAATAACCATCCAAGTACATAGGACATCAAAGTATAATAAGCGTTCATCTCTAGATCAAATTACACATGAATAAAACTGAATAACCTCAAATTGGCAAATATATCAAAATAACATCCTACTAAGCATAACCTAACACAATTACCCTCTGATTTGCTAAGCTACTGCTCTCTCTGTCAGCATACACTCATTGATTAAAATATACTGTCCAATAATTGGTAATAAGAAATCAAAGAGAATGCTTCTGAAGATGTCCGAAGTTGCTCTTCTGAAGGTATCCTCTAATGTTGCAGCTGTGTTGTACTCTTTTATCAACATGAGTGAATGTTGGTAGTTTCATCAATCAAAAAGAACATGAGAACAGGATTCTACTGCAAATGCACTGTCCGATGATTGCTTGTGTTTGTTTCAAGATTAATGAAACTAAAGTAGCGTAGCTGTATCAATTCCAAGTGTTTACTCTGCCAGTATCTATATTAAACATGATCGAGAGGCATGGAAAGAGTGTTGGCGAACATATAGACTGAGTAGAAATAATAATGTATGTGATAGCTTTGTTGGTGAACTATCATCTCTTATCCGAGAATTTTAAGTTAAAGGTTTATGCAAGTAGACAAGACTATCTTGTGTCCACAAGTTTGTTTTCGCGTTTGAATAGCTATTGTATGTTATCAGGCATACACCAAAACAAATCTGAGTGTTAAAATCAAGTCAGTATGGATATCTCAATTTTTGCTCTCTATGACAACGAAAAGATGTGATTTGGCTCCTCTGTTGCAGCGGAGGGTCGAAGGAGTCCTCCACACTTCACGTTAGACCTTCAAATTCAGCTGTGGATGAAAAGCCTGAAGACGTTTCTAAAGTTCTGAGAAGTTGACTTCAGAGACTTCCCATTCATTAAAAGCAAGTCGTGTTTGTCATCGGAAGATCGTACAAATGAGAGGATCTATGATTCTAGCAAAGCAACGCAATGGGTGAAGACATTAGAAAGTATAAATATATATATATATATATATATATATAAAAGGCATGTCCAGTAACATTGGCCGAAAATCTGAATCGTTCCGCAATGTATAAATTGCAGGAAGTTGAGAGGATCGGACGTTAACCCTGGTCTGATCGTAGTAGGAGACGGGAGTGCAACTGTTGAATGGTACTCTACGTCCTCTATACGAATGTGGCCTTCATCTTCTGAGCGGCGCCAAGAAAGTTTAAACTATCCATCATCTTCTCTGGGTGCTAATTGATCTCACAGCTTGCCTCAATTGCTCTGGACTTCAGCCGGCACCATGTAATTTCTGAAGAGATGACGAGAAGAGCGACGCCATGAGATCGGCTTCTCGATGACGGAGTCGTGGAGCTCCATAGAGTCGGCGTAGTGAGGGCTCCGCTTCCATTTGACCAGAAGCTGTCGGAGCTTGGAGACGGGAAATCTGTAAAACCTTGTCGAGGATGTTGGTGTTGCGTCACTGACGCTGTCATCCGAATCAAACTCCCCAGAGCAATCCCTGCTATCTCCAGGAGATCCAGGAAGCTCCACCACCTTGAGTCCATCCGGAGTGAGCACTTGACCCTTCATGCTGAATCGCCTGTATTCGAGAAATGAAGATATAGATCCAGGGCTGAACGAGATTATGGCGAGGCTTCGAAGACAAGTGGATTTCGTGGAAGAGCAGGCCCCGCATAAACCCTTCTGTAGTTCACAGAAGAAGGTGGACGAGACGAGCACGGACTTTAATGTGGTAGAGAACCAGTTTTCGTCTCTCGTAAAAGAAGGGGAGTGGAATTTTCCGTTCTATGGTGAGAAGAATGGGGCACAGTCTCTCCTAATTCTCCGTCGATACCCAGGGACTCGACATATTATAATACGATCGGGACTTGACTACGGCCACTACAAGTTCGCTGATAGAGACTAGCGGGTATTAACGAGGCGTGCATCACAATCTATGGCAGACGTGTGTCAAACGGAGTGTACTTCGTGACTCGTGAACTGACTCGATCCGTCGCTTGTTCGTTCGGTTTCAGTCGCCATCAGCTGCTCGCTCTAGTCTTCGTCTTCTTCCTCTGCTCTTTGACTCATCGTCATTCTCTCTTCTTTCCCCGAGGAGCTGAAACGGCTGGACTTTATAAAGAATGGAGCGGGAAGGATGGGAATATCATCCTGTCGAGCATTACGAGAATTATATTATATATGGAGGAAACCAAATGAATATCTGCGGACTAGCATCAATACCATCACATATATATCAATCTACACAAAAAAATAAACGGGAATGATCTAGGTGAAAATATGTATTAACGCGATCTATTAAGTGATTGATTAATTACTTATTACTTGAATTGCTCCATACTATGGTACTCTCTTGAGCATTCTCTCTCCATTAGTTCTCCCAGGCTTAAGTGACTAAAGTGAACTCTCTGCAAACAGTGAATTTGGATATCCGGGTAATTGCTGATTTGTTATGATTTGTAAACTTATGTATCTTTGTATAATTTATAACCATAATAATTTACTACTTCGAGAAAAAATACACTGTTATCCAAATGTCTTAAAAAATGTCGCTAAAAATTGCTGAAAAGTCTTTGGTACAGACATATCCCTTCGCTAGCAGTGACAAGTGAAACGCATGATAACGCATCAACTTTTGTGGGTTCCGAGACTGAGAGGGATCTAATCGCAAGGACGAGAAGAGAGAGAGAGAGAGAGAGAGAGCGGTGGGAAGGTTTCAGGAGATAAAAGGGCCAGCGGTCCGTCCTGAAACCTTCCCACCCACTTTGAAACTTTTGTTTAGCGGAGGAAATCATTTCAAGGGCAAGTCATTGCTGCAGTTCTCCAGCAAAGCTCAAGACAAGCCGAGGGAATGCAGTCGAGGCGGCGGGTGCTTCATATAATTTTCGGTCCGAGGATGCGAATGTGCAGATACTTTGGGATAAATTTGACACATTTCGAGAGAAGTACAGAAAGAAGAAGAAAATTGAATCAGTGGCATTGAGAGATTTCGGCAGGAACTATGGTTGAAACTGTATGCGGAAATCCTTGGACGGAAAATTATATGAAGCACCCGCCGCCTCGACTGCATTACATCCTGCGGCTTGTCTTGAGCTTTGCTGGAGAACTGCAACAATGACTTGCCCTTGGAATGATTTCCTCTGCTAAGCAAAAGTTTCAATGTGGGTGGGAAGGTTTCAGGACGGACCACCGGCCCTTTTATCTCCTTCACCTGCATTCATTGGGTCCGTTACAGTCTGAGCGTGAATCTCTTCGCACTCAGTTGCCTCGACCGCTTCTCGCACGTATGTTTGATTCCAGGGCTCGAAGTGCTTGCGTTGCCATAGAGTCCTCTATGTAATTGTCGATTACCAAGCTATTCGAAGTCATAATTGTTTATGAGGGTAAGTTTTCATGCACTAAATTTTGAATATTTGTATGTCTAGAGGCTTCCGTGCTCAGATAGGAATGAAAAATGTATCTCAGGGATGCTGAGTGCAGTCAAGTCTATGATGAAAATAATAATAATCTAGAGAGGGTAAAATTTTGGATCACACTTCTATCCGCTCTTCGATTACAGACGAACGTGGCACACATTTAAATTTTTGAGGGGTTAAAGAAACTTACACAATCTGCAATCAGAAGCTGATTACACGTACGAGAGTTTAACAGGCGTCTGGATACACACGCAACGAGTGTAAGCTTGGAGCAACTTCTAGTGGTAAGACCTCAAGAGAGACCTTCAGAATTCTACGGTTCAAAATCAACGAATCGCACTAGCTTCGAAGAATGCTTCACTGAATTCTCCTCACACCTGCACCTGAAACTCTGCAAACTCACCAGCGCCACCTGCAGCGGTCGGTGTTCGATCGCCATCACCTGTCCAGTCCCCACTGTCGAGCAGGTGCAAGTCACATGGTTCACAAGCCCACGTCCCTTGTCCACTCATCCTCGTCGTTGCGCTTTCTGTTGCCCTTGCTCCTTTTCTCGTTGCGAGAACGGATCGACCATCGACTTTGAGCCCAGACATTGTTGGATAGAGACAATGTTAGCGGTTATTACACGTGAAATAAATTTCTCCTCTGAAATGTCGAAGTAAATTAATAGATTTTGAGATGCACAATCATCAATTTTCTACATATTGAAAATTCAAATATCACAACATTCATATGAAATGTATTCGGTCTTCCAATCTATGTGTCATGATGCCGTTATGTTATATTTCACTACTTCTGACTTTGTGATCTGTACAAATTCTTCCATGAGTACAAAAGATTAAAGCTACAGTTCAGTTCCATCGTAATCAAAAGTCCAACCCTATGAGCAATACATATGTTTTTTAAACGTGAGTGTGGGATGAGCATTCTTGTCACCAAGTCTACTTTCTTTTCGAACATGATATCAAAACCCCTCGTAATAATACTTAATATGAATCGTATGGAACCCTCAGGTTAGTCACAAGGACTACAATACTGGCACCGCGAGCCAACTTGCAGTTTCTCAAAAGAGAATATGAGGATTAAAGTTAAAAAGAAATGAGAAAAACGAAGAACCATCGTTGCAAGTGTTCAGTCCACTCTACCGAGTACAAAATTGTGCCACGAAGAATTTGATTGAAAGATTGGCCCTCCAGCACGGAATTTCGAGGGAACATCTTGACAAAAAAATCAGAACGTCCATGTTCTGGTGACCCCGACCGAGGTCCACCAGACCTCTTCGTCCTGGAGTGTCCTCCGTCCCTCCTTCCTTGACGAGCGAGCTTGTCCTGAGGCTGTTCTGCTTTGCTGTGGGCCGGGTAAGAGTCCTTCGCGCTCATCATGGATTTCAGTGTGGAGACTTACGGTAGGCATGAATGAGTTCTTTTCTTCGGGTGGGCTCAATGCCTTTGGACAGATCGATTGAAGCGGTGGTGCCTTCGCTGTGACGGGAGGAGGAGGAGGGGATCTGGCTGGTGCTGGTACTGATGGTGATCGACAGAAGACAGGTGCAGTCGTCATATGGAGAGAGCTTGCCGACACGACGTGACGCAGTGGAAGAGCAGTTGCGTCGTCGAGAATGGCGACAGGAGCTGGAGCAAGAGAAGGAGGAGGTAGTTGTATTCTCTAATATCCATTATTGGTGGAGTATTGGTGGAGCTGGCCTAGCAACGACCTGCACGAGGTCCAGGAGATGTTCCTGGCTTGCACGGATTGCGACCTTGGTTCCACTATCTCTCGCAGTCCACATCATCACCAACTTCTTACCCATCTTTCTCACCATTGGACTCAGAATCAGTAACGCTTTCCGCATTCCTACTACATTCTGACGATGGCTGGACTCACCAATTCAGCGATTAACTGCAAATTCCACTGAAATAGAGCCTACTGCGATTAACCTCCACAGAAGCACAATGCTCAATGGCGGTGATGCCAATCAGCGCTATGATACAGTGGACAATATCATAGAGCAATATTGTGGATGTGATGCTTACGTGTTGCCCCATCATGTTTAGTGGATGCTTGCAATCTGAATTCTGATGTATCTCGAATCCTGGGTAAATCAGTAATCCATCGGTCCAAGAATCTGCCTGTGTTTTAAAGCCCCGGATCAGACACTATCCTAGACTCTCGAGCTGAGATCTAACCTGCTCGTTAGAATTAAGAGATTTGAGTTTGGCCCTCACTTGGTCGTAACCTCACGATAATGGAGAACATGTATTACCTTTCCATTTCGCAACTAAGGGCCGAAGCATAGAATGTACATTCAAGTGGTATCCCAGGCAGCCTGATCTTCATCCCTGCTACCGCTGCGTCTGAGAGAAGCGCTAATCATTCATTGTCTCTGCTAAACAGCCGAGGTTCTCAAGGTGGCCTGGAAGCAGAGTTCCCTCGTGAGTGAGTTTCCGAAATCTAGTATGAAGATGAGCACAAGTCGGGGCATGAATCAGTACCGGGCTGCTTCCAACTAGAGCAGTGCAAGGGGTGGATTGAATGGAAGAGGTTATCTATCCAAGCTGAAATATGCTCTAAAACATCCAAAGATTTTTAGACAGTTATATTGAGATATGGAGTATTCAACTTTAGTAGATGCATTTGTTTCAGAACATTTGCCGTTGAGTTCTTAACTTTTCCACCTGTAAGTCTTCCACGCAGAGACTTTTTGCCGAGCGGTTTTACTAATTGGTGGATACCAACTCGCCTCCTAGCATAGTTGATTGCCAGTGGCCAGATCTTCTGCTGGATCCTTATTTCGGACACATGTCCGGCACCTTCCAGTGTGTGGCGGTATTATGGTCTGAACGATGGAAAAATTATTGGATTGACTTATATATCTTATATACATCAAAGAAGGTAATGGCTGGATGTTAGAGTTTTTTTTGTGAGCCACTTTTTGAATTTATATCTAGCAAAAGATGTGCTTAAGGTTCTGAATATACATATAAATGGAGGATTTCTCCCTCTATTCCAACTCTCAAAAAATAATCTATACGTAATTCCAATCACCATAAATCTAAATAGCTCAACATCATAATCATCTAATGACTCCACCACTAAAATCTACACTTTGTAATACTGGAGGGTTTCTGAGTAATATAGCACTTAATTTAGCACTAAAGTGGATCTGAGATTAGGATTGGGGAAGAATAGGCGGAATATTAAGAAAAATACAATCTACTAATGACATAAGAATCAGAGTTATCATTTGCCCTTGGATGCTGGATGTCCATTATGTCTGATTTCAGGGCATGTAAAAAAATGGACCGGGAAGATTCCAGATAGAACATTGCTCCTCTGAGTTGCTGCTCCTCTGCGTTGGTCCATGAAAGTATCCGATTACCCTATAGTATAGAAGCAGGCAGTTTCGCGAAGAAAAATTTATGGAAGAAAACATCCACCATGCTCAGCATTTAAGCAATTTCTTCATTATGAAAGCAAGTTGAGGCAATGTTTCGTCCGGGTACTCCAGCTTTTATGCATTTCTGAGAGCAAACGTTGTGGAGAGACTCTGGCAGTACAATGTCATGTGGACCTCTGTCCACACACTTCCGTCAGAGTTTAACACTCTCGCGCGCGCATTTATTTGTTGCTTCCAGCCGTAAGGAGACTGGATTTGAGTGTGTGGAGAACGTCTCAATGGTTTGAGCTTGGGAACGAAATGATCGAACACAACGCGTTTTCGGACGAGTAGATAATAATCCCTTGCTCTGAAACCCACGAAGAACGGCAAAGAATCTGCTGTATTAACAGCAGAATACACATTGACGTGCACGGGCTCATCAACCCAGCGAGTGAAAATACTTTCTATTGTCATTCGATTTGCTCAAAGTCATGACAACAAGAAATTGAGCTTGAATTTATGAGGTTCCATGGGGTTTCCGGAGTTTTTCAAATTCGTGGTGACTGTCAGACTAACGAGCCGATGACCCTCACTGACAAGTTACATCAAATTATGTAACTTGTCACGATGAAGATAATTTCTGAGTTGGTGGCCGCTCCATCGACATGGTCATCTTTCAATGGATTCATCGTATAATCTACAGGGGTTATATTGGAAACGATAACTTCGAGAAACTCAAAGACTCAAACTCAAACCTTTTGTTCTCGGCAATATTGTAGCAGAGATGCTAGACAATCAATCGAATCGATGAGCAAGAATCATCGTCCCGAATGGTATTCGACTGGCCACTTACTATTTCGCTCGTCGCTAAGCTGCCACCAAATTCGAGACTTTGCACGAAGTCTCCACCAAGTTTCAGAAACTGACTAGCGCTGCCGGGCTTTGCTTTGCGCGCACTGGAAGATCATGAATTTCTCGTACGAATCCGATGCACGACACTTGGGGAAAGCTCGAGTTGTCGCTGTCAGGCCTGCACAAAAAATATGAGCAAAAAAGCACCTACGTGCTGTGACTCACTCGCAGCAGAGCTCGAGCAGAAAGGAAAAATGAAAGAACACTGCAGCCGCAAGAATTGAACACGGGTCCATCAAGGTTTTATACGTGGTCGGATAAAATATTAGGCCTTTACAACGACGGACGACAAGTCCAATTGAATCGTGACGGTTCGTGTCCGAGAGCCCAAACCACGTGACCTCGTTCTGCGGTTCCTATGTACACGACGAGCCTCCTGCGTTCGTCAGTGGTTTCAGATTCAAGCTGCCGCACGTTGACGCAGATCAGTATGCACAATCTAGACAATCCTCCCTACTGCAAATCCAAGCTCAATCCCGGAATGACCTCGAGCTCGAGCCCATGCATCCATGCATACGTAGATTTTGGTCGTAGATCCTCAAAGCTCGTCCTTGCCGCCAGCAGCAGCAGCATTTGCAGCAGGATTGCTGGACAGATTGGCGCAGGAGTCGACGGGAGCGATGCCGACGCGCTCGTTCTCGAGGTCGTAGAGGAAGTAGTGATTCTGCTGCTGGATGTTGCCGACGATGGTGAAGTCGGAGGTGCCGGCGAAGGCAAGGCACACGGTGCCGGCGTCGTCCACCTGCAGGAAGACGTTGTTGGGCGGGAGGACGAGGTCCAGGCCCTGGAACTGGAGAGTGACCGGCGGCAGCGACGGGCTGTCGACGCCCGCCAGGTCGAAGCAGAGGTCGAGCCCGATCTGCGAGCCGTCGGCCTGCGGGTACTGGACGGCGGACCGCAGGGCAGCCAGGAAGGGCGTGTAGGCCGACTGCACCAGGTACGTGAGCGTGGTGCCCGAGTCCAGAATCACGCCGCCCTGCCCGCTGCGGCTCAGCGCGAAGGCCGACGCTGGGATGCCGGTCACCGCGCGGTCGCCCACCTTGATCCCGGTCATCTTCACGTAGTAGAAGGTGTCGGCCGCCGGGTTGCGCACCAGCGGCGTGTACTGCAGTCCGCCCAGCCCGTTCCCGGTGGCCACGGCCTCCTCGCCGAAGATCAGAGGGCTCGTCTCGCTGGCGGCGCTCGTCAATGGCACCAAGCAGTATGAGAATTTGGACCCGATCAGAGCTCCGATCTGCTCGCTGAACGAGATTGCGCCTCGGCCCAATCCCACGAGACCATCCGTGCCCGAGAAGGTGCCCTGGTTGCGATGCCCGCAGCCGAACGCGAAATTCTCGAATTTCTGCGCTGTGCCTTCGGTGGTGGTGAGCGTGAGCGTCTCGAGCGCGAGATCGCCCTGCGTGGTCGATTGATCGCCATAGCCGTAGCGGTACGTGCAGAATCCGCCGCTGTATGATCTCGAGGGCAGCTCGGCGCACGTGTCGCTGAAGTAGCGAATTCTCTTGTAGGTCGAGGATTTGGTCGGATCGAAGACCGGGTCCGGCTGCTGGTAGCAGACGGAGCATGGCGCGCACTGCAGCCACACTAAATCGCTCCCTGTGTCGACGATGGCTGTCTTCTTCTGCGGGGGAGTGCCGAGCGAAATTTCCATGATGTAGCTCCCTGGGGACGCCGAGACGGGCGACTCGAAGCTCGATTTGCTCGTCAGCTCGATGGTGGAGTCGAAGTCCACGCCTCGGGGCGTGATTCCGCTGGCCACCACGTTCTTGAACGCCGCCACTCGGGCGTTGCTCCTCTTCACGGCATTCTGAATCCTCTCGGCGAGCGTGGACTCCGATTTGTGCAGCGGTGAATCCGTGTGATGGTCCAGGCTCTTGAGTCCCACGAACATCCCGCCCGATGACGCCGCCGATGAGGCTGGCGCTGCCAGCAGCCCGAGAGCTGCTGCTGCCACTAGCACCACCATCCCCAGGACCTCGAAGCTCCGAAGAGTGGCCATGTCTTCCTTGTTTCAACCTCTGGTTCGAGTCCGATCCGCAGTTTCTCAATGCTCCGAGAGGTGAAGCGAAGTGAAGTCCAAGCCCCGGACCAGACCGATGATGCAAACAAACCGCGATGGCATGGGCCTATATACTCAATTCTCGAGCCCCCAGCTATGCACGGCAGATGCACGCGTGCAGAAGCCCATTTCCTCGCAGGCCGCTAGAACATGCGTGCATGAAGGACACAAGCCGCAGTGACTTGTGTCTTGATTCTGGCTCAATCAATCAATCAATCATTCGTCTGGATGTCCTGCTGCTCCTGCTCAACATCTGGCGTCGCCATCACAGTCGCATCTTCTGCTCCCTCACGCATCCTCCTCCCGGCGTCCCCGACGGCCATAGCTACACGAAAAGTGTAAAAAATCCCCGCTCGTGCGTCCGACCATACGTACATTCAATGCTTTCACGGACAGACGACAGTTTAGCTTTTGCTCTCTTCTCTCGGCACAATCTCTTTCCGGTCGGCGGCCATAGCTTGCGAGCTGCTTCAAACCGGTGCCGGGAAGTGGATTGTCGCCCCCCGGAAGCAAACGCATTTCTTCCAGCCGGGTCTTCTCCTCTTTTCTCATCGCCAGTAATGATAACGATCCGTTACAGGAGTTGGGATAAATCACACGTTTTACGTGTACTTCCATGGGCTGGCTGATTAGCAGAGTCACTGCCGCACGTCTGTGGGCGATTCTTCTCCAGCATTTGTGGTGGGTTGGGGTGGGGTGAGTCTTTCAGCCTTCAGTCTGGTGAAGTAATTATGAATCCGAGTCAAGCATGTCACCATCGGTTTGGGTTGCGATAGGACGTACTGACTCGAGACTGCAGCTGTTGTAAATTCTGTATTCCACGGGGGCCGGGACCTTCTTCGTCACGCAACTCATCCATCCATCCATCCATCACCATCCGAGTCATGGGATTCCGGTGACAATGATTGCCGCTGGGTTAGTTTGAGTGTCGCTGAATTCTTGCCTTTTTCGCGGGCGGCCGTGCATGTGGCCGGTCAGAGTACACAGCGCTAACTGGAAACTGATGCGACTCGCTTCCTCGTGCTCATGACATATTTATTCCAACAGGAATCGGCATTTCCTCCGATTGCCAATCGGAGGCAGGGACGACGTATCGATGTCCGGGAAGCTTTTTCTCGGTAAGCGTGCAGCGTAGGACTCAATAACGGACATGAGTGCAGTGACGGTGAAGAGCTTCGGGAATCTGGAAGGTTTCGATGGGTCGTCATGGGAAACGAGAATCCGAGATTCGGCAAGTTTCTAACTGGGAAGAGCTTATGTCGAGCTTTTGAACAGGTAGTATCTGCAATGCTTTTGGCATGATCCCCACATTGAATATTTCCTTGGGTTACTGCTGGTCTCTGTGCTTCGATTGCATCCCGTATATTTTTATCTGCAGACCTCAGTCAGATGGTTCACGTGTTCCTTCTCGACGTCAGCCGGATCTGAACCTGGATCTGAGCAGACAATATTGCATACTCGAAATCAGTGGGTCAGAAAAGTGCTCGAGACCCCAGAGAATCCGCTGAAGTTTTCGTTACAGTTGCAACGTTATTCTCACGAGCTATCTGCGCATTGACATCGATTATTCTTTCTGTTACACGCCGCTGTCGATCCGACCCATTCGCTGTGACGCTTGTCCACACGAGATGGCTGATTCCTGTCGACCGAATTCCCTCCGTCTAGCGAACCATACACACATGCAGGACTCAGTGCATACTCAGATCTGACTCCGATTGTTTTTTTGAGGCTCCGATATCTGGACTATTGTTAACTTAATTTTCTCCTGGAAAAGTGGAAGGAAATTTTATCTGAGCTCTACAAGCGCTAGAGCCCTAACCGAGCTCTGCATAGCTTTTCATAGGAAGGCAGAAACGATCCAGCTAGGGGGTGGGACCTTCCATCGGTCACTGCTCTCGAGAGCGGAATTGTCACGTTATTGGTGCAATGGCGTCTTTGTTGGGTTCTTATTACGCAGATTCTGGATCTGGCTGATCTGCTACGAAGTTCGGAATGCATGTGCACTCCCTTTCTTGCACATCTCAACGAGAACACAGAAATCAACGGGAGCTGAAAATCAGAGTTCGTTACGTGTCCAGAGCACGACATTCGTCTTTGCCATTACCTTTGCCAAAGGTTGAAGAAAAGTGCGCCTTTATAACCTTTAGAATATTGGAGAAAATATATCCTGATTCACTGTACGAGTAAACGAAGGGGTACGTGGTATAGAATGTTCATTGACATTGACGAGTGGAAGCAACGAGCGACGAGGTTTTGGACATGCACTCCCTGATTCTTGGACTGCAGCTGGATCCGGAGCAACCTTGGACCACCACCACACCACCACTAACTTGAAAAGTTCGTGTTTGGATCATTCGTAGCGATGGTAGGCATTCATTCATAAGCAAATGATATCGCTCCAAGTATCGAGGATGCTCGTGGATGCCTTTCGCACTTGATACGGAATGCACAAAAAAAAAGGAAAATTCCAATTAGGGCCCGACCCAATTAGGATATCTTCATGCCTACACTGCTCCAGCCACGTTGAAAGCAGACCCCATTTCGATACTAATGTTTTGACTCTTCGTCAACACTCGAACTACGGCTACGCTGTCGGAAGCCTCAGCGTCTCGTTACTCCAGTCCAATCATATGCTTTCCAATTCCATCGGAGATACCGGAAAGTTGTCCTCAGCTAGTTTTCCAAGGGTGAAAAGCTGCACTTGCATTGGAGCATTGATGTGTTCCAACCGAAGTCGGAGGTTGAAGTGTCAGATGAGCAACAGTATAGATTATAGCCGATTTGACAAGTCGTGCCAAAACTCGGGCTGTGTTAAACGGGAGTGAGTTGAAACTGGAGCGCAAACAGATTATTGTTGTTACAACAAAATTCCGCTGCGAGAAAAAGGCTCGTGGCCGGCAGGATTCGAACCTGCGCGGGCAAAGCCCACATGATTTCTAGTCATGCCCGATAACCACTCCGGCACGGCCACTTGTTGCTCCTCCAGTTGTAGAAGATATATCAGTATAGTTAATTCTGGGAGAGGAATCTGAAACACATTTTGCGTGCAGTTGAAATAAATATATAGACACGAAAATGTAAAAATATGAAGTAAACAAAGAGAATTAGAGAACAATGAAGACAGCTTACTTTCGACGAAAATTGGAGGCCTCAAATTGATTTTGGTTTATGTATTACAAGACGAGGGACAATCAGATCGATCTTCGAAATGAACGAGACGAGTTGGCTCAAAAAGGCTACTCGTTCATGGCACTTTGTAGATTGTGATGCGTGAAGACACAATGCTTACGCTGTGCCAAGACTCCAGGGTGAGGAAATGTGCTCTAAACCATCGACAGATGCTTGGGCTTCGAGTCTCAGAGGATCAGTGTGCTCTGTATAAAACCTTGTCTTCCAGTCCAGGCGAGCAGCGTGGTCCCAAATCTTCGATGCTGGCTGGGCCCTTGCTGATTCCTCCTAAGTCAGCCACCCATGGCTTGTATGAAGGAAGCTATTTTGTTCGTCGATGGGCACGCGAAGTCTGACAGTCTTCACACAGAGTTGTAATTTTAACTTGCGATGGTCGTAAATTCTCGATTACAAATGGAATCCTGCAGTTGCTGGTATCTGCTGATAAGCGGAACCAGCAAATCGCTTGATTAATCTATCCAATCGTGGCATGCTTTGTGAGCTTTTGCTTTCCCACACTAGTTTCTCCCACTCCAAATCACCCGTGGAAATTCTGATCCAGATTATGGTCAAAACGGGGGCAACGACAAGGAGCACAAACTTCCTTGATCAAACAAAGACATCTACATTTTACATCGAAATTCCGTGAAATAGCCGAAAGTGAGACGAGAGGCATACGCATTTTAGGGGTGTCCGTGACTCTGTAGTCAGTCAGACAGTAGTTTTCGGATCTGCACATCTCCTCCCCTGGCAGAAGAGACGAGCTCTTGGGACTGTACGTAACCAGCCATGCTTATTCTCGGGAACGCCATCACAATGTGTGGGTTAGCGTCGTAAACTCAATCCGGGGCATTCATCCATTAAATCATGTAAATGGCGTTTTAGAAACGTGTGGAGGTTTCATTGTTCAGCATCTTAAACCGGTAGAGATGAAGAGATGAAGACAGCGTGCCCTCCAGACTACTCTGGCCCATCGATTACACAGAGATGCCGTACAGTAGCTTGCTTACTTGCTCATTTGCATTGCACTCCATGGGCCGCTCTTCCTCTACTCTCATACTTATCGTGCCTTATCCAGCAATGTATATATTCTTGGCTCGGTTCCTCCAGCTTCAACCGCTGGTCCTGTGCCGGAAGGATGACCGAAAGATGACATAGCTTTGTGTCTCCAGAAATGTATGTACAGGTGTGATCTTGCCGTGAGCTGATCACGCTTGTCCAGCGCACTGCCTTGTCGACGGATGCCAAATCCATGGAAAGAGGAATGGGATTCATTCAATGCTCCATAGCTGTTGTTGCTGACCTTACTGACGCCGTCTGTGAGAGCTCTCGGGGACGACCATGAAAGAGCCAGTTCCGAACATACCTTTGCAAACCCCACAAGCTTCAAGACCACTTCCCTGCTGACTGTCACCGCTGCTGCTGTAAGGATTCGTGGCCATGCTTGCTAAGATATTGAGTGGGAAGTATGATGATCATCCTATCTATGCCCACATTGGCATTGGACGGAAAGAGTGCTATTCTCACGAGACCTCCCATTAAATCATGCTTCAGCGTAGACGACTGAAGGCAGCCTCCTCTTTATTAGTAGAGTCAGCGGATTCCGCTTCGATACTGTTAATCCGAACTTCTCTTCAACATCCACGTCCAGGCTTGTCAAACCTTCAGGCAGGGAGATCGAACAAGCATGAACCAGCAGGGCGATGTTATAGGCCACAGACACGAGCGCCAAATTCATGCCCGGACACTTCCTTCGCCCAGAACTGAAGGGCAAAACCTCATAATGCTGCCCTTTCACATCTACAGGGCTGATTAAGAATCTTGAAGGATCAAATTTCAGAGGGTTTTCCCAAACCTTGGGATCTCTAGCAATGGCATAAAAATTCACCATGACCCGGGTGCTGGCGGGTATATCGTATCCTGCCACTTTTGTTGCCTCGGTAGAAAAGTGAGGAGTTCCCAAAACACCAACTGGGTGTAGGCGTAGTGTTTCCTTCACCACTGCCTGCAGATACTCGAGTTTGTTGAGGTCTGCTTCTTCAACCAGCCTTTCCTTCCCGATCACATCGTCGAGTTCATTCTGAAGTCTTTCCATAGTGTTCGGATGCCGCAGAAGCTCGGTGATAGCCCAAACAATTGTATCAGGGCTTGTATCACTTCCACCAAAGATATTGTCCTGATTGAAGAATCACCAATATAACTAATCATGTGCATACAAGATGCAAGACGATACATCTAGTTGACAATATTGATATCACTTACATGTAATATGAGAATTAGTGCCCCTGTCATCCTTACTCTGCTATCTGCAATGGACTATAATCTGTACGAATTTCTTGTCACAGAACCGTAGAGTGAGTTTAAAAGATCGATGATCAAAATTTTACTATGTTGATAGGTGCACAGGATAAAGTGGGCTCAACGCAACGTGAAAACTTTGAAACATAGCGTGCACTCTTAAAGATTTTAGCTTATTAATATCAAAATGGAAACAATCATCATGCAATTGAAAATTCGAGCGGAAGAGGTCAGCATCTATCACAAACCAGAAGGAGGCCTTTGACTTGAATACGTGTAAAATTGCTCATAGCCAGCAGCACGTCCAAGAAGTTCTCTTCACGATTTGACTTCGAGTTGGAAATTTCCTTCAGGCGCTGGTCGATGATGGAATCCATAAGGTCGAAGTATTTTTGACCTAACTTCTTCAGCCTTTTTAACTTCTCCACTCGGATCAAATGGCTTCAGCAAAGGGAAGTACTCTTCTATTACAAACCATCCTGTATGTGTTAAATCTCTTACAATTTCAAGAAGTTGCTGAGTCTGAGCGTGTCCATCCATTCCATAGAGCATTCGGGTTGTCATGGACATAAATTGTTCGTGCATTAAATCAGATAAACTTATGTGACGATTCGCATGACCCTCTTCGAATGCTGTTTGCATCATTTTGAAAGCGGACTCTCGCCTCAAATCCTGTACACATCGGTAAAAATGTTAGCGGCGCGAACAAGGATGACATGTTGCACCAGCTACCTTGCTGACTTGTTGACAGTGAGAGACGACATTAATTGATCACTACTTGCGAGAACGCAATTCGAGCCAATTCATGGGTAAAACCCGGAGAAAAGTAGGAACTGATATTTCATTCTCGCTCTCAAGGACAGAAATCAGCTGCACTTCGTAGATCAGTTGCCTCGTCTATTTGCTGTAACTGATGTCAGATGTGAGATGACGTCAGACAATACATATCGCCTGCAGTTTGAAGACTCCGAGTCAACTGTGTGTTATAAGGAGGTAGTGCACGGCAATAGACTTATATACAACCATGTAGACTTCTACCTGAAATGAGTCGATCCGCTGTTGCGAAAAAAGTTATGTCGAAACTACTCTCCGCATGAGACGAAAGTTGTCGTTCAAAGGACTGAACAATAAATCCTCACCTTTGGCAAACAGCATATCTCCTAGTAACACTGCAGGGCGAGATGCAAATATATGATCCTGAGTTTTCAGAATCTCCCTGGCCATATCTGACGAAGATACAACCACAACACTTACAGACCCCAGATCCAGCCACACTATCGGTCCATATTTGTCAGCGATTTTGGACAGGGAGTGGTGAGGCAACCCAAATAGAAGGTGATGGAAATGGCCAATCAATGGCAACGATGGAGGTCCAGGAGGTCGTCTCCCGGACTTATGTCTAATTCTCTTGAAATCCTTGAGTAGGATGTACAGGAAGACCAATGCTGCAACAGAATGCACAGACCAGCTCTTGAATTCAGCAATAAGGCCCTCCATACTTGTCTTACTCATCTCTTGTGCAACTCAAAATCAGACTCAGAGTAATACAACGGCTTCAACTATGGTCCAGATCAGAACACTGGATCCGAACAGCTTGTGAGTATCGAATGAAGTGTCACTCCAGGGTACTGCATTCAGACGCATACGTGCAAGTTGACTTAGATGTCATAGTGCGCAGCTGAAGATCACTGATAAGCAAGGTAGACGCGTGGTTGGGAACAGCGTTCTGTTTACCACTAGAAGTGTCAGAAAAGGGTATACGGAATTGAGGCATCACAATAAAAACTCTGTAGAAAAAGATATAATGCACCAGAAGCATTCGATAAAAGGAAGCCGAGCCGGATTAAATAAGTGGCACGTGTTCTGGCCCTATATTCAAAGCATTGTAGATAAGGCAGGAGTCAGAAGTATGATCTAAAAAGCAAAAGAGAAAACAAAAGAAATTCATCAAATAAGCGTCTCCCACGCCAATGAATAATTGTTATACACTTTGATGTTAATATTCTTTATGATTAATTTTATGGTATTATGAGAAGAACATGCATAAGTTCATATACCAAAACTAGTGTATCACAATCGTACCTCTAACTAGCGGTTATATCACTCTAACACCAGCTATATATCTAGTTCATATCATAATATAACTTTCGTGGGGCTAAGATCAGGAGGCTGGATGTTAAAATTTTACATCATTGGTCATCTATCCTGAATCTATATCACTAGACTATGAAAGTACCTTGCCTGTCAATTGCATCGAAGACATGTCTATCGCCTAGTGGGACCGCACCGTATAAGTTATCAATCATAACATATGCCATTCTTTTGAAGAGTATAACGCAATGTGTGTAGCATAGCGCAGTAGATTCTCCTTATGATCAGTAATGAGTAGATTTTCAATTAAAGAGTTATTTTCTGAAGTCATATTCGAATCCAAATATCAAGACTGTTCAAAGTCAAAATTTTAGCTGGCTTTTAATGAATAGCTGCATGTTGGCCTGAATCTCTATTTTATACAAGAATTTTGTTCAATAGTATGTGGAAGATGCTTACGGACAAAATCAATAATCCATGGTTAACCATGATAGCTGGATATTTCAGTCTCGAAGATGAACTTTCTCCAAGCCAAACTTTCTAATTATTCTTTTCATCCTCTGTACTACTCTCTCTACTAAACCATGAGACTCTAGATGATCTATTAATGTTGATGTTACAACGATCAATCATCGTTTGAGAGTATCTTATACTTTGTTTGATTATTATTTTGAGTTTGTGAAGAAGATGATTACAGACATCCTTAACAATTTAGATAAAAAATGATCCTAAACTTAGTATGTGGTGATAGAAAACTTATAGTTGGATATCTTTAACTGATAAACTTATTGATAATGCTACAAGCAAGCTCTACTTTGACTTTATCACGTATATATCGGATTTTACAGGATGCAGAAAAGCAATCATGGATAGAGATCATTGATTGACAAGTAAGGTATATATCTCATCAACATATCAACTCCTTGACACAATCAACATTGTTAGTTTATCATAATTTAAGACGAAGTTATGTCTTAAATAGAAACTCTTCAAATCCTTTGAATTTTTCAATTGTTTATGAACAGTCCAATCTGGGATTTGCAAGCAGAATTGAATACTTATTCATGTTTCTCTGTGCTTTGCTCAAATCCATATGTTAATGGTGAAATTCGTATTCATGTTGATTAAACAACTTGAATACGATTTTCACCATTAACATATGGATTTACAAGTTTTATTTTGTTTGCAACAAGTTAATATTTTTATCAATATATGTAATAAAAACAATTCAACAATAGAAACTATATCTTTCTTGAATGTCTGATTTTAATATATAATCATCCATAATTAACCAATTTTCCATCTGTATTTTTAATACAATTTATTTTGCATATATAATGATTCATTCGTAAAATTAGTATATGTTGAGTAAAGTCTTTTTAGCTTTATTTTATCCATAATTTACAAGCTTGCTGTATTATAGATGTTTCGCAATATTTTTGAAGTTCAAGTATTTCTTAATATCTCATAGATATTAAGAAATATCTCCAAATAGATATTACCTATGTGGAGATAGTTTGTGAGAATTTTCATTTTTGAAAATGAATTGCACTTTTTTCAAGACAAATATTAAGAAAAATTGTCTTCATTTCTGATGCTTCAAGATGTTAGCGTCTATTTGAATCTGTATTTTTGAAATTTTAGTTGAAAATTTTATTATATTGTGATCCTAAAATTAACAACTTTTAGCATCAATTTTATCCAACATAAATTTAGGGTTTACACTTAAAATAATAGCATCTTGCAAGACAAATATTTAAAAGAAACACGTGTCGATATTTTTTTTTATTTCTTTAATAAGAGTAATAGTTTATCTTATACATACTTCACTATATAAAATCACGCAGTTGTAGATTTGTAATTTTCAATATAATTTCAAAATATTTTTTTTTAACAATGAATAGAAATTATGTAAAAATTATTCATAACTTCACAAAAGAACATTTGATGAAGCTCAAATTTCTTTAAGTTTCCTATTATCTTCATTTGATAAAACTCAAGTTTTATATCTTAAATAACTTCTTTTCTTGAAATTCAAATTCTATGAAGTAACTTATATCAGTTTATATTCATATTTTTTGGACTATCTCGAGGAAAAAAAGCTGATTCATTGTCTAAAAGCTAAAATAGGTGGCATTTGAACCATTTCGACTTCCATCAAAGTTTATAACGCTGCCAAACAATCCATAACCCTTCGCCTGACGTTGGAGACACTTTTAATGTTATTTTATTGCTATTTGTGTAACATCTTCTCACTCCTGTCGCAAGTTCCGGATTTGGACGGAACTTGCGTCCCGATTCAATCCTCCATGACATCCTTGGATTGAATGAATGTGGTGCACTTTTCGTTTATTCGTATTTTTCCCTATTCTTGTGCACTTTTTCTTTATTCGTAAATTTTTTATAGTGGTGCACTTTTTCTTTTTTTCATAAATTCCACTTTTCTCTCTTTTCCGGATACGATTTTCTGATATTTTTAGTCAACACCTTTCCCTACCACGCATCGCCATTGCTCGACAGTGTTCACAACACTGTCCACAACACACAACTAAGTCCACTTGTACATGTACATCTGAATTCCTAGCCTGTAGTGACACTTGATCTAGTATTAAGTTCGATATTCACACATTGTTCAGATCATCTGCTCTGTTCAGGATCATCAGTGAAGCCATTGTTTCACTCTGCGTGGATTTCATCCAAGCCTGAATTTGAGTCGCACAAGAGATGGGCAAGACGAATATGGAGGGCCTGATTGGCGTATTAAAGAGCTGGTCTGTGCATACTGTTGCAGCAGTGGTCTTCCTGTACATCTTACTGAAGATTTTGAAGAGAGGTAGACATAAGTCCGGGAGACGACCTCCTGCACCTCCATGTTGGCCATTGATTGGCCATTTCCATCACCTTATATCTGGGTTGCCTCACCACAACCTGGCCAAAATTGCTGAAAAATATGGGCCCATAGTGTGGCTCGAACTGGGAGCTGCAAGTGTTGTGGTTGTATCTTCTTCGGATATTGCCAAGGAGATTCTGAAAACTCAAGATCACATATTTGCCTCTCGCCCTCCAGCAATACTAGGAGAAATGCTGTTTGCGAATGGTCTGGATCTAGTGTTTAGCCCTTTGAACGACAACTTTCGTGAAGCCCGGAAAATTTTTACCACAGAACTTCTCTCGCAACAGCGGATCGACTCATTTCAGGTAAGAGACTACATGGTTTCATATAATTCTGTTGCCCAGCACTATCTGCTTATAACACACTATTGATTCGGAGTCTGAAATGTACAGGCGAGATGTATTGTCTGTCGTTATCTCACATCTGATTGCAGTAACTATGCATAGCTGAGGCAATTGCTCAACAAAGTGCTGCAGATTTCTATCCTTGACACCGAGAATGAAATATCAGTTCTGATTTTTCCCCCAGATTTTACATATTACGAAGTTTGTTATCATCTCACTTGCTTCCCCTTCACATGAATACAGACAGCAAAACCGGGCTCGCAATGGTCTTCGCAACTACAGATCAATTTCTGTCATATCTCACCGTAACCAGCTCATGTTTCTATCGTTGATATCAGGAATCCCTTGAGTAGTTAGTGGAGCTTGTCATCTTTTGTCGCGCCGCTAACATTTTTACTGATGTGTGCAGGATTTGAGGCGAGAGTTTTTTAGTACAACTATGCAGAGAGCATTCGAGGAGGGTGATGCGAATCGTTTCATAAATTTAGCTGAAATAATGCACGAACAGTTTATGTCCTTGAGTACCCGAATGCTTTATGGAAAGGATGGACGTGCTCATAGTAAGCAGCTTGTTGAATTTATCAGAATTTTAACAACTACAGGATGGTTCGTAGTAGAAGAGTACTTCCCTTTTCTGAAGCCATTTGATCCCAGCGGACAAGTTAAAAGGCTGAAGAATTTAGGCGAAAATTACTTCCACCTTATGGATTCCGTCATCGACCAGCGCCTGAAGGAAAATTCCAACTCGAATTCAAATCGTGAACAGAACTTCTTGGACGTGCTGCTGGCTATGAGCAATTTTACACGTGTACAAGTCAAAGTCCTTCTTCTGGTTTGTAAAAGATGCTGACCCACTCCCCTCGAATATTTCATTGCATGACGATTGTCTTCATTCTGATATTGATTATCAGCTATGAGTGGTAAAAGTGCACATTTTGTTTCCATGATTTCACGTTGAGCCCCACTTTCTCCTGCACACCCGTCAGCATAGTAAATCATCGATCTTTTAAACTCTCTTTACGGTTCTGTGACACGAAATTCTTGCAGATTATAGTTCAGTGCAGAAATTAGTGTAACTTGGCAGTGACAATAATGCTCATACTACATGGAAGTGATATCAATATTCTCACGAGATGTATCGTCTTGCATCTTGTATGCACATGATAATTAACATTGGTGATTCTTCAATCAGGACATAATCCTTGCTGGAGGTGATACAAGCCCTGATACGATTGTTTGGGCTATAGCTGAGCTTCTGCGGCATCCGGACGTTATGGAAAGACTTCAGAATGAGCTCGACGATGTGATCGGGAAGGAACGGCTGGTTGAAGAAGAAGATCTCAAGAAACTCGAGTATCTGCAGGCAGTGGTGAAGGAGACACTACGGCTGCACCCAATCGGTGCGTTGGGAGTTCCTCACTTTTCTACCGAGGCAACAAAAGTAGCAGGATACGATATCCCCGCGAGCACCCGGGTCATGATTAACCTTTATGCCATTGGTAGAGATCCCAAGGTTTGGGAAAACCCTCAGAAGTTTGATCCTTTAAGATTCTTAAACAGCCCTATAGATGTCAAAGGGCAGCATTATGAGGTTTTGCCATTCAGTTCTGGGCGAAGGAAGTGTCCGGGCATGAATTTGGCGCTTGTGTCTGTAGCCTATAACATCGCCCAGCTGGTTCATGCTTGTTCGTTCTCCCTGCCCGAAGGCATGACTGGCCTGGACGTGGATCTTGAAGAGTCGTTCGGAACGACCCTATGCAAGCGGAATCCGCTGAATCTACTATTGAAGAGGAGGCTGCCTACGCACGTCTATGATAAGGCAGGACTGAGTGTTTCTGCGCAGTGAAGAATGAACGGTCGTTCATGTCGATACTTTGGTGGAGAGTACAATCGATAATTGTGTATCTTCTTTCTCAGTAATGCAACAAAGTCGGTTGACTAAGTCAATCGAATGAGTTATTTCACTCCTATTCAGCTAATATTCTGCTGTCCGTTGAATTCGTGACATTACAATATCTCAACCCGTCCCGAAAAAGTGACTTAAGAGGTAGGACAGGTTATTTACCCGACTCTTTTTAATCACTTAATAAAATTGGGACGGAATCTGTACATGATAAAATATTGATCGAGTATCGACATCCAACATTGTGATGAAATTTTACCAAAAGGAAATTAAATTAGTCTGAAATAAGTCCGAAGACAATGACAAAGATCTCCTTTATCTGTCATTTTTCAAAAAAACGTCTTGTTGACCTTGTTTACAATCTTTAGCATAAAGAATAATAGGATTGGAGTTCAGTCATACCCAAGCTTGAATATATCTGCTTTTAAAAGGACATCTCGTTTTCCAATCCACTGACACCCTGAACACTCTACATCAACCATATCTAAACTACCATCAATGTAAAACTTGCCATCACAATTTAAACATTCTAAGAACTTCCAAATATTAATTCAGAGTTTTCATATGTATATTATTAAAAATTACGTATTCGAAATGGATTGGCTAATCATCATAGCATAAAATATTTCATTGAAACTTAGTTTCTTGCTTGGTTAAGAAAAAATAATAGCATGAATATTCGATGAAATTATGAAGTAAAAATTACAAAATCATAGTTTTTGTTATCATGACTTTTATCCATTGAACAGTTTGACTTCAGATTGCATTTTAAACTTCAAATCGTTGCGAGATATTATTTTCTATATTTCCACTCTAGATTTCTATTGATAGTTTAATACATGATTCAAACACCTTTGATGTACATATAATTTGATATTCATCTAATATATACTTTGACATAAATAGCAAAATAATTCAAAGAAAAATATGAAAAATATTTTAATTCCAAATTGAATCTTATAATCCTTGTCATGATTTCAAAGAAGTTAAAGTTAAATCTAATTTATCTTTGTATTTTTTTTAAAATCCAATAAAAAATACATCATTTTAAAAAATACACATAACTTTATAGAAAATATTTTGAAACTTTTTAATTTGAGCTTATTTTTTTTTAATTTTTGTATGTAACAAAATCTAAATAATTTATAAATGAGGTTATGAAATGCATGCCAAAATTTTTTTATCTACATGTTGAAGTAACTTTTTGGAACTTCAGAAGCTTTATTACAATACTTGTTCATAACACAATATTCACAAATTTGAAAATCAATTTTTCCTTTATCAGGTAACAAGCTATTATCATCAATTAGTGTCATGTAGCTATTAGTCATGTGTCATATACTAAACTGACATGTATCAGAAAATTCAATTTGAGATTTGATTAATTTCACTTCAACACATATGGTAATATTTTCTTGCGAGTAGGAATTTTAATCATTGTGATCTCTTAATACAATTTTATTGCCTATTCTCACTTTGAGCACTCAGTTCCTAAAATTCCACTTAAGCTTTTTTGAATCCAAAATTCCAATAGAGTTCAAATATTTTCACAAATGAGATATAAATCTGATTTGAATTGATGTTAGTTAGATTACATCAAGCATTTGAATCTTCACAGATTTCTCAATCTTGCAACGTTGGTATTGTTTAAAAAGAATTGGAACTTTTGATATTGAAAAAACACAAAAAATTAAAGGTTTGATATTGAAAAATTAATAGAGACTTAAACCTTTTGATGTTGAGAAAAAATCAATATCTTGAATCGTTTTGATGTTGACAAGGTATTTAAAAATTGAATTGTTTCATATTGAAAAATTACTAAAAATGAATAGTTGAATATTAGAACAATAAGAAAGAATTAAATCATTTTGATATTGAAAGAGTACTAAAGAATTGAATGGTTGAATATTAGAAATATAAGGAAGAATGAAATCGTTTGATATTGAAAAAGCACTAGAAAAAAAATCTAATCTAACAAATATAATTCATACTTTACCAATATATTTAATGAGTTGCAGATTATATAATCTGTCATCATAGATCTAATATCTTACAGCAAATCATATTACTTGACATCAAACTCTTGAGTCACACTTGCCAGACGAGTATACAAATTTCTGATGTTCACACGGATGAAACTTGGATTAAAGTGATGAGCAACAAAAAATGATGGAAAGGGCAATAACAATCACGTCACGAGCAACGTCGTGTTTGTCTGCAACTTTTGATCACCACCTTGTGAGAAACCCTACCGAACACAATCAGAAGATTTATTAGTTTAACTTCTATTTTACCCTTGACGTAGGGGCAAAGGAGTCAAACTGTGAGCTAAACCTTCTTCTGATGTGAAATATTGATAGCTCTAAATTCTACTGCAGTTTATGAACCTCTTCGTTTCTCTTGCCGAAACGAGTAGCGTTCCGAGCATCATGACTTTTTTGGGAATGGAAAGGCTTTACAGTTGGACGATAGATTTTGTCGCCAAATAGAAAGCTTTAATCGTAACTAATGATAACTGATGATGAATGCTGGAGACTTGCTTAAAACATGCAATTCAAAAGACTAAGTAGAAATAGACTAAAGGTGTTTCCAGTCAAGGAAGGGTGAAAATATGACTTCTTTATGAAGCCAGCATAGATGTACCTCTGTAGGTTGTATATATTTATACATATATTTTATCATTTCCTTTTCTTCATAAATACGATAAGAAACTATATTCATAAAATTTCGGAAGGAATAATAGATTTTTTTTTTAAGAATATTAACTTGTGTCTATTCTTCTCTTTCCACGGAGAAAAAACATTAATTTAAAAAAAGAAAACTCATTAAATGGAATATGAAGGTATTACTTTCGTTATTGCCTCATGATGAACACTGGCGGCATGCTTAACATACAATTCCTACAAGAAGTAGACTAGAGGTGTTTACAATCACGGACGGGTGAGTATATGACTTCTCTATAAAGCCAGCATAGATGTGTCTCTGTGGAAAGATATTTGCATATTTTCTTCTCGAAATTCCATTAATGTATCGATGCACGATGTCAACGGGATCAGTTACTTCCCTACCTGTCTTGTAGTTATTTGCTCTCCCTTTACTTCCTCTCCATGACCGATTCCAAACCTGTCCCGATAAGTGTTCACATTTGATAAGAGGTGATTTTCAACTCATCAAGAATTCGGCACGGAGTCTGGAGAAGTAAAAGATCAAAAAAATTTGAACGGCTAGTACAAAACTTCATCAGCTAACCATTTTTTTTTCTCTTCATAATGGTTTATTGCCTTGGTGTTGTTCGGCCTGCAGAGAGCATTGGATGCTTGCTAGAAAATCCTCTCTTCAAGGAAGGCCTCTATAGCAATTCGATCTCGAGGGACTTGGAATCCGAGCAACCGGCTTTCTGGATTTAGCAGCACTCTTCAGTCCCTTTTCCATAACACAAATCACCCACGTTCGGAAGACGCTTTTGGTGAACTAGGAGTCAAAACTGTCCCCGACTCACGAACGATAGGTGACCACATCACTCATGTTGCGACTCAACGCTTGTGTTGTTCGTGGTAGCAGCTCCAGCACATTGGAGACGTGTCAAAAGAGTGCTAAACTAACTGAAGGGCACTCATCGTCTTTACTTGGAGTATACAAGAGAAGCAAGTACACAGGACCTGAACCTAATTTCATAGAGTATTATGACGCTAATTCGGCAGATAATATTGACACAAGTAGATTTACTAGTGGCTGTCTATTTTTTCTTAGTAGTGGATGATATATCAGTTGGAAAAGAAAACAACAGAAATTATTAGCTTTATATACAACTGAAACTAAGATAATGGCTTGTTCAGTAGCTACTTTAAGACTAATTTGGTAAGATTTTTAATGAGCTTTGGTTTCCTCATGTAATAACCCACCAAAGGCTAAAACTGCAGTATAGCAGCAAAATGTCGAATCCACAGGTACAGAGGCAACACATTGAGTACAAGTGTCACGTTTTAACAGACTATTGAGGAGTTTGAATTCTCAGGCTATTGTCACTCCCAGAAATACTGCAGGTGCTCAACTCGGAGGTCACTCGGAGTACACACAATGTAGCGTAGCACACTCCAACACACACCTGAAACTGGAAAAACACAACTCAGAGGCCGATTAGGACCTCCACTTAAGGTTCAGGAGGAAAGTTTCTCAAAAGTACGCTTAGAGGATCTGCAAGTAGTCGCTCAACTCCGAATTTACAACCCTTCCACTAGTTACTACTAGTGCAAGGCATCCGGGATGGACTTACTACTTCAGATGCGGTACCTTCGTCAAACCGAAGTCACTCTCACGCGGTGAACAACACACTCAACTCACAAAACGCGCAAAGAATACAGGAATCCGAACTGAGAATCTCAATTGAGAAAAGATCGAGTGTCACAACTTAACAGTCTATTGACGAGTTTGAATTCTCAGGCACTAATCATTCCCAGAAATACTGCGGAGGCTACCCCGAAGGCGCCTGAAGCAGCATAACACACAATCTGAATTTACAACCAAGGGTTACTCCGAAGTTTAACAAAACTTCACTTTGGTAGTCAGGGGAAAAGATCCCGAAGGAATACAAATAGGGAAAATCGTCCAAAGGTGTAAGTTCAAATTTCAGATCCTAATTAGACTATTTGCTAGCTTAGAACACTCAGACAAAGACCTTCGGCTGTAGGCTTCGATAACTTCGACAATTCTACAACTCCTCTAGCGCGGTGACATAACGAAATACACAAAAGCGCAGAGTAAACGACTTCCTGAACTGAACTTCCGAAACTGGAAAATCCTTCAAGGCCAACGCCTTGAACCACTTTATACAATCTACAGTACTAACTACATAACACTCTACTCTACGCTTCATCTGCTATGCCTTTTGTGCGAAGGCCGACTGCGCACAAACTCCCTACCTGACCAATCGTCTGCTCTACAGCGCAACCCCAGCCGCCGCAACACCGCGGTCACCTCTGCCTCGAGGTTCGCAATGGCGTCTCGCGACCTCAACAGAAAGGAATCCAACCGCTTCGCTACGCGCCGCTGACTCCGACTGTCATCCGACATC